ACAAATCGCTCTATTTCAAGCACGTTTTGAACTGTATGTTTACTGTTTGTAAAAGACAGAATGGAAGTTAGTTTTACAGTAGGATTTTACATAGACTAAATCAGGTCGGAGTTTTATTTATACATGGGCCATTCGCCAAAGATTTATTCGATAATTGTACTTCACATGCTTGTATAAAAATGTCAATGCTGGAGAAACGCGTTCATGTGGGTGTGTAAAACTCATAACTTGTTTGTGTACAAGCGAAGATATGATATATATTCGAGAACTTTCTAGAATATAATCAAGACTAATTGTATAACCTCCGCATTTTAAAACATGTAAATACAAAATCTAATAACCTCATAAAAAGTATACAGAAACCATGCGGTTGATGGTGCAATGCACCTCACGGCACTATGGTTTTCGCCTGACGTGTTTACAATAACCATACAATGTTAAAATAATTAATATTTTCGTTAATATTCCACTGTGGCTGGAAACTTGACGTCTAAATCAAAACTTTAGTATTATTAATGATTTTATTGTTTATGTATTATGATTACGACGCTTATAACATCAGTGGTCTTTTCCACCATTCACCAATTCAAAATAAAATTCTATAACTATTCGATAATTGCAAACAAATAGATATACAAATAAATTATCTATAAAAAGTAATTAATCCTAAATATTTCTGCCAGAACAGTTCTAATCAAGTTCATGTTACCAAACACTCCCTTAGGTTTTATGGCTTTGCCAATGAATGAAATTCTCTGGTTATTGTATTGCTGGTAATGTAATAGGTAGTGTACTGCGATCTGTCGTAACCTAATCGTTTCTTCGCTAGATTCGCAAATCAATAAGAATTAAGTGCCTTAGGATCTATTTTGAAAATTCATTATCTTTTATACCGTATTTTTGTGACATTTATTGAATATTTTAACTCATATATATAATATATATACAAAGCCTTTTGCCAAGTCTTGATATCGATAATTCAAACAAAAAGTGACAAAAGACATAAAATTACTTTCGACACAAATCAAACATCTCCCTCGGCGTGAAATATAAATCAAATATTTGCAAAAACTGTCGATTAATATATCAATTCATTATAATTCTGGAAACATACAATTCTTCTGACAAAGTTTGGAAATGATCATAAAACCGAATGATATATTCTAAAGCTGCCTTACACAAAAATTAATGATGAATCGAAACATATCAACATCTCATGTGTTCAAACAATAATCCATAACAATAAACATTCAAGTATTATTTTGATATGAATATTTATTCTATTAGTATTAAACGTATGTTCAATCTTAAACAAACATAAACTTCAAAACTAGAGCGTTAGCACTTCTCTGATCTAACTCGTCGCATTGACGTTCTTCTGCGGACTGGTTTGCTTTGGTCTTTGATAAGCAAATGCTACGATCTGCGAAAGCTGTGATATTTACTAATTTTATTGAATCAACCCACTCCATGGTTAGAAATATACTCGTCAATATTGATTTTCTGACGGGCTAGCAGACGATCGTCCACAAAGCGAAGACTTACGAATTGTCTGAGAATTTCACGAATCAGCCTATTTGCGTTTGAGAGGCAATTGATGCATAAGTGAGAAATGTTTCCCCTTATTCTGACATTGCTGCATCGTCCTATTATGATAAAAATTTGGTCCTAGACTATACCGAAAAATACTAATATTCTGCATGCTGGAAATCGATTACATCCATATGGCTGATAATTACCTATAACCGAGATATCGCAAACATTATCTCTACCTAAACAGGACTCTCGACCGAATTTTACCGGAGTATCAGATATATCTTTATCTTTGTAATGGCCGCACCAATCCAATAATTGCATTTCATCTTATAGTTATGCAGCGAAGCTGAAAATTTTCGTTTCCGACGCTCTTTTGAATAGAACAAAGAGCTAGTTAGCGCGGTTTCCTTATGTTGGAATTGTATGTCTCGGAAAGCCTTAGATATACGTTAGAGTCAGCTTCTTACATGAGTTACCTTTTCTTGTTATACTCCCCTCAAAGATAAAATGCTACATAGAAATCAATCGTTGTAAGACATCATTGACTTTATTCTGTATGTGTCAGTTTCCAACTGTCATGAAAACGCCATAGACAAACATGCATATATGTTTTTCTGACACTTAATATTCTATTCTCTGATTCTGTTATTATTTATTCATACATTTATTTCGGCAATATTTATCATATCTGTGTAGTAAATTTTACTAGCTGTAATCCGTGACATCTTGGGAGTATTGTCGTCATCTGCATACATTAGAACGATATAACTATTTTTTAATACCTTTTGTACGTGAGGATTGCCCAACTCAAATACCTAATGCTAAATGATATGTTTTTAAGTTAATATTGTCTTCTGCAATCATAGCCAACATCAGTCTCGATAAATGCCCTTATTTGTTCATTATAATTAATTATTGTATTATACATGTGATAATTCCGAAGTATTCTAGTCTTCAACACGCCATAAAATGATATGACATGTATCAACATTCAATTGTCAAGACTTTGCAGAAAGTCACGCGAAAATTCCTATGTATTTATATGGAAAAGTTGCTTATAATAACCTTCTAGGGAACTTTAACCACCATTTTCTACGCCGTACCATCTTTTTCAAGTTATCTATAACCATTTGGCTGAATCTTGCAATTTCAATGTTTTCCTACACGTATAGAAAAAATTATAATGTCATAGAAATAAATCAAATCGAAGCAAGTACGATATTTGTTTGTCTGTCTGATTTCCGCAGGCTGACGTAGCAACAACGCCCGATGAAACCAAGTTTTTTTTTCCTAAAGTAGACAACACAATGGAATCAATTACGGTTTAAGCTTTGCACAATTTAGCTTTGACAATTCTTACCAAAAGTGCTCGATCAATAGGCGATGCTGATGATTTCAAGCTTGAACGAGCAGACAAAGAGGGGAAGCCACGAATCTCAGTATTTACGGGCAGTCATAAATAGGCTTTTTACGGTCTATTTTGAGAATAAACGCTTTCAATCATAGGGCAATGTGATGAAAATTCAGACCTCCCATGAATAAAGATACAATACATTTTGTCTTCAAACTGCGCAAATCAGAAATAATACAATTAAACCATAGGAAACCGTTTTCTAACTAAAAAAAAATCTAAAAATTCCCAATTGCCTTTTGAATGGCTTATGATTATTTATAAATTATGTTAGTGCAATCGTAGCCGTGTCTCTACGGATAAACAGTATAAACAAATGCCGGTTAAATCATACTCAATTATATTTCCTCGTGTTGCGTTTGCGCGCATTGATGAAGCTCATTGTCCAGATATGTTTTATCTATGACGAACAAGTAACTTCACGCCCCCTTTCCCACTGGGGTTACTAAGGCATTATAAAGTATGAATATATATATATCGTTTGAACAAATTACATTTGTATAACGCGTGTTTGATAAAAACCCAGCGAAAGATTTGTGCCAGCAAGCCTGCGAACCCGCGCAGAGGGTATCAGAGGTGCGGTGGCGAGCGTATTCTTAACACTTAGCACGATGCGCCACACGGCCAAGCAAAATAGTTCTGCTCTATTCGAAAAGTTCACTTTTTTCTTCTTCTAACATTTCCATCTCAAATCTAATTTAATCTGTTTCCCGCTGACATGTCTCTAATAACAAACTGTCTACCTCTGAAAAAAAAAATCGGAATGTTATTGTATGGTTAGGTAAACGTCATATTGCTTGACGTTATCACAGCATAATCAAATGTGAATTAGCATTTTAGAAGCGATATATCAATTTTTGCAGTACGTATATTTTGCAGATAACATCTGTGTTCAAAAGATACGGATTTCATACAAGAAAATTAAAAGATAATTATCACGCTTTCTGGTAATTTGTCAAGGTTTTATAACTTACAATGATTTCAAATTAAACTAATCGAAAAAGACAAAAGAACCCCATACCCCAATCCATGATTGCCTACGGCATCACTATTTTACGTCAGGGAGTGTTTTTTGTTTCATATTCTTGTAGGAAAAGCACTGCTGTGTTACACATACACGTATCACATTTTGATTTAAAAGGTAGAAGTTTATTGCATTCAATTATCTACTTCAATTTGCTGTTTTTGCCAAATTGCTTTCAAAGCCCGATTGTAAATCGCGTTTTTCTGTGTTTGTTTCATTTTTTTGGTGGGCATTGTACGCTTTTTAACCTTTTTAAAGTTATGCCCGTCTCCCAGGCATCTCTGCATTTTATTTTATCTGTTTACTTTCTGTATTGTTTATGTCAGAGAACCGAAATAAATGATTGATTGATTGATTGAACTGGATGACATAAGTAGATTGTTACGGTGTAGTTGAAATCGCCACTGAAAATTTAAGAACTCAACCGATTTCAAACTATCAAAATAAATATCAGATCGATAACGTGTTTGCACAATTAAGCGTGAACTTTTAGGGTACAATCGAAATGTTGCTAGAATATAGTAGTTTGTGCAGAGAAGTATGTAAGGGCATTTGTTTGAATTTATTATGGTTCATAATTTTACTGTGTTGATATCATTGATTTATGTATTCGTCCAAAGAAGTGTTTCCCAACCTACAGGTCGCCTGAAAATTTTCGTGGGTCGCAGTTACTAATTTCATTTTCTAATAATTTTTATTGTTTATATTATATTAGATATTGAAGTGTTGCTCAATAGTAATTGTATACGTGGGAAGTATCACAGCATAAAAACTTTGCAGCATTTATTTTGTTTTGCTCAAGTAAAGCCACGCCAAGATTTTGAAACCTTGCTGAAGGCAAACTAACGCAGTTTTCTCACATTGTTTTATATTAGTCATTTAATTTTGCGGATCGGTAAACCACAGACGGACTCGCAATTTTAACAATGGTATTACAATAGCGTTTTATTTTTGATCCGTTGGAGGAACAATATCTTTGCACGTAGATTCGCATAATTGTTATTGATCGTAAATTTATTTATTTAACAGTACAGTGACGAAGTCAGATATGTTGAATCCTGCTTCGAAGGGACATTGGTGAGAGCGGACTCCGGAAATAAAGCGGTAAGGTTAACCTATTTTAATCTATTTTTAGTTTGTTACATTGTGATCATATTTCCTCGTCAATAATTTACAAGTTGGTCCATTCATTAATATACAACGGTTAGATTATTCTCAATACCATTGAATATTTGCCCATTTTAACAGTAATATCGAACTCCAACCGACTTTATCATTATTCCGATTTTCAAGGCGCTTCAGCACGGGGAAGAACGTTTAATTATCATCAGACATCTTTGTCTAGCAATTCACTGGTGTTTTGAAAATACTACCCAATAACCCTCTTTTCAAGTGATTCTTCATAAGTGTTGACGAAAAATTCTATGTTAATTTTATAGTTATTCTTGCAATAACCTTATTATTGGTTTTATTTTATAAAACTTCCTAAATACAGTATTTGAAAGTACAATATAGCAAATATCCTTTTTATACTTTGTCAGAGAATGTTGGAGTCGTTAAGGCACAGTAACACATCAAATGTAGCGGATCTTAGCAAAGCACTCAATGAATCATTCAATCTGTTGCTGGATGTAAGTATAACGAAATGTAGTACAAGAAAAAAAAAATTTTACGAATCTATTTCTCAAGCTAGTTTGCAATTTGCGGGCTCGTAGAATGAGTGGGAAATTTATATTATGCGAATGAAGAGGTGTCACTATTCAGACTAAAGATATTTAATTTGACACTAATTTAATGAGACACTGCCCCATTAATAAAGTTATTTATTTATACCCAAAACAAAAATTTCCCTTTTTGTGTGTTTGTATTTATGATTGAGATTCGTTGACGGTTTTTATATGAAGATTTTACCTGACAAGATTCAAATCTTAATTGTGACATCACAAAAGTATCACGTTAATATCGGGTGGATTAGTGGTGCTTTCAGAGTATTGAATGACAATGTTAAACCGGATCGCGAATACAATATTACAAAGATAACTATCCACGCAATACTTTTCTGTTTATATTAATACTATGATGATAAGGAGTTGTGACCACACAGCAGCGACTCAAAATTAGGTCATGCGAATGGAATGTTGTGCAGGGCATCTTGCAAAAACCATTAGTATATTAAATGTCTAGTTTGGTATAGTATTCAGTCTAATGCTTGTCTCTTAGGGAATAACATCAATAAATACTAAAAATAACACATTAAATCAATGCTTTATAGTAATTATTTTGGAAAGCCCAACTAATTTTGTTCTGACTAAATATTATTATCATTTTCGCACTTCAATATGCACAATTATCCAACGAACAACTTGCATATCCACGGAACAACGTTATACTTCTCGGAAGCTCTTATTAGTAGAGTATGAAAATGTATTCGCATTCCATGAAATAATTACTATAAATCAACAACCTTTGTGGATATATTAAATATTCTTTTGGTCTACAGTTTCATTCGTCGGGATCTGGTAGCGATTGTTACTCGTCGATTATGATAATCACAGACGGTGCAACGGATAGCTACCAAGAAGTTATGGATACATACATGAATATGACAAAGAGACAGGTAGGCAACCATATAAAAATGCTGTTAATAAAATTAGTTTAAAAATTTATATACCTCAGTAAAAGCAATTAGTCTGAGTTAAGATAAAACTAAACTCGTTACTCCCTTAGTGTGTGTACCAGGTTAGGGTGAGGCCATAATTTTATTCCGATTTTACCTGTTTTTAGTTCTATTGCGAGTTCGGAGACTGTGTTAATCATTGCCAATCCACCTGACCGAATGTCCCAGTCCCTTTGCACAACTTGTAGGCGTAATTAAAGGTGGCCGAACAAGATTAGTTACCTTCCATATTTGGTACACATACTTCTGGAACGACCTAAACTCAATGCAGTTATATAACAGTGCACTACGAAATCTACGCTTTTTACAGATTCGAATATTTTCTTATTTGATCGGAGCCGACAAGGCGTACCTGAAGCCAGTACGAGATATTGCGTGCAATAATCATGGATATTTTCATCAGGTGGAAAGCAGGAATGACGTATCGGAAAAAGTTCTGGTAACAGTGTTAATTTATTTTTTCATTCATGGCAGCGTTTAAACTGTTTAAATGAGAAAACAAATTTGCGAGGAATGAAAATTGATTTCTTTAATGCAGACACGTAAGTTACATATAAAAAGATCAAATTGAACATACATTTGTTTTGTTCAAGAATACTTTTTATCTTTTACGCAGATTCATTAGCAACCAATATATATATTATTCGCTATTTGATTAAGTTATGATGATATAATCTCTGATTTAATAATTTAAATGCATAATTTGTGAATAACAATATTGAATTTGCAAGTTTTAACATTCCAGAAATAAGAGCTAAACCATAATATTCAAAACTTATGAATACAATCCTAATATATATCAATTTTATTCCAGAAATATTTAACAGTAATGAATCGTCCTCAAGCTATCAAAGGAGATCATCATACGATATGGACAAAACCATACTATGATACAACATATTTAGACAGGGTGGGTACCACACCTCTGCTATAAATTCTGATATTCAAAAACTGCTTATTTATTTTTTGTTTTTACAAACTTTTTCACGCATAATAGGTTCAATTACTGTAGCATGCAAGTTCAAGTTCATGCATATGAAAAAAAATATCTGACTAAACTAATAACCGACATGAACTGGTAACCGGACCAGAGGCCGTGGTTCGCCATATCATTGAGCCGCCTTATCGGCTTACCTTCCCCGGGATAAATAGTAAATTCTATACTATCCAACTCTATCAGTACTCACCAGTTTGTCGACCAACAGACACGATCGCCAATTCTTCAAATATGTACAATTCAAATTCACATCAACTAACCGCAATCCATTATCAACATAATAAATCAACAGTATATCTTGTATATCTGTAGTCCATCAATTAATTCCAGACTTAAAACAGCTGCTTGTCTTAAATAGTATTAACTACTTTATATTTGCGTTGAGTGAACCACATACACGCTTGACATAAGGCAGTCCCCGAGCGGCGAAACGCACTTTGTGTGCCCTTTATCGGATATTCTATGCCGCATCCGCTTTACATACTGCACAATTATATTTGACAGAGCAGAGTCTTCAGATAAGATTAAAAAAGCACATTGCAAATTCCGCGTTAAGTGGCCAACTTCTTGGTAAATTGCGTGCATGTTGCAAGTTGAGTTTTGTTTTACCTAATTTACGCACCTCTTTTTCCAAATATGTCTAAACAAAAGAAAAAGTATCCTATGCATAATTACGACTGTGGTACATATAAAGTAAGTAGTTTTTTCATTGCTAAGGTAGAGTGATTTCAGTCGGTGCCATTTGGCCAATATATCAAACAAGCTCATAACTAACCACAGTAATTCAATATGACTAAAGCTCGTGTTTGAAGATGAATATCATACCCGTTACGTTCTGCACTATATGTTCGTAACACGGCGTGCAATAAACATTTACCGAAATGACTGGGTTGCAATCCAAATATTACTAGCCCCATTAGACTAGGATCAAGATAGAGATGCAATAAAGTAGTGTGTAAATATTATTCCTACTAGCATATACCTGTAAAATATAACTCAACAGTTGTTTATTTATACGGCTCAATGGAAAACTTTGAAGCGTGATTTCCTTTCGACATATCTTTTTGTGTATACACATTTTACTAACCAAAATATGAAGCATTTTATAGGGAGGATTTTTACTCACTTTTGCATGACTCTTTTATTTAATTTTCAAATTTATTTTCTCATGTTACAACATTGTTATCTGTCGTAAGTTTTTTTGCAAAGTCGCAAAATGCAATTTAATTCAATTCGATGTGTACCCTACTGATGTACTCACAGCAGCCGGAACTCATTTCCCAAGAGACTTTCAAACCAATTATGTAATTCATACTTCTCCCATAGGTTGTTGATAGACATAATATTGCATGAAATCGTCGGTGTTGCCTTTTCATTTCATATATGGCGCTAACTTACATGTGGTATGCAATAGTTAGATGATGAAATAACATCCCTTACGTAAATCGGAGACTAAAATAAGGGCATGTTATTAAAGATATAAGCACAAACACCGACGTTGAGACGTCAGAAGCATAAATCAACACATGCTGTGGTGAATATATATATTAAGATTCCAAAACTTGTCATGTAATTTGTGAATAGGTTAAATTTTACCAATTTATCTGTTTTGGCCTATAGCTATATCCCACGCATCAACTTGCTAATGGGGTTCGGGTCGTAATGCGATCAGTTGACTTCGTTGTATTCATGAGTTCAGAGGTCATTTGAAAGAGGATATTGATAGACCTCTGAATGACTTTAACAGTTTTGAAAGTCAATAATCTGAGAGAAAATTTAATTATAAATTTTAAAATAACTGGATTATTGGTCAATATGTTTCAATGTTCACGTTTGAACATTCGAAAGATGACATCGGCGAATTATTGATAGAAATTAGCAATAAAAAATATCATTAAGAAATAACGGTGGTCTGACAGGCTAAACCCCAACCACTCCGAAATGACCTGCAAGAGGAAATTGACAAAGCACAAGGAAAGTCGATATACATATGGATTATAAAATATTATTTCGAATTTGAATGTAACTTGTGATGAACCAGTAATGAAGGCGTCTCAAATATCCATTTTAACGACCTTCCATTTAATATAGAAAGCCTCACAAAGACGTTATTGTTGAGCGAATATTATGACCTGGTACCGTTGTTTACACTCTACAAGTCGTTTCTTATGGTAATTTAATCATTATGTATATTCAATACATCACCCTTAACAGCGACAAAAAGTCTAGAAGAAGACGAAATTTCAAAGCTTAATTCCGATCCCTCACTTTCAAATAAAAGTCCAAAACGCACCAATACATTTTTTTGGTTTAATATCTTTCGATGATAATATGATTTACGTTATTATTTACATACGACAGGGATTTGGAATGGTTTCTACGGTGGCTACGCCAGTGTATTTGCACAGCTTTTGGAAGAAACCCAAGATGCTTGGCGTTGCAGCAACAGATGTCCCGGTGTCATTGATGCTGGATTCAATCACGATCCATAGGTGATTGCAATAAAATAAGTTAATGCTAGCTGTAGAAGTAGTTTTTTTTATAATTTTTTGTTTTTTTTATATTCTACAATGTGCATTAAATATGTAACATACGACATTGCATATCATCATTTTTATATTAATGTCGGGAGTAATAAAATAACGGGGTTGTTTAGCATATACCCAAAATGTTGCCCAGTAATAATTTGATTTCCATCCTATATATTTTAGATTTCAAATTCGAGAGGTTATGTTGTATAGTTGAAATTGGTACTCTGTGTATGAGAGTTGTAGTTTGACTGTTGCAGCAATTTTGAATATTCGAAATGAATACTAAATGAATACTAACGCCTCCATTCTTATATTATTCATTTTCTTCTATTGTTGTCGCATATGACCATTTCAGAAATGAATACTAAATGAATACTAACGCCTCCATTCTTATATTATTCATTTTCTTCTATTGTTGTCGCATATGACCATTTCAGAGATTCGACAGTACTAATTAATTATAATATAATTTCATTATGTTTGCAAATTGCAATGTAAAAACGTCTACATGGAATGTTGCCCTGCAGATGTCGTCCCAGACAACTAACTATGATTGGGGAAATCCTAATTTCTATCACGAATACGATCATTTTTTGTAAATATGACAGAATATTTATTTGTGCTCCTATCAGATTTTAATTGATTCTACTTTGTTTAGGGCTGGAGTAAACTCGTACGTCTTCCTAATAACAAACAATGGATACGTAGTCGCCCATCCACGATTAAAAACATTTTACACAACTAAGCATTATGAGATTAAAGTGAAACCAAACTACAACAGGTAAAGTATTACAAGCATAGTTGATATGGTATCATTCACCGCAAATTTATCATAGGTTTCCCACTCTAAATTTAAGTACAATTCATTAGTTTGATAATCTGGCACGCACGGTAAGTCAGACTGCGTCGCATAAAACTTAAAGAATTGTGCCCGTGAGAAGGATTATCATAACATTAAATATATTGCTAGAAGTGCGTATTACAATTTTGACACCTTTCCCGAATTGGATTTTGTCGTTTTTGGGTAGAAATTTTGTTTGGCATTATCCGAAGTAGGCTAATATTTTTTAGTTCTTTATTATTAATATATATAACTTATAGTTATGCAAACATTACAAACTACCTAAACTGTGTAAAAGCATGAGCGCGACACGAGCTAAGGATTCATTAAAAAATTGAATGAATAAAGTACTTTTGGGAGTAGTGAGGAATGAATGAAGATTTCTAAAATAGGCAAAGTGGGTAATTTAATAAAAAAGGGTTGGGAACCACTGACTTATTGTGTTAGAGTTTGTAATATTGCCTAGTTTATAAATTGTCATTATTTCATTGCAGCATTGACATCGATGACTTGGAAGGTTCAGCAGTGAATGAAACAATTCGTAACCACTTACTTGCCAGATTAAAAGGTAGCACAGATGAAAAACCAGTGGTGGTGCCGATGGATAATTGGGTAAACACATATTACATATTTCAATTTGATTTTATCAGTCTCTATCGTTAAATTATCGTTTGGTCACATTATGTTTTACAGGTAAAGTTTGGGTTATCAAAATTTTTGTTTTTTGTTACTTGTATGCACAGCAGTAGTCAACATTCAATCTATTATTGTTGAAACCAGCCCTCTCTTATTATGGCTTTGGGCCCCTAGACGGCCTTGTTTCATTGACAATTTATTGGCATCAGAAGCATATCGTTAATAATATGTGAAAATGTACATTTATTTTTCAGACCCGTGCTTCACAAATTACCGGTACATACTACTACGCACCTGTAGCAAACACTCCTTTTTCACTTGGCATGTTCGTGCCCATTGGATATGGTGAATTGACCATTGATTATCCCAGAAGTTTGAAGGCTAAAAGAAGTGGTCCTACATATTCTGAACTGGAATGTGATCAGGTATCGTATAAAATGATCTTATATCATCCTATAGCGTTTTTTCTTCGAAACTGAGGATACAGGTTTTGACATTAGTTAATTTTCCAAGATCAAAGCAATATTACTCTGCAGTCATCCCATCAAACATAACAAGTATTCAGGATTTTCAGGATAGGACGGGATTTTCATATTTATCCCGGGGGAAGAATAGCCGATAAGGAGCTTAATCATATTGCGTACCACGAGTCCACGACCTCTCGTCCGGTTACCAGTCCATGTCGGGTATGGGGGTATCGGGTATAGCAAGTTATTATGTGTTTTAGATGCAGTAATTTATTTTTCCATCATACTAAAGTACACATTGTGAATATACAATACACAAAAAAAGTAATATGGTACTTCAGGGTGAAGGAAGGCGCGGGACACCAAGACTGGTTATCGAGCAGCGACACCAATAGCATGAACTATGGACTATTCACTATGAATTCTACTTGTTTGAGCAAATAGTTGGGCACGTAAAACCGTGTGTCGCAACAGCCATTTTTAATTAATAAAGTTAAAACATTATTGCTCAAGCAAATTCCTATGCAACATTCTTATTTAGGTAAACGGACATTTGATGGATAACTATAGATCGAGAGAAATGCCGAGCAAAAATTCAGCAATATGTTCGTTAAATTCCAGCGATGTCACAGTATCTGAACAGTGGAAATATTGTATAACAAAAGATGGATCCGTTATGATATCATCAAATGGACAAGAAATGACGCAACTGGATATGATTAAATTATTTTTTTCTGAAAAAGATGAGAATATTGATTGTGAGTGCTAAGTGAAAGACCTTAGAAAATATGAATAGTATAAATTTTGTGATGAGACCGTGCACAATTCATCAAAGAATAATGGATCTTTACCGTTTATTGGTTGTATATTCAACGAAGTTGAATTTTTTTTTCAGGTTAGTTATACATAATTGTTCTTATTTGTTTATATTTGTATTTTCATCTTTCACTCCAGGTGACACTGAACTACTCACCAACGTGTTATTCGACGTTCTATCCACATCAGCTATGACGCCTATATGGAAAGAACATTCAGATTACAGGAATACTACGAGGTATTTTTCAAGTTTGTATTGTAAAACTCTTTCAAATGTCCAAAAATATACATCAGTCATAGTGAGATTAAATCCTTTAACAAGTCAAGTCAAGTTTATTTTTTCCAACTAGTAAAACTAGTAAAATCAACAACAATCGAGCACACACGAGAACATGATAATTACACATTTTTACTGGGGAAGAGAAGTCGCGGGGAACCAAAGCTGGTTATCATGCAGCGGCACCCGAGGTTCAAATATGTAATTTAAAAAAAATTGAAATTTTAGAGTTTGGAATCTGCTATCTTTTACGCTGGCTTTCAACATTATCAGTAAACGGAAACAGTTACTTATGTTATCGGCTACGTTTATACAGGTACCGGTACGGTTTTTCTACCAATACAAAGTACCTTATACATATGTATATACTCAGTCCAGATTGCTTATCAGTCAATAAAAATGAAAAAAATTATCAATTGCGATAAAAAAATAAATAAATAAAAATAAATATTATACAGTTTCACTAGAGACAGATAATTAATAGAAATTGTAATAAAAATTCACCTTTCACGAAAGCCACAAGACCAACAAATGGACGGGGAATCCCCGATTTTACCTGGATTACTTGAAGCATGACTGCTGCTTTGAAGGATACTGGTACCCAGATTGGGGAATTTTGAAGATGACCTAGCCCTAGCCACGTGGTTACACGCATTGAATACCTTAAGATGGGGTGTAGCAACTATACTATAAAGTTACATTAAAATAGAATTTGAAAAACTTTTTGTACCATCTAACATTTACTAGATTTCTCACTAGACGCCAAGTTAACACTGACTATTTAAGGCTAAAAGATCTTCGTAAATCTTCTGACATTCAGACGTCAGGTTAACTTTAAAAAAGAAGTTGGTTCAAGTGAAATACAATCCTCTCCGACAGAAGATTTAAGCGCAGAACTTCTGTTTAAAATAAGGCACTATTACAGTGACAAGATGCTAACAAGTTAACATTATTTGAAACTAGTTTAAATCATGGGGTATCAGTCAGATATTGTTCAACGTGACAAATAGTTTGATACTGTATGAAGTCAGTCGTGATACAACGATTAAAATTTCTCTGGTCGATCAGACAATACTTTCACTCAAACGGGTTTTGAAGTGTACTTGTGAACATAACCTCGTTTACTATAGTTTTCATTTTCATTTGTATTTCCATAATTTGGGTACAAATAAAATAAATCAGCTGTCCAAAATTGGTGTTTCTTACTAACTTTTGCAACCAAATCACAAAGCAAAATACGCTCCAAATAATAGGAGAAAGAAATATCAAAAGATATTTTATACAAGAAAAAAAAACGCACTTCAGTGAATTACATTAATATAATCATATATTTATAGGGCGTTGTTCTGGGCAAAAGGCGTGAGTAAGCGTCGTATAGAAATAATACTACAATTCCTAAATTAAATTTAATGCCAAAAATTATTAGTATTATCATTTAATGATGCTTATAACTGGCGTAGTTTTGTGCAACAGGACTATAACATTTCTCGTCAGAAATTCTAAATCTTCTCTCCTTTAATTGTTAACAAATTGGTAATATCTTGGGAAGTTATCGTGGTAAAAGTTTACGACGGTTTCGTTTTTCAAGCAAGTTGCGCAAAGTTCATTGCCGTGACAGCAAATTTTGTGCAGATGATAGTTTAAAGTTTAAACGACAGTACTGTAGCCTGTAGGTTGAACATATCAGAATTCGTTTATTTCACATAGTGCTCCATTATAATCTGACGCAGGAATAGAGGTGGAAAGCCCGTGCATATTTCCATTCACAATAATTCCGATTCTAGTCTTATCTTTGTCAGATGTGGGCTCTCCTATGTACCACAGGTTTTGAGGTAGATTCGCAATGTTACCAGATGATAAATATGTACGCTGATTCTGTAAAGATCACAATAAAGAGTTACTAGGTTTGTGTGTAGAAGCACCTCCGGTGTTGACGTGCTTTTCGAAAATACCACTTGATTGTGGTGAATGACGCAGACAGAACGTAAATTGCAAATTATATATATGAGTAATTAGGATATACGCAGCTGTGGATTCAGGGAGTTCGCGCAGGTTCTCACGAACCTGTTCTTGGAATGTCGTGGTGATCAGCGAACCCGTTCTTGCTTTTTTTTTGTTTTAGGAGGTGAACGACCGCAGAAAATAGTTAACGTGCACCGCAGATGACGGCAAGTGGTATGCTTGTCATTTCAAAAGTTATGTACAGTATTAGATTTATGTAAAGCGTCATGATAACCAAGTGAATTACTCAGTAAACGTAGTCACATATGAATACGACGTCTTGTTACAATATTCAGAATCGTATGTCGTACTGTGGAATGCCAGTTTTACCTATTACCTTGTATGTCATTCCTGTCCATAACATCATTTTTGTTGTTCCTGCAAATGTTTTTCTTTGAATGACATAGACAAATAGATCAAAGTGGTCGTTACTGCGTATGTCAGCAAGCTTTCCTGCGGCCATTTCGCAAATGATTTTAGCACCCGTGTAGGTGACGTTATCAATTGAATACCAGATTGCTCGGAAGCATATTGATGTGTACATGAAGTCACACTTTTCTGTTTAACACGAAATAATGCACCATTACCACAATAAATCAGGGGTAATCAAGCTATCTAATTGATCTGAAATGCGACATCTTATGACTGAACGGATTATGAAATGATAATTTTTGTCGTTAGTTTCGTTCTAAAAACTTTTCTTTAAAATATTTTGAATTGGTGCTATGCAAGGTTCTTTTAAGCTTCCGTGCATTTACTGTGAGCCCGACTCGCACCCTGAAGTTGTTCATTAAATGACTACATGGGTTGTTAATGGACTCACTCGGGCTATTTTAACACAAAAATATTCGAAAATGGTTTGTACTTAATACAGATTGTTTATTACTCATTTCTCTACTTTCAAAATACGTACGACAGATTACCTGAAATCTGTGAAACTGCAGTCGTGAGCAACTCAGTCATCGTGGAGTTACCGTAATCTGAGGTAGTATCACTGGTGGTATCGTTGATTACAGTAGTTGGCATACTGGAAAATGCTAGTACAAAAATAAAACATGAATAGTTTGGGAGTTTGTATTTTATTAATTAAGACTAGTTTGATATATAACATTTTTAAATAATCTTGTTAAAATTTGAACGCATCTTTGCCTTTTTAAAAATGAAATATATTATTACAGATTTTTGAAATTGTTAATTGTGGACCTAAGATATCGGTTCATTCAAATTGTCGCGGGATTCATGATTCGTTATATTTATTCCATAATGAAAAAAAAGATTAACTAGTAATTTATAATTTTCGATTCCAATTCAAATTTTTTAATTTGTTACTCGACATGATAGTCATGATAGATTACATAGTATTGATGGAATAATTAGTACTTGAATCCTGTATTTTCTTAGTAGTTCGCTGTTTTACTGTTTTGGTTACGCTATCTCTCGTCGTTAAATAACTGATTTCAGTGGTTGTGAGGAAATGGCTTGATATTGTTGTATCAGTAATTAACGAACTGGAAACGTCATAATTTGTTATTGTGCTATGGTCAAATTCTACTGCAAAAGAGGAAAAAACAAACTTAGCGTTAACAGAATTATCTATTAAGTCCAGTATAATTTTCAATGTACAAGTTTTCGTATTATTTTTTTTATATTATTTTTATTTCAAGTTACCAAATTAAGTGATTTGTAGATTTATTTGACTACTTAATATAATAATTATGGCGAGTTTTAGTGAGATTTTAAACTTGTGTGTTTATTTATATAGTGATAGTGTTATGTCAGTTTCTGGCGTTAAATGGATGCAAATTCAAATAATTTGTGCTGTTGGTTACTCATGGTCTTTGCAAAGAGGCAATATTTTGTACTCGAAAGTCAGTACCTGCAGGCCAAGTTTCGTCGTAATCCTCGGCAGCTTGGGTTGTAGCCACGTTTTCAATACTGGGAATGATATCATCGTCAGACGTTGATGTCATGTGTGTTGGGTAGTAACCGCCATCTTGATAAAACTCAGTAGATATAATGACATCATGTACGGGATTTTCGATAAAAATAGATGTTAGTCTTTGTCTCATTTGTTTTACGAATTCTGTTACGTAATTGAAAAATAATTAAACTAATTTATAACTTCAACGAATTAATTCATTGCTCGTATAATAATTGTAACCATGGGACGTATAGATAGTTATGATAGTCCATAGTTCTCAATACAAAATTAGGGAGATTAATTAATAAGAATTAAAAGATACTATAATGCCACACACTAGTTTATAACTTAATTTTCACACTAGTTTAGTTATATGTATGCCCCAACTAGCTAGGAAATTTGGTGATAGAATGTTCATCTACATAAGTTATAACTGAAATTTTTATAACATTTACCTCATGAAATAATATTTTATTGTAAGCATTTCGAATTCTTCAAAAATTCATTTTTGGAAAAATAGGTTTTTCATTCCATTCATCAAGATATTGCGCATGAAGCTGAATAAGTGGAGATGTCAAAAATATTTTAGATCTAATGTTACAGACTTATATTACTTACCATCTTTAGTCGCTGCCTGCAAAAAATAAAATATCGATCAAAGCCTCTAATATGTAATTAGTAAGCAGAGTCTAACAGATTAAAGCGCAGTCGAGATTGGTCTCCAACTGGTGGCCAAAAACGTAGAATATCAATACACTCAGCGTCTTTTAGAAAATTACCACACATTTAAATTCTATGTTGTTTTCAATTCATTTTTGTGCAAAGTTTTTTTTAAATTGAAACAAACCCTCTCGTTCGGGTTCTTTAATTTTATAAAGCAGCACAACATTTGCAGTGTCAATATTCAAATGGTCAGTGTGTGGGACAGCTTTCATTCTCTCGTAGGCTTCAAATTTTAATATATTTACTTACTTTAATTATTTCTTGGTGATGACATGATGAATCCGTCGTTTCACCTCCCAATTGTATGTTTAAAGACATTTGTCCTGTAAGTATATCATACAACATAGTTAACCGATAATTGAATTAATTTTTTATTTAAGCAAGAATTTTGTTTTATCGTTTGATAATCGAAGAACCGAATTCATTTGTAACATTCCTCAACTAATGTTAGAACTCCAACCTGCATTCAAGATACATTTTTCTTGGGCACAAATAATCCCAATTGTTTTTTTACACGCTATACCAGTTATTACTTATTCCTATTTAGTTTCAATACCTGTCTCTACGGCTACGTGATATAAATCGTTCACGTCTGAAAAAACTTCGCAATTACACCGAGAAATCTTATAAATGTTACCTGATACACATAATATCTTCATGTACCCCAACAAAGCAAGTGGCATGTACTTCATTTTGGATACTTCAACTACTTCAACGATTATTCTGCGTCTGAGGCAGAGTTCCAACTTTAATTGCGTCAATTATGATTGACATTTGATGTGTTTATTTATGTCGCGGAAGTTACCCTATTTGACTTTTCTGACACATATATTACTTTCGAAATAAACCTATTTGATTGCATGATGTATGATGCGGCAGAATGGTCATAAAATCATTTTTATTTCATAGTAATGTAAAACGAGCAACCAGTCAATTGTTGCAATATGTTTACTCATTTCATGAAACACCGTAATTGATTAGTTTATGTTTTAGCTTTATGGCAAAGTTTCAATAAAATCACAAATTTTTGTTGCAATAATTTGCAAATTTATTCGTTGACCCTCCAATAATCAGCAAGCATGTCACATCGCGAAAATAATGCACTCAAAGAATCAAACCATCTTTATATATAATTGAAATCTGTCCTAAATATATCATTCATTTCATGCTAAAAACTATTCTACGTTTGATAAAAATTAAAACGATTGCGATGTGACAATCAGAACAATTGGACAAGACGTTTAATTTGTCAAATATTGAACATGTATTACGTCACTTATTCATTGTATATATTTGACTTGCAAGTGAACAACTTGGGATGTAAATCTCGACGTGTTTATACAAAATATATTAGGCATTCAAAGCCTTGCTTGCTTTGCTGATTTGAAAAAGTCGACTGGATAAACTGGCGATGATGATATGACATCGTGGCGATATTTGCTTTAAGCGTTTAGCGGATTTTATGCCAGTAAAAATAGTAAAATTATAGCATTTTAAAGTCCGGAACTGTCCTAAAAATACAACCCTAAAATGATTAAATAGCATTTGTTATCTTGTTAAAACTCATCATATCAACTGCAATACAACAGGGTAAAATCTAGCACACTACGCAGGGGACATATCCGAAATCCACGAAAATCAGTGCAATCAAGTCCATGCATCTGAAAGCAAAATAACTGGCTAACTAGTCCAATACCCGACATGGATTGGTAACCGGACGAAAGTCCGCGGTTCGCCATATGATTTAGCCATCTTATCGGCTTTCCCCCCCTTACCCGGGATAAATCCAATTTATCGTTTTATCACCATGTTTAGTATCTACTTTGAATTCAAACGTTTTCTTTTTAGTGAAGGGATTGTATTGGCTTTTATCATGACGAAGAGTGGAATATCCCGAAAATATTGGCATAGAGATTCTAGTCTTGGATATGATGATCTCAAAGAAACATTAAATGGGTGAGTTATTGGTTCCAGCAACATCATTTTACTTATCACGCATTTTTTGGTTACTTTTTTTCCATTAAGCATAAATGTCAATTATTTTCCAATCTCTTCTGCCACAAAACATATTTTAATAAGAAGCAATAAACTTTGTTCTACTTGCTTTGTAAGGTATTGAAATATATATATTTTTATATAATTTTTGATACCTTAGTCAAACGTGTTATTATAAAAAAGATGGGTAATAAAGCAAGTTAGGTCTAATTCAGGGCTACTCAACTGGCGGACAGCGGTCCGAATCCGGACCTTTCGGGTATTCGATTCGGACCGCGCACAATTCCTTATTTTGGATCATTAGCCCCACGTTTGAAGCTTCCTTTTATAAAATCACTTTTATGGATTTAAAAATATATGTGAAAAGAACTATAACGCCATAACACACAATTTTGATTAGCTGATAATCATCAGTCGGCCGAGGAATTACGTGTTTAAGGATGCAGAAATATAATTTCTGGGAAGTCCGGAACCAAATATCTTTGAAGTTTTGTATGCGGAAAATAGTTGGGTAAAAATGGTTGAGTAGCTCTGCTCTAATTGAATATTTCTATGGTTTTATTTATACCAGATTTGATCGTCAAACCTTCCCATCGTTTTACCGTCGAGCAGCTGCTTATCCGGAGAGAGATGTTTGGATATATTCATTTATCAATAGTGAGCCAAAAAAGCGACCTAGGCTTTTGCTAGTGACGCAAGCATTAAGAAGAAGTGGGTTTGTGCATGGCGGTAAGTCTGTCAATAATAAGACATTCTATATTTTGCATCTATTCCAATGAATATGACATGAAAGACAAGACATTGTTATCCCGTTATTTCTGAGTTCACAATTGCAAATTTTAAGTGATCAATTCGATAATCAACAGTCGAAATAAATGAATTCTTCATCATAATATCTACCTATTTAAAAAAATATGAACGGCGATAATTGTGAAAATATTGTTCATATTTTCAGTTATCGGCGTTATTCTGGAGAGTAGACGATTCACTGAGAAATTCTGGACTGAGGTACCATCATCTACTGGAAGTGATTGCTCTCAGGTATATCTTGTTTACTTTGAACCAATAAATAAAATAAAATGAATGATTTTTGGTATAATCACTCTCAATCTTTCATCATTGGGCCAAAAATCGCATCTAGATATGGGAATATTTTTGAAAAATTATTTGCTCTCGGTTTCTGCAATATATACTTTTTCTTTAGAATCCAGAAAGCAAATTTTCCTGTTATGTGATAGATGAAAACGGACTCGTTGTTTTATCAAGTTTGGATCCTGTGAATGACGTAAGTGTATCTATTACTGAAGACTTTTAGCCATTTATTTCAATCTTCTTTACTGTATATTTGGTACCTTTGTTCCGATTTTCGTTGGCATCATTATTTTAGTGATGTTGCAAGGAAGCATTTAAGTTATTCTCATATGCATTTCCCATATTAGATCATTGAATGGATCGCCATATATACTATGATTCGTAGGATGCTTTTTGGTGCATAATTTTCTTTCATTAGTATCAAACTGTTTGATTAAATTAGATTTTCTATAACGTTGGTGAAAATCCCATTTCCACTTTATGTCTTGATAAACTTTTGTAAACAGATCCTGCTAAGATTGTCGGCCTCGCGGGCCACGCTATAATTTTTGTATTGTTCGCGGGCCACAATAATGCCAAGAATAGGCAAACAGTGCCTTAAGGAGAAAATGCCGTTTTTGTTTGTCACCGACACAACTTGCAGACATATTACTGTACTAAGCAAGCATTGTGGTATTTTTTCTCCCATATCCAGTCAAAAATCTGTCTGAATTGGTCAGATTTCAAACTCATGTTTACAAAATAACTGAAGATTTATTGATTACCGACTTTTACCAAATTTGAGATACACAAGGGCAATTACTAAATTTTCTGACCTATAGGCAGCATTTTTTGTTGTTGTAATACTGTTTTGGCTGGTTGCAAAAAAAAACACCCGACCGGAAATATATTGGTCGGCCGTTACATTAACTTCGCTAGTTGTCTCAGATAGCCATAACACTAGTCAATTCAGTAACAGCGACGCGGGGCACAAAATATGAAGCGTCGGGTCACGTGTGGCCCGCGGGCCTGGGTTTGGACCACCCTGCACTATGATATCGTTTGTATCCCATTAACTTGTCTTCAAGCGTTTGACAGTATTTAGTCATTTTTGTTGGGGAATTTGGCTTCATTGTGAAGCCCTTTTTATTTCGCTAGTGTACTATATAAATAAATATTATTAAACGACGTCATAAATGACATAATGCATTAGTATTTCAATTAATTTTTAAACTTAATGAATTATTTTATCAGGTCGGAAAGCAAATTGGTCTATTAGATGGCCAAGTCACAAGGCATCTTTTAGAAAACAATGTGTTTGCGATCACGAATTTGTATGATCACGGGACAATTTGTCAAGTAACAGAACCTTCTGAAAGTTTGGGAGGAAGTGCCGTCTCTTCTTATCTAACAAATGTGAGTTTAATTTCGAAAATGTTCATTTTTGTAAAGAGAAAAACATTACTATATAGTAATTCATAATTTTTTGATATTCTTGTTTGATCTACAGCCTTTCAGATCAGTTGCTTCTTATGCTACATTTTGGACAAAAGAAGTATCACTGTAAGTAATATTTTGTTTCTAACTAACCAACCTCGTACGTGTTACCTAAATCTCTGGGTATGCAGTCATGCATGGCTGTCTTTGATTTTTTCATCCACTATCAAATATTCTACTCTATATATATCGATAAATCTATTGATTTAATAACCGTCATTCAATCATGCTTTTCGATTCGAGAAAGCAATGTACGTTGCTTCCTAGGTCAGGTCACTCGCATCAAACCGATCGGGTTATTACAATTGTTATGACATGGGTTTATATTAATGGTATCAAAATCAATATCTTGTGAATAGTATTCAAATATCGTTTGAAATTCGCATTCTCAACTCGAGTGAGAAAGTGTTGGTACGTAAATCTCACACGTTGAAAACTATGACAAGCATTTTCGCAATCAGCTGAAAAAATAACTGAAATGTTTTCACATCACAGACTCCTGGCAAAACTTGTTGTTTGGAACCTCTGGAATCTGATTTTTAACTCAGCAACAACCGAAGCAACGTTCTCCACATTTGTCGAAAATAAAGATCATTACAAGTAAAATCAATCCTCAATTGTTTTTGAAAATGTTAACTTTTGTATTATAGGCAATGATTGAATTTGAGATAAAAATAGCGAGCCGCAGTCAGTCATCTTTTAGACGTCAGATTACCCTTTTTAATTATAAACAGACTGTAATTTGAAAAAAAATCTATATGACTTACCTTCAATGCAATACCTAAATAGGGAATATTTCTGATATTTGATATATTCACATACGTATATATCAAAGTCAGCCATAATAATACAATGAATCTTTATTGTAACAGAGTGTGCGATATGAAATACGAACTTCTTACGGTGAACAACAATGCGATGCCTTACGATAATGTTACCTACTGTGCTGATGACTGTCAAAGGTTAGTATGATTGTAATATAGCACATTGTTAAAATAGTGCATCAGTTTACGTTATGGGGTTGAACAGTGGGATGGTACAGAAGTTTTTTTTTTGGAATTAATTATTTCGATCAGTGCTTTACAATACCATCGTAGCAAATATAATGTCCTTTATCTGTCACCTTTACTTGTTTGTTGTCACGCTTCAAACAAAATTCAACAATTAATAAGACGTTCTATTGACGAAACTCCTTAGTTCTAACTCCACTTACTACTTACAAACTAATTGTATTTTCACATATGTTTCAGGCAAATCGGCATTCAGAGAATCAATCAGAGCAATTTATATCTTCTAGTTGTTGAAAAAGGTCTACGTTGCGATTGTTCGAATCAAACTTATACTTTTAAATTGAAGAAAGAAGACATATATTATATCCTTTACTATGGCTAATGTTACTGAGCTTATTGTCACTAATATAGAGAAAGAATCGAATGACATCCATTTCTAATGTGTTGCGCGCTTCTTTCTTTATTTTTGTTATAATTTCAATCAGTAAACATCTGATAAATACAAACATGATTGAAAGGTCCCTAAGTTGGTGAGCACACAGTTCCCGCAACTAAACCAAATCTTTAGTGTTCTCCACTCACTCATTGCGCTTTCAATAAGAAACGGTCAAGTTTCTTGAAGAATTCATGATCAATAGCGAAAGATCCAATGTGGGTAAATGCTCTGGTAACAAAATAGACACCGGTGAAGCGCATAAGCAAAGTATATGTAAGTTTAAAGTACCAAAGTAATCCGCACTAGTATCGAGTATCCCATTTGTGTAGGTTCGCGGTTATAATCATGTTTATGTTTTTCGAAGTCTTGAGAGTTTATTTTCTTAACCTTTACCGATACATCCCGGAGGTGAAATATGTCAGAGATTACGGACACATAAATTAGGAAGAAAGGTTGACGGATGTGATGTTCATCATAAAAATAAAGTAAGCCTATTTTGAATTTTAAACATTTATACAACCATATCATATTTTTCGTTTGACTCGTTTTCTATCCCTGACTTCGAATTGTTTTTGAAGGTAGAAGCACATGTAACCATTATTGAGCGTTGGCCATATTTGTTTTATGCATTTCATCCTAAAATCTTTCCACATGCAATTTCGATGTCAGAGGAGTTTTTTTTATATCCTCAGACATGCATGATACAAGTTAGATGTTGCACTCACTTTGAAGCGTAGTTTTTTAGTATCCCAATTCTAGATAACATATGCTGTAAACACAAGGGGCGGGCCTGGAGGAGGGTCATAGAGGCAGCCGCCTCGGGCAGCACGCTATTGGGGGCTATACATGAGAGTTTGTTACTTCATGATTTAATTGTTAATACAAACATTTCTCTCCAACTTGCTCTTTAATTTATTCCTTCTCATGTACAACAACATCTATAATTTGTGCATCCTCCGAAATATTTGAAGTTTGGGTATAAGGGGCATCAATGCATCATTATCAGGAACTCGCCCTGGGCAGCAGAAAAGTTTGCCCCCGTGTTCACTTTTAATCATTTATATTTAATTGAAACATGCATCTTATTTCATTTTTTTAGAGACTCGGTGATTTCAGTTCCTTGGAATGCGAGCGTAGTGCCGGATCCTCATTGCACCGAACAAGATGGACAAAGTTTGAAAAACGCAAAAATAAACAATCTTCTACGATATCATATTCGTACTTGACTTTGAGCATTTCATGGTTTATACCCTACATATTGTTTAGTATTTTAAATTTATCAGATTCTATTCATTTGTCGCCCTTTGTGTGACTTTGTCATATAGGCTATACCGGTTTTATGAAAGAACGTCTATGAAGCAAACCAGCCAAAAGATATTGTTGAATGGTATGGATTTTGATATGGTATGAAGCACATGGGAACAGTGCTATCGAAAGTCCACAATCCTCCAACAACAAATAATATGTTTATTTATTCGAGAAAATAATTTATCATTTTTCAGCACGAAGTGTAAACTTCCGATAACCAAACACCATGTCATTTAAAGATGAGAGTTAATCAAAAATTCATCAAAATATTTTCTATGCAATTTTATTTTTCGTGCTTAATTTATTGTATGTTAAATGTTTATTATAACATAATAAGATCGTATTTTTATGTTTCACAATGAGACGATAATTTGTTAGTTGTGCATTGATTTATTGTAAAACTCTATGGCCCAAATATGCTTTGCTTTCGGCGCGAATGCTGATTGCACAGAAAAAAGAATTAGTTTTCTGTTAACAAACACTATATATAAAAATGTACACATTATTCCGAGATGCTTCCAAAACTACCAGAAGCCACTCAATGATTTTACTCGGGAAAGATAGTAGCACCATCAGATTAAAACAAATTGATTCATATAGTAAGACTATTGGGGCTTTCTACATTTTCCCCGCTATTATGATCGCTCATTGTTTTAGTATTGCGTGGCTTTGACATAAGTTTAAACAAAACACTAGGGACAAAATATTAGATTTCATTTTGAAATTGTCAAAAATCGGTTTTGGAGAAGTGATTGTTGCGAAACTATCATGGAATTATCGGGTTCGTCGCAATTGGTTACATGTTAAATGTTTCTACATTTCTGAGGACTTCACTCGATTTGTTTTTATTAAATAACAGGGACTCGGCAAAATCTTGGATCGACTTATCTTCAGATTTGGGGTTTGTTCTATATATCTGAATTGTAACAATGATCTCTGAATGTCCCTGAAATTCATGAAAGATATAAATGCGACGAAAATACGGCTCAAATACATTCCACGACTAATCGTACTCGTGAAGTTAGAAACACCCTCTTTGCTATCTTGGTGTAGAAATGTACAGACAGAATCGATAAATTAGAGAGAACTACCAACCCCAACAGCAGTCAACAAAGAATGAGATGCTGTTATCTTAAATTGGGGTCACCTAAACATAGGGATACCATATTTTTTTGCCTTCAAAGCGGGACGCCTCCAAAGACACGACCCGTTAGCTGTGATCCTGTAACTTTACAGTTTCCGATTTTACTATACATAGGCCTACATTTAAAGCCATATCGGCTGTCTTCATTGACCATATTGTCATCGAGAGTTCATGCGCATATTCTCTGTCGAAATATCGGGTTCAGTTCGAAAAATAAAAAGGAATAGACGCTAATTATACAAATGATCCGAGTCAACAAAATAACGCATTCACCTTCAGTAAGTAGGTTAGCGTTGCGCTACACAGCAACAACAGTAACGAGTACATGTTCATGTATTATGCTGAATGGCTGAACGCAAAAGCGGGACTTTTGGCTGACTTGTCGGGACGGCGGGACAAGACGCTAAAAAGCGGGACTGTCCCGTCTAAAGCGGGACGTATGGTAAGCCTACCTAAACAGCAAGTCAACTCAGTTCAATTTAATCTAATGAACATCAATCAATGATTGATGCATCAGCACATCAATCAATGATACCATGCCTCCGACTCCGCATAAACCTGTACACGACTCTAATATAGTATAAACAAATAAAACAATAAAAAAGAGCAAAACCCCAGGCCTGTGAAATATTCCTTATCATAAAATCAGTTTTACCCACGAGATTGAGAAGAGAAGCACAATAGCGCAAACAATTCACGTTCTCTTCCGTTGTGCCGGGTAATCCTAAATAAATAATATATCCAAACGTTTTGATGTTAGACTTTTTCAGTTGGACGGTATTAGCACAGAAATACAATGGAAAAAGTAGTTTACATATATTAACTTTACATATATTAACACTTTTCTGAGAATTCCGTGTAAACTCCGCAGATATTTGTGCTTCTATGACTGCTTCTTGGTTTTGATTTGCCTTGTGGTGATAGCGAGACAGTCATCTAAAAAAAAATTGTTTGCCACTCAAAATTCTGCGCTCCAGAAGTATGTGTACCAATATGGAAGTAACTAATTTTGTTCGCCTACTTTACATCAAGTTGTGTAAAGGGACGGAAGCCTATGGGCAGGGAGTATATTCACTTGGCTAACACAAACAGTCCCAAACTCGTAAATTCGTAATAGAACTAAAATAAGGAAAATCAGAATAAAATTATGGCCTAACCCCAACCTGGTACACATACTACGGGAGTACCCAAAATATTTACATGCTACTACTTATCGTTTGCGTTGTTGCCGGAGTACAAGCTAGTTATAGGCAGTGGTGGGATTCAAAATCATTAAAATCGGCTCTCTTTTGTACCGGAGTCACTAACAACAGGTTCCGTCATTTCAGAAAATGTATGTATGTTACTATTAACTACGTAAGCTTCATCGGCAGAAAATGCTTTACATGAATCATATACTGTACATAACGTTCAAATATAACGCTAGTTGTCTGCTACGATTTATGAAACTCATTATTTGCTCCGGTCGTCTAAAATCAAAAACAAGTTCGCTGTTTACACGACATTAGAAGAACGGGATTGCGCAAACCCGTGCGAACCTCCTGAATCGCATCACTGGTTATGAGACCTGTAAGCATTGCAGAACATGGGGTCATAGGAATAACAACTTAACATTCAAATTCAACTTTTTCATACGTGTTCTATACAGATGGATTATTAAACTTTCTTAGCTTTAAAATTAAATAGTAGTAGAGTAGATAGTAACCTGCCATTTCCCGAACAAACTGCAATGAAAAATTGAGAAATATCAGCAGAGCATATATTCCTTTATCCAAAACAGCATGCAATATTTCCATAACCACGATGCAAGTTATGCACATTGATAATTGGATCATTCGCACAAACATCACGGTTCTATATTCTTGAGAATAAGGCTACATGTTTCAGCTTTTAAAAATTTAATTTTCTCCTAAGCGCTTCAAACTTGAATAAATAAATAATGAAAATTGAAAATAATTGAATGTATCTATAATAGTGTTACGTCATAATAATGATATTTAACAGTGTTTTTTAAGTTTGTGACTTCGATTTCAATCACATCGCATTGAAGGGATTGTGTCAAACTAATTTAGATACTTTGAAAGAGCAAATTTGTAGAACTCTTCGGCGCAATCAAAAATCGGTGTTATAGGAGTAGGAGTATCTAATGTACAATTCTCTCCGTCGTTGGCATAGCACTCAGAAACCGAGAAACCTCCATTGGTGTGAAATTTGTTGATAGTGTTTCTATTTATCGAAATCAGTTCTGACATGACAGTTGGTAAAAGTTAAATCTTGTTTTAATGTTTGCATCTTGTTGTAGTTGTCATATGCGATATATATCAGATTGGCACAATGGACACTTACCCCAAAGACAATTTGAACATAATGAGAGGTAGCAGTACACAATCGTCAGCCGCTCGCTCTCTCAGCATCACAGTTTTCAGGTGGTAAACGATTACGTAATTTCTCGTCTGCAACTTTTGTTTACCACTCCAGACAAAACGTAATAATCGTGTTAGTAATTAAAACGTCGTCTCTGTTTTGTTTGGTGGACACGACCTCGTCGATATCGCCGGCAATGTTGTTTTGGTTTTGCTGTTAAAGGGAGGTCGTCAGTGGAAGCGATGAATGAGCTTCGTTTTACAAGAGTGCGTTTAGCCAATGCAATTGGAAGATGTGAGGCGTTACAGCGAAATTTAATGTGTATGACAGAACGTTGTGGGCATTTGGAATTTCTACTAAAGGCTGCGAGAAACGAAATCTCATTCCTGAAGTGTATGAAAATGCGAACAGACGTAGAAAAGGAATCGTTGAAAAACGCGATAAATAAAAACACTGAAATGCTGGAACGGATGATAAACGAGTGCGTAAAAGCTACGGGAGATTTGGAGGTGGTTTCCTCAGGAAAAAGACGGATTGAATCGAGATTGCAAAATGCAAGGAAGAGAAATAGATTGTGTTTAGCGCGTACAACTACCAAAACGGAGATCATTGATTTGACAACAACGGAATACGATTCGACGGACGCAACCGAAACCACGCCAATCGTGCAATCAGTGAACCAAGAAAGCACGACAGGATGCGAAGACCCACAACCCAACACCGCTACAAGTGATAGTTGCAAATATTTGTACCAATCTTGTGCTGGAGATTATAAGATATCTGTACAGAGCAATATTGTAAAAGTAGAGTGAGTGCAAAAAAAGTAATCAAGAATTTTTTCTGGCAGCTGCTGCATCTCAAATTAAAAACATTTGTTTTGGTGTACATTTTGTAATATGGGTGATGCTGACTTTGGAATAAATCTTTAGTTATTTGTAAGTGACTCTTTTCAAAAGGCAGCGTGTATGTTAGTTTTCTTTTGATGGTGAGATGTGATAGACTCTCAATATTAAAATGTTTGTTCCATTTTTGAGGTTTTTACGATTAAAAATACTCGCAGTCAGAGTTTTAATTCTAAACAGGTCCACATTCATATTGAAGCTCTTGTGACTACTGGGATGAGGTCGTCATCAGAACTTAATGTTCCGAGCTGCTACGAAATGAATGGTAACAGCTGAAATCTGACAGACAACGTAATCTGACCATGCTAATCAGATTTATATTTAATGCTATTCTAGGAGAGAGCATCCAAAGCCATTCACGAACAATTAAGTAATATTCTTCAGATCAGTAAAAGTATACTGCCACCATGGAGCTTACACACACGTGTGCGTGAATAGTGCATTGAGCTTAAATTAAAGATAGAATAGACCTTATTCATTGAAAACCCATCCTACGCGCAAAAAGAAAAGTGATGTAAAAATTTTTTTTTTAACATTAGCTCTTATGGGGAATGTGATCACCAGAGCAGAAATTTGCATTTTATGTAATTTTCTAGATATCTTTCATTGTATACGTGAGCAGTTTTGAAGATAGAATATTTTTTACATCTTTTTTGATATTTTTATTATGATAAACATGGTCAAGATTTTTAATAATCGTTCATTGAGATTTTAATGAGCGCGGTGTTTCCGATGACGTCATCCTCACTAGACCATGAGATTCTGCCAACGCGCCGTGCTATGTGGGATATGCGCTCCGACTGCTTGTGATAACGACCACAACTGGCGTTCAACGAAAGACCTATTTTGGTTTTAATTGGATGTTATATATTTCATGAATTCCATGTACATTTCAGGTACACCTTTCAAAATCCAATGGCTTAACTCAGTTACCTACAATGTACGGTACCTATCCCAAAATTGGTGATGTTCAGGGCTGGATTTAGATTTTAGACCTTGAGAGGCCCCTTCATATTTTTGAGCTCAGAATTTCTCTCTAAACAACACCACATTTAATTGCTTAAAATTTAAAAATACGAAAGCATGTAGGGTTTAAACTTGTCAAGTTTTTAAAAAAATTACAAACTTTGAAACCGAATTTCGAGGCTCTAGGTTTCGGCCTGCCTGGTAAATCCAGCCCTGGTGATGGTCCCTACAGCAAATTTCTGGCCCTAATCACTCAGCAGATTGAAATAAATGGTTTTCAGCATTTATTAGCAAAGATAGATATTTTAATTAAACATATAGTTCAACTTAAAGCCTGTATAATGATATTATAAATATATGTCCCATTATTACTGCATTGTGAGAAGGCTTTCCACACTATCAAGTCTATAAGGTTTTAGCGTCTTCCAATGTCTCAGATGAAAACTTCAGTCTTCATTTCGCATATTCGTTTCATTAATGCCATTAGCATTTGAAGCTTGACTGATTCCAATGTACCTTTTCCATTGTTGTTTAATGTAATATCCTGAACGTGACTTCAAATTTTTTTCTGTCGTACTTGCTAAGTGTCCACTAAGTGAAAATCCACAAAAAAAGCAGTGTTTATTAATGGTCTACATTTTTAACCAAATCCAAAAATATTCCGTAACTTAGTCAACTGTTCCTCCGAGGAGTTTTTGTTAAATTGTTCAAACATCTTAATTAACTGTTAATCTTGATAGCAAACATGGGGGGCAGGGGGGAGCTGACTGTGATGGTCGTATCGCTCCCCAGTCTATACCGAATAACTGTGTGTTTTGTATATAATTTTTATTGATTCAATGCTTGTATTCTGGTTGACAAAATAAATCTCCCTCTCGTATTCAGTCATGTTTTTTAACCTAGTTACGAGACCGGTATTGTACCATTATAGGTTGGAGATAATAATCTTTTTTGTATATCGGTACCGTACAACTTGTCCTGCCTATTGGCAAGATGGCCAACATTTTTGTTCGTAGGCCTATTTCAGTATTTACTAAATAATTTAGTTTTCAACTCTTGCAGCCTTGGTACGGTACCGGTAGTTTAAATAACACGTCAGCATGCCTTCAGTAAATGATTGCTAGCTGTACAGGTATAAATGCGTAAAACCAGTAAACAAACGTGATAGAAATGGTACGGGTTATAGATTGTCAATGTTAAACGCTTCCAGTACCGGACGGACACGGACCCAAAGCGACATTAGGGCCGCATTTGCAGCGCATATCCCACAGAACACGGCGCGTTGGCAGAATCTCATGGTCTAGTGAGAATGACGTCATCGGAAACACCGCGCTCATTAAAATTTTAATGAACGATTATCAAAAATCTTGAACATGTTTATCATGATAAAAATATCCAAATAGATGTAAGAAATATTCTATCCTCAAAACTGCTCAAGTATGGACCTTTCCCCGAGCATCGACTTCCTTGTTTACTTCGTGACATTGGCCAATCAGCAAGATGCAAAAAGTGACGTAACAATGTCCCCTTTTTGCATCCGCTCAGACACTTTTCTCACTCAGACAGATTTTCAAGCGTGATTGTAAACATTACCCCGTTTTCGCGTTTTTGAACTCTATTCGTTAGTTTTCAGTTGTGTTTTGGGAACTTGAATAAAAATCGGATAATTCAATGATCGCTCTGTCTTTCTAGGAGTTTTAATTTAATTGCAGTAATAAAAGTTAGTGTAGAAGTAGTTGTGATAGACTAGCCTGAAATTCTTTACCGGTACTTTTAAAAAACAGATTGTTGTATGCGATGAATCATAATGATGGTTTGAAACACATACCCCATTTTACAGGCGCCAACTCGCAAAAACACTCTTAAAATAGCCCTGACAATTTTGCAATGGTAAAGTATAGGGAGAATTTTCCGAGGGTCAAAGGTCGGGGAAAGGTCCATACAATGAAAGATATCTAGAAAATTACAAAAAATGCAAATTTTCTGCTCTGGTGATCACATTCCCCATAAGAGCTAATGTTAAAAAATTTTTTTTACATCACTTTTCTTTTTGCGCGTAGGATGGGTTTTTAATGAATAAAGTCTAACCATGCCCTCACGATGCGCATGTAAGAGTCCAACTTTCATTTGTGCTACAAAAGTCAAATAATTTGGTTTGTGGCGTAGCACCCTATATGTTTTAAGTAATATACATTCTAACTAACCCATTAAAGCATTAAACATGTGTAGAAGGTCCGGTTAGATCGATCCTTCATTATAATTGTTGTATCGTCAAGTAGATAACTAAATGCCAAAACTAACGCGGTAGGATTTTTGTAATTACAGTCTTTACTTCAGTGTATTGATGCAACGTCTCTTCGCCTTTGTCGCGCCCGAGTCCAGATTCCTTGAAGCCACCGAATGGAGCTCCCGGCCCTCCCACATCATAACAGTTGACCCTGTAGGAAATATAAGAATCCGGGCTGTTACAATGATCATATTGTTGGAAAACTGATTTTGTATATCAACTTGTGTATTAAGCTGCGTATGCGAACTTCTGTGCATCGCTGTACAACACGATAGTTAAACTTTGCAATTTTACGCCACACAATGGTGCCAATCATCATTTGCACGGCGCACTGGCCATAATATTTATATTTTTTCAAATGAAAACTTTGATATTAAATAACATGGTCGCCATCGTTTGTCCATAATAAAACCACTTATTGCGGAAAACAATAGACTGTTCAGCAGTTCATCTAAAAACATTGAAAGTTATGGGAAATGTGGTCTACGTAACACAACTTTGCATTTCCGCATTTGTATTGGGTCTATGGGTACCTTTCTTGTGCATATATCTTACAACATTTCTAAGTATATAGTCGGATATTATAAAAAATGATTCCTGGATCTTATTAGGAGCTTTCTCTGCATTTATTAACATAAAAAAGTCACGCTTTTTTGAGTCCGAATTCCAGTGAATTAATTAACTCCTGCTTTCTGAAATAAGTGAAATCTTCTAGATTCTAGAAGATACTTTTGCATTATCGCCCGGCAACAATGACGTAAGTACAAGTAGTACAAATTTCCTCGCAAAACTAAAGTCGTTGTTGAAGTGCAGGGAATTTTGGCTTCGGTCGATCTCTGATCTCAAAGTGTAATGAGAATATGGATTACTAAAAACTGGATTCTGTCATGGTATATTTCAAAGTGTCAAAATACATATTGCTATCCGACTCTTTGGTTTCATGAACACTACTAAATTCCTAAAAATTATGTTATTACCTATGATGCACATTATGGAGAAATCCTATAGAAAACTATGGCCGTTGGGAATAGGCAGAATTAGAATCAAAGTTCGCATAAATTTGGCTTAAAATGGCTTTTCAACACGTGGCGTGTACACAGAAATTTGGAGGCCACTCTTTCACTTGCCAACTTAATCTTCGTTTACCGGGCGGTGAATGCTGCCCCAGTGCTTCTGGTCATGAATAGAATCAGATGATTGTAAATTCCGCCCCACTTCCTTTAGCCCAGACCATAACTATAATGGGACACTCATACAGTACGGTATTCAGTTACTATTTAAAACATATTGACATTCTCTCATGCTTCATTTATTTACACAGCTGAAATTTGCTACACTCTTCATTGTGGAATTTTAGTTATGACGGTCTTCACTTCAGTATATTGTTCAAGTGCGTTTTCACCCTTGTCTCGCCCATATCCAGACTCTTTATATCCGCCGAACGGAGCTCCAGGACTTGCACTCCAGTAACAGTTAACCCTGCATTATTCAGATAAAATATTCACGGTTGCCTGAAGTTATGTTGTTGTGTATTTTCTGTTAGTATCCGCGCAGCAAATGTTAGTTTATATACAACTTTGTTATTCATTCATTCAGGTCAGCATACATGAATTGTAATCGTTGAGTGTGTTGTTACATCGGTTTTATCTTATAATTTTGATAAAATGTTCACATGCAGATATAATTTACAATAAGCACAGACTGCGACGAGCGAATTAAAAATGAAGAATTGGGAAACTTCTGGCATGAACGATGATTTGTGTTAAACGAGTTGATATAAGTTGTTTTGATTGTTTCCACCTCAGATTCATGCAACGCTCACCAAATTCCACCCCGTATTTTAGTGGTTCCTATTTTAGTTTTAGATTTATATATAGCTATGATTTATATGTTAGCGGTAGAGAATCAGATAAACAAGTTTATATAAATATACAGCATTAAAACACTTTAGCCGGAAAAACATGAAATGGTTCTCTTTCAACCAGAGACATTAACTTCTTAATTGTAACGTTTTGTGTATTTTGGTGATGCAAGCGTAATGTCCACTTTTGAAGTATTTATCAAAAGTAATGGATAAAATTATTTTCATTTTTCATAACTATTTTACTTGGCCATTCTTTGCCGAGGGTTACTGTCGTTTTCAGATGTGATTGTCAAAATACATGCAACATGCTAGATTTATTTTTTGCATGAGTACTCTAATTACTCAAATATCTGCCTTAGCACATCATTTGATATACATGGGTTCTTTGTTATCTGATCGATCAAAATATTTTAGTGGGGTCTTCACTCATCTACTTCAGAATAAGAAATGAAGTCCCACTAACATTATCAACTCTTTTATCAATGTATATAAACTACAATGTCTTACCATATCATTCCAGCTTTAATCTGATTGGTTATCGCCATCACTTTGTTAATATCATTCGTGATAACTGCGGCAGCAAGTCCATACTTGGTATTATTTGCTCGTTCAATAACTTCACTAACGTCTTTGAATTTGTAGATTTGCTGAATCGGACCGAAAACCTGAAATCAGAAAGAATCTTGTCTCGGAGAGTAATTCGAATTATTATAGTTTGTATCAAGTTATATATTAAAATATTAGTCTTGTAAAGCGAGTTGTGCGAGGCATGTTACCTCGCATCTGAGAATATATGATCCCTGAAATTAGGTCAATAACGAAATAAAGTTCTCGATGCAAACAGCTTTCTGCAATTAGTAAACTAATGAAGCATGTCTGCCCTAAAATATGTTTTTAAAGTTTCTAGTTCAAAAGTACGGAAAGAATGTTTAATGCGTCATGGTTATCTGTTTTCAATAATAGAATCAAGGATTTTATTCTATTTATGGTACTATCTCTAAATGTCTCCTCAATCTCGTTTATCTTTGGTAATTCTGTGTTTGCAAAATGTATAACGGTAGAAAAAATTTTTTCAACTGCCGTTCATTTGTCACCTCTTCCTGTGTAATCTGCATATCATCCTTTACATTCGTAAGAACCGTCGGTTCGATGAAATATCCATTACTACCGTCCCATTTCTTCCCGCCACATTCCAGTTTACATCCATCTTGTATACCTTTGTTCAAAAATTTGAGTACACGCTCTTCTTGTTCTTTACTCACCTATGTTAAAATGAAGTTTAATGAAATTTACATGCCTGAATACATTTATATCATCAGTATATGCTCGTAAATACCCATATGATAATTCAGTATACAAATTCATTTTCTATTATCTATTGGACAACACATGAACACGAATTTGAAAGTACTTTCGTAGAGCACTCCAGCAGTGTGTGTATCAATATGGAGTTAACTAATTTTGGCTACTAAGTTAACCTACTTTACATCAATTTGTGTAAAGGGACTGAAACATATGGGCAGGGGGTATATTCACTTGGCTAACACAGACAGGCCCCGAACTCGTAATATAACTAAAATTAGAATAAAATTATGGCCAAAATTAGAATAAAATTATGGCCAAAATTAGAATAAAATTATGGCCTAGTACGCACACTACGGGAGTACCCTTACGTAGTTGTATCTTACCACAGGACCGTGTTCAGTACTCGAATCGAGTGGACTTCCAATTTTCAGCTTCTTCGCTCTTTCAATACTTTTTTGCACAAATTCATCATAAATATCAGCATGAACGTATGTTCTCGATCCTGCGTTACATACTTGACCACTATGACAGAAGATTGCTCCGTGTGAGGTTTCGACTGCATAATCCACTAAAAATATAATGTCGTTTTGGAATCGTTATAGAACTGTTATACTTCATAAATATTTTTGAATAGAACTGAGTTAAATATAAGTTGAAAATATAAGTACAATAGTAATAGAGAGAGAAACAACGTGTTCGTATATTTTTTTTTACATCAGCGGGGTTCATTGCAAAGCTTTTTCTACTGGCGTAAACGTATGTAGTGTACATTGTTGAAATTAACGGACAGACTGAATTCTCCTTCTAAGTTGTTAGCACACAAAGTACTGTAGTTTCGTACCATATGTACGTCTAGTTGGCCTGACACAACAATTTTTGTATATGTCTTTCCTAATCCCCGCTGACTACGCCATCCAAAAATCACAGTGACGTGATAGGGCCCTCCAAAGTACACGGATGGTCGTCCAAAACGCGCGGGCTACCCGAGATCGGGCAAGCTATTTTTCTCGTTTCTCGTCGCAACGATCGCGATGAGAGAGGGATCGCTGGCGTTAGTGAGCTCTCTATCGTCGGCCCGAATGCCATTTAGGGCAATCGTATCTATACTTTGCCAAGTTCTATGACCTGACTGTGACGTCGTAGTACGTCATTTTTGGATGGCATAGTCAGGTGGGGGTTAGGAGAAACATACGCAAAAATTGTTGAGCCAGGTCAACTAGACGTACATGTGGTACGAAACTACACTAGACCCCAATGTAATTTGGTCATGTTTGCTTACAAAGAAAGATATATATATACATGTGTTATTACCATCAACATCTGCAAACACGATCGCCGGGGACTTTCCGCCTAGTTCTAAGGAAACTCGTTTCAAGTTGGAATCTGCAGCAGCTTTCTGAATCAGTCTCCCAGTTGCTCCCGATCCTGTAAACGCAATTTTATCTACGTGCATGTGATGGGCGAGCGCACTTCCCGTTGTTTTCCCAAAGCCTTGTTGAAAAATGTAAATCAATTAGTTTAATTAATGATTGTGAAAATGTGAATGCTAAATTTCATCACTCTCACGGAAGCCAATACCGTGTATCTTGGTTTTTAATAATTATTAAAAGAATATTTAGTGTACAATGTTAGTATAACATTTCTTGCCTGTGACGACGTTAAACACTCCTGGTGGAAATCCTGCTTCTTTGACTAGGGAAGCCAAATAAAGTGCTGTTAGAGAACTCTGTTCAGCTGGCTTCAACACTAGTACATTTCCCATCGCCAGACAAGGTCCCATTTTCCACGTCGCAAGAGATATCGGGAAATTCCACTGAAATCAAAACGTATAAAAGTTTAACATGATTTTGATTTGCAAAAAGCATCATTACTTTTTAATGACTGATTATCGAGAATAGTTATTTCGACGAGTCTGAATGTACTTCTATTGAATTGTCTTCGCCATATATCACTGTCATATATCATGTCTCAATAAGACTATCACATTTATTTCTTTATTTCCTTTCAATTTGTCTTGAATCTTATGGAGATCGTAAGATTGATTTGAAGCATTTGGACTGATTTCTGCTGCATGGGCTACTGTAGGGCCAACTGAGTTGGTAATTTCACTTTTGTGCTCATATATTTAAAAATTCTTTTTTTTGTATATTTTATTCTTAGTTAGAAGCGCCAATTCGATATTTAAAATAGTGATTCGTAAATTGTAAGATCGACTCACGGGTAATATTGCAGCGCACACTCCGACTGGTTCATGTTTTGTGTAGCAAAAATAATCTCCGTCTAAAAGGAAGAAAAATTTAGTTGAGCCATATGTTCAATGTATCCGACTTCATTATTTAACTCACGATTGAAAAAGTTTATGAAAATTTTCTGGCAGTCACTCAGTATACCTAGTAATCAACTCAATACGAATACAGTGTTTCTAAGATTTTTTGCAGACGGAAGGTTTGTATATGCCAGTAAAAAGTTTTTCGAAAATTATCAAGAGCATTTGAGTGACTGAATTCATGTTTTATAATCAAATGCCTGTAGCTAGAAACAGGCACGATATTTTCGTACCACTTCATATTTCCTATTAGTATTATGACAATTTTCAATATGGTACGGGTATTTGAAACAAATTAATTACATTATTATAGAGAAACCATTGCAGAATTTTGAACAAAACAAAGCTATATATTGCAATATACGAAGAAATAGATTTATAGTACCAAACGGAATTGTCTTTCCGTGATATTTGTCGGCATATCCAGCAAAATATCGAAGAACTTTTATTGAACCAGGAATATCATACAAATATGTATCCGCATATATTCTGCCGTTGTCCAGTGATTCAAGAACCTGAACCCGAACATAATAATTGTCACGGTAGTCAAATTAGATAATTGTAATTACAATATTATCCTATACTTTTTTAAATATCCAAACGCGTAACTGAAAGTGCAATAAAAGAATTCAAATTGATGTGAGCGGCGAGTGTGTCAGTAACGTGAATGAATCGTCAATTATGCAATTGCTTCCGGTTTCTGTCTGAACTTTCCGTTTATTGTGTGAAAACGTTTAGTTCAACCTTGCTTCGAATAAGATTTACAGAAAAGCTTACCGCCAAATACTGCAAGTCTCTTTCAATTAAATCTGCAAATTTGTTGAGTAAAATGCCTCTCATGGACGGATCTGTTCTTCTCCATTCAGAACCGTGTGCAAACGCTGCTTGAGCAGCTGCGACCGCGGCGTCAACATCATCCTGAAACATAACGGCTTTGGAGATGATTGTGAGCGTGCAGAACACCCTCACCTCGTAAATCTACGTATCGGTATCGGCGAATAACCAAAGGATGTTTCCCCGAGTACCGACTTCTTTCGTGGTCAGTTTTAAATGTATTTAGGAAAATTAGGAAAAAATTAAAATACGCAGGTTAGTTTTCCTTCCCAATGAATTTTAGTTTAGTCGGAGTAGCTGCGATAGACGAGAGTAACACGCACGTGTTTCATATAATTATCTTTACCATTCTTCAAAATTTAATATTTTTCTATGTTTTTGTTAATTAGATCAAGTAATCGTCGCAGCTAAATATTATGAAATATTAATCTTTGTAGTACTTTTGACTTTGCCTAAATCATGGCCTTACTCACTTCTTTTGCTTCCGCAATATCAGCAATTTTTTCTTCAGTTGCCGGATTTATTGTTGCAAATGTTGATCCATCTTTTGCATCAACCCATTCGTTGTTGATGAACAACTGATATTTGAAAGAGATCAAATATAAAACGTGGTCCCGTAAATTTGTGAAAATACATAACCCACTTCATAAATATTGCTTGGGATTACGCTTTTCACTGCAATTAGGCGTACTACTTATGCTTCCGTATGGTGGATCGGTATGATATTATGCAAGGATCGAGCAGCAGGATTCAAGATGGTTTTTATACCATTATATTGCGATTTTCTAGTACATCTCGTCAATTATAAAATCAGCCTCTTAAGATTTGCAATAAAGAGTATTCCGATACACACTAACTTTTATTTACAAGCACAAGTGCCGTGAATTATTTAAGCATGTATTCAACATCAATTAAACATTTAAATACCTTTGTATATTTAATTTCCGGGTTAGCTGGTGCTGGAGGAACTGATGTCATTTTACTAGTTTTAGCTATTTCTTATGTTTGACGTTTGACTGTAAAATTCAGAGAACAGCAGAAATTAAACTTCAAAATAGTAGACCTACAGCAAGCTTTTTTAAGTAATTACTTAATACAACCAATCTATTTTTTATATTAAATATATATATGAATAAATGAATAAAATATAAATATTTGAGAAAACAAATCAAGGGCTTTGTGCGATGCTTTGCCCATTTTACGTCCACCAATCAATTTATGCATACATGCATTTATGCTCACTTTTCCGAAATTTCGGCGGACTTGTAACGCTCTAAATGTACTGCTGAACAAACTGCGGTACTCTTTGAAAATTGACACAAAAGCCTGCCTGCATAAAATATATATTGCAGTTACGTTTTGGTGTTATATAATGTAATTAGAACGGTATTATATTGCATGTTTTCTGAACTGAAATATCTGTCCTCCCAACAATTGTTTTTGCATCTGATTTCTTTGCTGCTAATTATTTTTTGCAAGTTTTCCAATTTGACTTCAATCAAACTAACTGACTACTGAAAAAGCCAAATATCACAAATATGTATCGTTTCCAGTCTAAAATAAAACCATCTGTACTCCTGTTGACATCAGTAATAATTTAAAGTAACATACGTGAATACAAGATATTTGAAACCTAGATTTTTTTCTACTTTTTACGCTCGTGGTTTGTGTGAACACAAATTAATCCTTCGTTGTGAAAATAATATTAAATGCTTTGTGTTGCTATCGCGCATAATTAAGCGTAATTTTCCTAAAAGTATTGCAACCAGGTATGACAGACTTTCTTAATTTCAACATTAGCAAATCCGCTTCAAAGTTTACACGCTCGAGGCCTTAACGTTTAAACGAACAGAGCCTGACTATAAACAGTAAAACCACGTGTTAGACATATCGGGATCTATAATTTGCATAAGCGTGTACTGAAACTCAAGTAATAATTTTCCAAAGCGTGAATATATCTATATATATATGATTCAGTAATAATGGGAATACTGGAATAAACTGAGCTAATCAATCTAACAATTAAAAAGGTAACGCCGAGACCCCGACCAACGACAACATAAGTTAGATATAGCCATGTCAAAAGTTGGTTCACAACAGTTTCCCGTTGTTGATTTTAGGCACTCGTTGAAGCCACTCCGCAGAGGTGTAAAGTATACATTTTGGGCTTCTGTACTGATAAACATGACGAACCTAATTAATCTTACACAGTATATAAACACAGATGGATTGCAAAAAAAGAATGTATACACAATCTTTATCCAACTATGTCAGGTGATATTGTAAATAAAAGTTTCGAGGAGTCATTTGGACTACTGGACATACTGGGAAGTCAACAGCGCCCAGGCTTCAAAACTCTAGGAATAAGCGTTTTGTCTAGGAAACCGGTTAGTGTAAATATATTGGGTTAGGAAGACGGAAATATTCCACCAAAATTAATATTTTTCCGGTGATATAATTTTCCCATTTTCTGCAGGGTTATTTTTTCCATGTAGGAAAAATTTTTTTTTCATTAATTTTTGGGACTTTCTGAAGTATGCGCACCAAGATGGCGCACCTCCTAAACTCAGATTGTGTACCAGATTAGTGTTCAGGTTTTGCGACATCTTGGTGCGCATACCAATTTTTGATATTGTGGAATGATTTCACCACACAAAGTTGTCACTGTAAAACTTGATCGAAAGCTGCAGAAGTTGCTGGATTTGCTATGCTATATTGTTTTAAAACATAATCCCTCAAAAAAAAAAAATTAATAAGGGCTAAAGGTTTCTCTCTGTTATGATACTGTGTTCCTATAGTGTGTCTAACTATGCTCCACAGCAGTGCTTCCAAAATTGGGTCGCTTGTTTTTCAAAATATGGTATTTATTTATCTCAATTTATATAAAACTTTTTTATTTGATTTTCATTTGGTAATGAAGTGTTGCGCAATATTGAGGGAAGTATCACAGTGTAAAACTCGATTTTGCTCAAGTTTTTTTTTTTTTAAATTTGTGTCGCTTGAAAAAAGGTTGAGAACCACTGCCTCATAGTAGTGTTTCCCACCCCGACGACACGGACTCAAATAAGTCCGCAAAGAGCCCTGGCGGGTCCGCAGACGTATTGGCTACATTGAGCATTTTTTAAGAAGATAGACATAATAAACAAGAGAGCTATGCTCAAATATATGGACTCGTAGCGCCACCCAATGGCAATAATTTTGATGACGTCATAGCGAGAAAATTTTTTTTTATCTTCAACCATTGAAAATTTCAAAGCAATTGGTCCAGTATTCGAAGAGAAAAGCGACTTTTTAAAAACGTGTCAAAGAACAAGAACAACAACAACATAATATTGAAACGATCGTTATGTCCAAAAACTTGAAAAACCTTACATACTGACAATAGTATTACATCATTTATATTTGCGTATTACTTTTACGCAAAACATTCGTTTGTTTTGTAACAATTGACTATTTTTGATCGCGTCGTCGCTATTGTTTCATAACACAGATTTGTTCATGTGGCTTTTACTGATCTCGGGGTTTTCCGCATTCATGGGAAAAAAATAAACTGATTGCGTATAAAGACAAGTGCATGAACATTTGGTTTACTTGGGTGTGTATTGTGTTTAGCTTAGAGGTTTAAAATTCACAGCTCTTTGAAAAAAGACAAAAGTATTGTGTCATCATAAAACGAACGGACATCAGTGTCCTTTAGTGCTTTGATTCCGAGTGACTTTTCTTTGAGCTTTTTTCATTTTTTCAAATAGTAAACCCAGGCTGGTTAATTGGACAATTGGAAATAACATGGAGTAAAGCGAAATCAAAACGATCGTCTGGATTCATGTAAGGCGCGATTCCTTATGTTAAGCGATAAATAGTGTTTTTATAGTTGCCCTAAAAACAAATCTATAAAGAAAACCAACATTCCCCCCATTCTGTGTCGTGAGTCCGTCGCCATTATTTTTCCTCCGAATATAGCCCGCGGTCAAAAGCAGTCGTGACAAGTCTACACCAAACACGTTGGATCAGTTTCAATAATCATTTGAAAATACATGCAATAATAATAGCAAATGCCCTAATACTGATTACGCGTCGATTGCTGCACCCGGAAAACTTTTCTTAACACCAAATGTAAATATTATATGCAGTGACGGCGCGTGGTCATTTTGACAACCGGGGCAAGCTACTGCGGGACCAAGTCACCCCCATCTACGGGGACAGGATGAGCGCTGTAAGTTCTCCCATCATTTTATGAGTCTAAAAACCATTCCATCGGTAACAACCAATCGGCAAAAGCGACAATTTTTAACGATAAAAAAGTGTCTTTAAAACCGGTATAAGGGATTAATAAATATAGACATAGTTTATTTTGAAACCTCTTTCAAAAGGAAAGGCAATATTTACCCAGATAAATACAATGACATATTAACAGAAACTTCGGGAAAGCAGACAAAACCGAAAATAAGGTTTAAAACGTTACTATGATGAAAGGAAAGTTAATGCAAAGATAAGGACATGCGTCGCTCACTCATAGATATATATGCTGCTAGACTTCTACTGCTTGAACATATATGCAACATGCCGCGGTTTCTTGGAAGCAAAATGCTCAATAACGCGCTGATTAAAGTCATGCATCCCAGAAATAACGTCTCTGTGAATGGATAAAACAGCCAAGGAATTTAATCTATCTTGCTTCATTGTGTTTCTGAGATACGTTTTGATACGCTTCAGCGTGCTGAATGTTCGCTCTGCGTCGGTGGAAGAAATAGGCGTCGTCAAAATGATGTCCAGAAATTTTGCAGACGCCGCAAAGGTAGTTACTAGAGTGTTATCTATGAGGAACCCATAGAGCGCGCAAGTTGATGTGATGTTCAAAAAAGTTTGATTGGTGTATATACATCGCAATTCATTTTCCAATTTACCCACGTTTATCATGAGGTAAAATTTGGAGACAGTAGCCAACAAATGGATGGGGAATTGACGTGCAAATTTTGAAAAATTTTTGGGGTTCATCAAAGAGAACGCGGCAAGATTTTCAAAGCATTCCTTTGCAGACAAAATCAAACGCTGCGTTGTTTGCCCGCGGTGTAAAGAAGCACTCCATGTGTCGTCGTATTTTATTGTTTCCCGGATACGAGATACAGCATCGCAGAAGTCTGAAATACACGACTGCACAGACGCTCCATCCATTAGCCTTGACTGCAATGCGCCGTATAATACATCCACGTGATAGAATATTGCGGAGAAAAAATGAAAACTCACCATCTTCTAGCAGACGCTTTAGACCTGCTGCCTCCCTCACAGAGCGTTCGTCTCAAACCGGTGAGCTCTGAATGCCATTGAAACACTCAATGAGCTCAGACCTAATTTCGGACACGCCCTGCACCACGCGTGATTGGAAGTTCCAACGTGTTGGTGCACAAGCTGGGAGACGGCGGCTACATATCTGGCGAAGGAGGTCAGAGCGCTTCGGCGAAACGGAAAAAAATGAAGAAAACCCCGAAACATTTGCAAAAAATATACGGACGAGAGGGGTATCAAGACACATATTTTTAATACCGAGGTTAAATTGGTGTGCATAACAATGCAAAAAATGCGCATGAGAAAAATCTTCTTTTATATAAACTTGAACACCATGTTTCGACCCACTCATGACTGCCGCGCCGTCATAAGTTTGAGCTATCAATTTTGACTTCGCGTTGTAAGGCTGTAACACTTCTTTCAGTACAGCCGATATCCCGCAAGCCTTGCGATCAACGATTGGTACAAAGCTGTGAAATCTCTCGGTAGGTTCACCATCTTTCACAAACCGAAAAATCACAGCCAGTTGGGAAACGCACGTGATGTCAGTTGTCTCGTCAGACTGAATCGAAAGGAACTGGCAATTCTCAATTTCCAGAGCCAAATGTTGTAAATAAATTTTATACATTGAGTCGAGCAAATCATTTTGGATATCCTTAGATGTCCCTTTCGAAACAGTTGCGGCATCAAGTTGATCTCTCAATACTGTATCTAGGGATGCGGTGTATTCCACCATATCCAAAAATACAACCTCTATTAGAAAAGCCAGCCCGTTCATCGTGCCCACGGAGGGACAGCTCGTGACAACCAATGAACTTCAAAACATCTATCAATCGACCGAGAACATGGCGGTTTTTCTCGACGTTTTGGTTGTGCCGACGAATAGAAACCGCGCATCCTTCATCCAACTGTGCTGCAATATTAACATTTCCGAATGTTCGGTATTTTACTGCATTGTCCAGATGCTCCATAGAAGATTGATGATCCCTGGCACGCTCGGAAAGATGTTTAAGATCTCTAAAACCAAATTTACACCAACGTGGGTCACGGGCGGTAGCAAAAAGTAGGCGATAAAAACAAAAAAGTGCAATTTTGTCCTCGCTGTAACACAACCATTCGTGTTTTTTATACCAAGTTTCTGCGCAGAATGTACGCCAACGCTTTCCTCCGTCATGGGATTGTTCCAATTTTTTGGTTGATAAGGCCCAAGACGTTGTACCTCTAATTTTTGTTCCAGCGGCAGCTGCAAAAACGGGGTGCGAAGTAGTGCATCAACCTTATTCATTATGAGGTCTAAGGCTAAGAAATGCGAAGCCGGAAAGAAGTGAGGAGCTCAAAAGGAATGTGGAAAATCGAAAGCAAAAGAGGCGCTGATTAAAGTCATGCATCCCAGAAATAACGTCTCTGTGAATGGATAAAACAGCCAAGGAATTTAATCTATCTTGCTTCATTGTGTTTCTGAGATACGTTTTGATACGCTTCAGCGTGCTGAATGTTCGCTCTGCGTCGGTGGAAGAAATAGGCGTCGTCAAAATGATGTCCAGAAATTTTGCAGACGCCGCAAAGGTAGTTACTAGAGTGTTATCTATGAGGAACCCATAGAGCGCGCAAGTTGATGTGATGTTCAAAAAAGTTTGATTGGTGTATATACATCGCAATTCATTTTCCAATTTACCCACGTTTATCATGAGGTAAAATTTGGAGACAGTAGCCAACAAATGGATGGGGAATTGACGTGCAAATTTTGAAAAATTTTTGGGGTTCATCAAAGAGAACGCGGCAAGATTTTCAAAGCATTCCTTTGCAGACAAAATCAAACGCTGCGTTGTTTGCCCGCGGTGTAAAGAAGCACTCCATGTGTCGTCGTATTTTATTGTTTCCCGGATACGAGATACAGCATCGCAGAAGTCTGAAATACACGACTGCACAGACGCTCCATCCATTAGCCTTGACTGCAATGCGCCGTATAATACATCCACGTGATAGAATATTGCGGAGAAAAAATGAAAACTCACCATCTTCTAGCAGACGCTTTAGACCTGCTGCCTCCCTCACAGAGCGTTCGTCTCAAACCGGTGAGCTCTGAATGCCATTGAAACACTCAATGAGCTCAGACCTAATTTCGGACACGCCCTGCACCACGCGTGATTGGAAGTTCCAACGTGTTGGTGCACAAGCTGGGAGACGGCGGCTACATATCTGGCGAAGGAGGTCAGAGCGCTTCGGCGAAACGGAAAAAAATGAAGAAAACCCCGAAACATTTGCAAAAAATATACGGACGAGAGGGGTATCAAGACACATATTTTTAATACCGAGGTTAAATTGGTGTGCATAACAATGCAAAAAATGCGCATGAGAAAAATCTTCTTTTATATAAACTTGAACACCATGTTTCGACCCACTCATGACTGCCGCGCCGTCATAAGTTTGAGCTATCAATTTTGACTTCGCGTTGTAAGGCTGTAACACTTCTTTCAGTACAGCCGATATCCCGCAAGCCTTGCGATCAACGATTGGTACAAAGCTGTGAAATCTCTCGGTAGGTTCACCATCTTTCACAAACCGAAAAATCACAGCCAGTTGGGAAACGCACGTGATGTCAGTTGTCTCGTCAGACTGAATCGAAAGGAACTGGCAATTCTCAATTTCCAGAGCCAAATGTTGTAAATAAATTTTATACATTGAGTCGAGCAAATCATTTTGGATATCCTTAGATGTCCCTTTCGAAACAGTTGCGGCATCAAGTTGATCTCTCAATACTGTATCTAGGGATGCGGTGTATTCCACCATATCCAAAAATACAACCTCTATTAGAAAAGCCAGCCCGTTCATCGTGCCCACGGAGGGACAGCTCGTGACAACCAATGAACTTCAAAACATCTATCAATCGACCGAGAACATGGCGGTTTTTCTCGACGTTTTGGTTGTGCCGACGAATAGAAACCGCGCATCCTTCATCCAACTGTGCTGCAATATTAACATTTCCGAATGTTCGGTATTTTACTGCATTGTCCAGATGCTCCATAGAAGATTGATGATCCCTGGCACGCTCGGAAAGATGTTTAAGATCTCTAAAACCAAATTTACACCAACGTGAGTCACGGGCGGTAGCAAAAAGTAGGCGATAAAAACAAAAAAGTGCAATTTTGTCCTCGCTGTAACACAACCATTCGTGTTTTTTATACCAAGTTTCTGCGCAGAATGTACGCCAACGCTTTCCTCCGTCATGGGATTGTTCCAATTTTTTGGTTGATAAGGCCCAAGACGTTGTACCTCTAATTTTTGTTCCAGCGGCAGCTGCAAAAACGGGGTGCGAAGTAGTGCATCAACCTTATTCATTATGAGGTCTAAGGCTAAGAAATGCGAAGCCGGAAAGAAGTGAGGAGCTCAAAAGGAATGTGGAAAATCGAAAGCAAATGGACTAAAGGTCTCTAACTGATTCAAATAGCGAAACAAGCGACAAAAACGAAGGCGAGGAAACTATCAACTCTTCAAGCAACCAACGAACGAGAAGGAATGCGTGAATATGTCAACACGTTGTTGTAAGAAACGTCGGCATTGTGTCGTCATAATTTCGGGGCTAGCCCCGATCGGCCCCGATGATTTAGTAAAAGAAACAGAAAACAAACGAGACAAATGCGGCGAGTGGAAGATAAAAGAGAGAATACGATATACAATGAGCAACCGGGGCAAAATCGGCGTCGCCCCGTCGACGTTCGGCGAAGGCTTTGCGAGCGAAAAATGAACCAGTCTGTGCAACCGATATTGAGGTATTTTTCGAATATTTTTTATTATACCGAAAAAACAACCGGGGCATTGCCCCGGTTGGCCCTATTGACGCGCCGCCATAATATGTCTTTATTAGGAAAGAATTAGGCAACCCCACCATGTGTGCGACGAAGCGAATACTCAACGATGTTGAAACACAACCCAATAGATATTTTATTTGCTACTGTACAGTGACTATTAGAGCGTTAAATTTGTTGACACGTGAATACCGAATATTTGTTTTTCCATCTCGTTCCGGAATGCGAGCTGCATTGCTTCAAAATTGAATAATATGAACTATTATTCAAGGGGCTGAAAATATGGAAATTATAAATAGCTGCAGTTTAGGTATTCGTCGTCTATTTGTATGTTATTTGGCAGTATTAGAGATCGCCATAAAAAGATATGATTATAATCATATGATGATAATTCACGATATTAAAAACCCATGTAAAAGTTGAGGATAGATTGTAAAATAGAATGTAGCTAGCATATAGCAATACACTGTTCACATAAGCCACAGTAAAACTGAAATAAGTGACGTGGAAGCAACTGCATACGTAAAAGATAAGCCATTTGCTGGACTTCGCTTTCATATTTAATGAAGTTTGATGCCGAGGAATTTTTGCCATTCGATTTTTTAAATCGGAGTTCAAACAAATTTAGAGTGTAGTCAACTAAAATTGTATATTAAGCATGGACAAGATTCCACCAGCATTGATAAAACCAGAAATCAGATACACCAAGGTAAAATACATTTTTCTCTAAAAATCATTACCCGGATAAATCAAGGCAATTTATTACATGCAATGAGTAATCAAATAACGGTACTCCTGAAGTATGCGCACCAAGATGTCGCACAACCTGAACCCTAACATGGTACACAACATCAGTTCAGGTTGCGCGCCATCTTGGTGCGCATACTCCAGGAGGTTTCAAGAATTTAAACAATTTGCATTTTATTACATTACCAATTGTTCTTCAGTTATTCATCAACAATGAATGGGTTGACTCTAAGGATGGTTCGACGTTTGCTACTTACAATCCATCAACAGAAGAAAAAAATGCTGACGTTGCAGAAGGAAAAGAGGTGAGGCTGATATAGAAGTACAGGTTGTTATCTTGGGTCGATCCATATATAAAACTGTACTTTACTTGGAAGTCGTCGAACCCGATATCTCCTATTCACCACAGGTTTTGTGCGAGACATGGCTAACCAAGCATTGGGTGGTTTTCGAAATCATCCGCCAAATATCTTATCTAGAAAACACTATAGCTTCTTGTCCAACCATGCCTCCACGACACGTTTTGAGTTTCGCATGTGGACGAGTTTTTATATTTACGAAGCCATACCAACTGGAATATTCAGTTTTATTACAGTTTACTGATGGCTTTATTGATTTTAAGCACGCTCATAACGACTTTGTAATATTCCCATCATACAAATCTGAGCAATACCAGAATGATCAGAACGGGATTTTTATTTCCAGGTTAATTTCAAGTAATTTTATACATTTATAGGCCGACATAGATGCAGCAGTTCAAGCAGCCAAAGCCGCATTCGCACCAGGTGCTGCATGGCGCAAGATGGATGCTTCGTACCGAGGAGTTCTGCTAAACAGATTTGCAGATTCAATCGAAAAGGATGCACAATATATTGCGGTAAACTGAATTGTTAATTAAAATTGCGATCAATGTTGCTATATATATAAACAAATTCGGGCGCTCCAGAAGTGTATGTACCAATATGGTGGTAACTAATTTGTTCACCTCCTTTACAACAAGTCGTGTAAAGGGACTGAAACCTATGGGTAGGGTGTATATTCACTTGGCTAACACAGACAGTCCCCATGGCCTAATCTTAATTAACCTGGTACACATATAGCGGGATTACCTAACCTGGTACATATGTAGTGATTAGTTATCACCACACGTAGATTGTTTGTAGATTGATCTGGTTTGTGTATTATAACCCCAGCATTGACTGACAATAATTTTGTCTTGCGTTCGTTAACTCGAACTGATAGCCTTCGGCTGTAGTAAAGAGACGTTTGAAAACACCTTATGAGTTTATTGCAATTCCGACAATATACACAGAAATACAATGCACACTTAATTAGATCAAATCTAGTCTGATTAACACAAAACACATTGCTGAATATATAGCTTTCTACAGAGCAATTAAAATATATTAAAGAAACAGATTTTTACATTAATAATGAAAGAATAACGCGTCATTACGGTTTCTGGGTATCTTTTGGTTCACTATAATCAAATATTAATAAAGTGTTTTCTTAAAGTTCATTACTAGCAATTAACTTGTCATTGACAAGTCATCGTGTTCCTGGTCACGTACTTACTCCAATTATGATATATATTTAAAAAGTTGTTCCCAAGTGGATAATTTGGTTTTAACAAGATATTTCGAATTTACGTTATTAGAAATTTACTGGAAATGAAATTTATTTTTACATGGGGATGGTACCGAAAGTTATTTGGAAGTACCGGGATTCATCCGATTCGGTATTGCATGCCCAATGTATTACGCCATAGTGGAGGTGGTGGCATGGAATTTGAACCCGAGATGTGTAATCTGTGATGCCAAGTATCAACAAATTTGTGCGGTAGACTTTCATCGAAGATTACACATGCTACAAGTGACTTTAAAATTTGCATACAATACTTTAGGAAAAAAAACATTTTGCTATTCAGACGTGCAGGGTTGATTAAAGGGTTTATTCATTATTGTTTTTAGTCTCTCGAATGTTTTGATAACGGAAAGTTGTACGATTCTTTGTTGAAATTCGATGTACCATACAGCATATCAATTATCAGATATTTTGCTGGATGGGCGGACAAGTATCACGGAAAAACCATTCCATTCGGTAAAATAAACTTATGTGTTGATATATCTACTAATACAATTAAATAGGTTTTGTTAGGGTTTAACCCCAGTGTCGAATATGACTTGAAGTCACTAATAACAGCCATCTTATCGCTAAATGCTGGTGTCAACATTTAGAATAGCGTGGCGGTAAGTGAATGTACAAAGCACAAGTTAAAGTATGAAAATAAGTATTCATAGTATATAATCGATCATATCTTTAATCTAATTATTATCTAGCATGGGCTGGGTTTAGGCCATTGTAACCTATGCGGCAAAAGTGGGCTTCTCACTTCCATACACCCCCGCACTACTTCTAGTTCTATATATAATACACCGATTCACCAAAATACTTTATTGTATTCAAAATATTTTCTGTGTGGTATTTGGTGGAATAAACTTATCCCATCTCAAACTAATCACGAATTGCTTGAAGTCGACTAATCACGAAGATACATTGACTTCGAGGACCCCCAGAAGTATGTGCACCAAGATGGCGCACAGCCTGAACATAGCATCTGTACCAGGTTAGGGTTCAGGTCGTGCGCGATCTTGGTGCACGAACTTTGGGAGCGCCGACTTCGCTACAGGAAGGCTTGGAGTATGAACTGACCTTTTTCGGGAATATATTTGGAGGTCGTTGATTTTATTAATTATTCCGTCAGAGACTATTTTATAAAATTTCGTACGGAATAGAGTCAAACCATAATCAATCAATGCTATAGCTATTCTTTTCCAGATGGTGACTATTTTTGTTACACCAAGCATGAACCTGTGGGAATCTGTGGAGCAATACTTCCGGTAAGTTAAATCAGTACCTATCGAGGGTAAAATTATTCAATAGCAAATATCCTGATTTTTAAATCTTCGTCTACACTACTATTCGACTTGGCTAGAACATTCCATAAACAGTGGTGGGATTCGAAATTGAAAATAACGGATTCTTTTTTGTATCGAACTCAATAACGAAAGGAAATATATATATGTACACTAATAGTACGTTAGCTGCATTAATACGTTCAATAAATACCTCTTGAAACTCCAAATATAACGCTAGCCGTCTGCTGCTGCTGCCCGTAACCCATTTATTGAGGTAGTACAACGTCTAAAACAACAGGAACGGCGTCGCTAATTAGCACGATATTTCAAGAACGGGTACGAGCGAACCCTTGCAAACTTCCTAATTCTTACCACTGTTCATAAACAATATTGTAACATTTTAGAATGATTTTTAAAATAAAATAAACTGTAGTAATTTTGCTTTCATACAAAACAGTGGAATGTGCCAATAATAATGTTTACAATGAAATTTGCTCCCTGTGTGGCAATGGGGAACGTCTTAATTGTGAAACCATCGGAAAACACTCCTCTGAGTGCTTTATACTTGGCATCTCTTGCAAAGGAAGCAGGATTTCCACCAGGGGTTTTGAACGTTGTGCCAGGTTAGATTTTATATGTATAATTTGTGCCAAGATGAAAACAAACAATTCTGTGCGTCTGCTTCAACAAGCCCAAAATTGGGTCAGACATTTATAATCGAAATTTGATACGTGCAATATCATAGTAAATACTTCCCCCTTCTCTCTATTTATTAATCAAAATATCGTTATTCTCATTCCGGATAAAATACTGAATCACTGATGAATGTACTGAACCAGTAGGCAGGCTACAAGAAATTTTATACAATTTATCTCGAATAAAAGGAGAGCCGGTGAATCAAATCACATGTCCTCACCTCACGCTGGATGTAATAAATAAACTCGTGCTAAAAGCTTACTGGTATATAATCCGATGTTTTGTAGGATTTGGGAAAACTGCTGGACACGCTTTATCACATCACATGGAAGTCGACAAAATTTCATTCACTGGATCAGGAGTGACCGGACGCTTGATTCAGAAAGCTTCAGCTGATTCCAATTTGAAACGAGTCTCTCTGGAACTCGGAGGGAAAAGTCCCAATATTGTGTTCTCTGACGTTGATAGTGAGTTTCATTATATTTGATTCAAACATACGTGCTATTACTACTGAAACTTGGCTTTTATAGACATCAAACAATACAATCTGACTTTGAGCTAGTCAGAAAGTTAAAAACAATATTAGCAAACTCTAGTTTGGGAGCACCGGAAGTATGTGCATCAAGATGGCGCACGACATGAACCCTAATCTTTTACAGCCATTTTTTCAGGCTGTGCACCATCTTAGTGCACATAATTAGAGAGCACCCTAGTTTGTTATTGTCTATATTTTGAAATACAGGTTGAAACCATAAGCGTTGTAGTTTATGCAGTGAATTTCTGATTGTCTGGTTGAACTTTTATTCTTATATCAAAAATAGATAACTATAGATGAACTAAAGCATTTTATTTTTGCAGTCGATGAAGCAGTATCTCTCGCTAGCAATGCTATGTTTGTGCATAATGGTCAAACATGTTTAGCTGGAAGTCGTACTTTTGTACATGAAGACATATACGAAGAATTTGTTAAAAAGAGCGTTGAGAAAGCAAAATCATTGAAAATTGGAGAGCCTGAGGACGTCAGCACGGAGATCGGTCCACTGGTAATAAATTATATTCTTCCTGTGGGTGAATAAAATGGAATATGAGAAAGGCTTTAAGATAGGACTAATGTCATTTCAAAACAAATTGACTTAATATCTTCAAATTTCAATTCTTCGATCAGATCAGTAAAATCCAAGAGGACCGAGTGTTGGGACTTTTAAAAAGCGGTGTCGAGGAAGGTGCAAAAGTTATGTGTGGTGGAAAAAAGATGGAGGGAAAGAAGGGATTTTATATAGAACCAACTGTGCTTACTGGCCTTTGTGATGACATGAAGGTTTCAAAAGAAGAGGTCAGGGTGCATTTTATAAACATTTAATCCTCGTTTCAAAATAACATACAACAGAAGCTAATGAGATTTAAAATTAGGAATGCACATGGAACCCCTTTTCCGCATGCCTAGGCTTTGTAAGATATTTGTACTGCAGATTTTCGGACCTGTTCAGCAAATCTATAAGTTTAAAGATGTGAATGAAGTGATAGAGCGAGCAAATAATACTAGATATGGACTTGTTGCTGGAGTTATTACAAATGATGTAAATAAAGTTATGGCAATTTCGAACGCTCTACGGGCAGGAACTGTGTGGTAAGTAAATTCTGATGAAATCAAGCATTCAAGTTTCAAAATTTATCAGCGATTATTGTGAGACCTTGGTTGTATTTTTTCAAACTCAGCGGGGAAGACAAAATTCGAACCGTATCTTTCCACGAAATTTTAGTACTGTAGCATGGGTACAAATTTCGGTACTCTCGTAGTGTGTGTACCAGGGGTCAGGCCATAATTTTATTCCGATTTTCCTTATTTTAATTTTATCACGAGTTCGGGGACTGTCTATGTTAGCCAAGTGAATATACATATCCCTTGCCCATAGGCTTCCGTCTCTTTACACAATTTGATGTAAAGTAGGCAAACAAACATATAGTTACCTCGATATTGGTTATCTCCATATACGTCTGGAGGGCCCAATTTCCTTGTCTAATATTTCAATAACACAACGCGTATAGTTTTAGTTATTTGCTTTCGTAATATACTTGGTGATATTTTATAAGTGAAAGTAATTTAATCTTTCATCAGGGTGAATTGTTATTTCGTACTCAGTCCTGGGAATCCATTTGGAGGATTTAAAGAATCTGGAATCGGTCGCGAAAATGGTGAATATGTTTTGAGCCAATACACAGAAGTCAAGACCGTTATTATGAAAATTCCCGGATCAGGTGCTCAAGTGTGAAACAGAGTGTAGGATCCATTTCACACCATTATAAATATGTACTCTATATATGTATTGATTCATTTTCACAATTGCATTTTTAAAAACCAAAATAACCAGTACTTTTCTCACATGCTACCTCTTCATGCTCTTTGTTATGATTTTATGTGCAGCTATCAAATAGGCAAAAAAAAAATAGGTTTGATAGGAGAAGGCGTAATATGATCCGTTTTGTGAGTCACTGTTTGATAATAAAAAGTTTTTACTTTCTTAATACTAAGCGATGTGTGTGTATGACTGTACGAGAGTGTTTGTATATCCATTTTTATTGAACTGCCATTAAGTCTATAGTTTATAGGTCAACAAGGTTTATGGATTCCAATGCCAAATTAGTCTCGCTTCATAATTCCACATTATCCACATTTCCTTAAAACGAGATGAAGGCTCTCCACACTTTACTAATCAAGACGGATGCTATGCGAGTCGTTTATTGTGATTATCGGTTAGTCTTATGTCACACATTACGTAATGATTGTCAGGTGCGAATTTTAATACTTAGGATGGTATTATTAGGTTTATTCATTTATTTATCCGGTGAGTTTTGTTGTAGATAACTGCACTTTGAGGTATCGATTCTATCATACTGACTGTTATTCGAGTGCTTCAAGTTGACACTAAAAACTTTGGGTCAAAGTCGTTATTTAAATTTTCCTATATACAATATTAGAAATTAAATGTAGATGTTCAGGTCAACTATTATTATTTAAAATGAATTGAATTGACAGATCTATTTCTGATCATCATCCTTTCCTAATAATTTCATAGCCTAATAAATCCATCCCTTCCATAGTAATCTCCCAAATAGTGCGCCAATTATATTACTTTTATTTTTATGAAGTGAAATTTGAAAAAACTTCACATTTTTTAAATTAACTGATCAATGGCTAAAATGGCCGCAAATATTTACGATTAAAATCGGCAAAATATGTTGGTTGCCGTATGCTACCATGGGACAATATGAAAATCAGTGTCTTTTATGAAATATCTCAGAATACCCACCTTTGAACGAAAACATATAACTTACGTATAAATGTTTAGTAAAGTGTGTGTTCTTTATAATCGACTACTTTTTTTTCTTTTCGAAATTTGTATAATTGTTAAAAAATACAATCTCTTTCTATTTCATTTGTTTTTTATTCTGAAAACTTGTGAATGTAACGAAATGAGCTGTGTCATTAAAAATAGCAACAACGATGCAGCATTCTGATAGATTCATATTGTAAATTGAAACAACACATTTGTATGACTGATAATAAGCTTATTCTTAGACTCTTAGTACTCAGTTTCGTAGGAAAAGAGAAATAGTAATCACGACAACCCCTTAAACGTATTGAGTACTTGAAAATAAACATGTCAAGTATGTTTTCACCAAAACCTTCGCGAAATCATCTGAGCCTTCTGTATCGATTTCGAGATTTAAACTAGTAGAAAAACATTGCGAATGTGCAACAATTAAAAGAAAATACATTTTCTGAATACCTTACTTGACCTAACCTAAGTCCAACGTACGGGGAACGCGTTCAATTAAACTCGTTGTTAATGTCCTGAAAATTATTTAGACAGCGCAAGAAATCATGTTGATGCACATATGATAAATGAGAACGCAAAGCATAATATTCAATATTTTCATATCAGCACTTTTCACATATCTGTATATTTCACGGTGGTGCCGTTTGTCTTCTCTTATAATCCATCACGAGTTCATGAAACAGCAATAGCAACACCCCCGTGACTGGCTGAGAAGATCGAATGGCTTTTCCGACCCAAATTAATAAACGATATCATATGATTAATTAACTGTTATCAAATAAGATAACTGTCGGCAATACAGATTTTAATAATTACTCGGCTCACTTTAGGTCAGTCTTGTGGCGATATCATTTACTATATATTCTCCATAATGACCGGAATTTTACTTACTTGTGATTGCGAAACTTCATCAATGCGCCGTATGATCTGTACACTATGATTCTCGGAGCTTAGTTTTATTTCCATTTTCAGGGTGAAGCCGAGATAGATTTCAAGCGGCGATTTCAGAGTGCATTTTCATCGGTAATTTTGATCACTTCACGCATGTACAAACGGACTTTCTGAACATTCCGTCACAAGTAGACAGAAATATCTAAAAAATAACACTGATCGTACAATAGTGCATCCTAAGAGAGCAGTAATTGTCCAAGATTCTGCTCGGGACCTTTATTCTTCGTATTGTTCATCAACTTTATCTTTATTGCTCTGATTTCTTGACAAAATTCTCCGTCGATGACACTGGTCCTATTAATCGTGCGAAATCCAAGTCAACCCCGGCAAAGCATGTAAATATTGGAATAGAAAATATAGTCGGACGGATAATTTGTAACAGGTTTAATAACCAATATAAAATGATTTCTAAGGGATGATGCCGGATTGAAAATGATAACTAAAAATGTTTCTTAACAATATCAGATAAACAGAATTTGCTAAGTCAAGTTGTTAAGAATCTGCTTGAGAGAGGCCAAGACTCGCGGAGGATGGATCGGAAGACGTTAGCGTGATATTGCACAATATTTGCCAAAATATGGCACTGCTTTCATGTGACTTGACTTTGCAAATACAGCGGTCGTAAACGCCGTTCTCCCTGTTCGAGCGTTGTTGGGTAGAGTCTAACTTACATAGGCGAAATAGCCAATATTTGTTTTAAGGTTATCGCAACAGTGCAACATGAGTCAGCTATTTCAGTTTATAGTTCTATCAGCACATTCGCGATAGTAATGTTCGAGACAGGCTAAGTTCTGACAATATGCTTCGAGTGGGGAACTGGGAATGAGCGAGGTTAATTTTGTAAATCACGCCGGCATTAAATTTGGTGATATAATGAGGTAGGGGAGAGATCCAACAATATTTTTATCGTGGAAAACTTAGTATGCGACTACAAGATTTTAAATATTTGCAGCAATGAGATTCAATGTTTTAAAAATGGGTTTCAGCCTACTTTATATAAATACACTAACAGCAGATTACCTGATTTCAGAACAGGTATGTTTGTCGCTATACGTAAGGTACATTAACATGGCACGCTTTACATAAACAAAATCGAATATATGGCATATGTATAGTGATTGACTTGAAAAATGGACGTAAAAACTTGCCAAGCGCTTCTAATTTGCAATAAATCTTTCAAAACGTCACAAATATCGATAGAGGCTCATGTACACCTTCTCAAGCTTGAGTTCAGTGGTTGGCGCGGTAAAACGCAACCGAAGAGCTATTAAGTGAACGACCCTGCTGCGATGAAACCACCTTGCGAAAATTGAAATGCGATCGAATAAATGAGTTTGTATATCTTTGAAAAACTCTATCACTTCAAACTTAAAAACAAAGCATGCTAAGCATAAATTAACCGAACAGTATTAACCGTAATAATGTCTTCAGTTTATGAGGAAAATGTCAATACAAGAACTCGAAATCCATATTATGGCGTCATAACAGATTAGTTGTGGCGTCTTTGCATCAGAGGACTCCTACAATTAGCATAGGCTAGGCTAGGGTGTCTCGTCGTTTACTTTATATCAGTAGATTACCGCCAATATCAGCATATTCTTCATTATCGCAACCCAGTTTTGCCAAAAGGCTGCACTTGATCTAATTGCTTTTGTAGTGGGCTCGTGAGCTAATTTTCACGATTTTTCTTACTCAAAACGTCTCTCTGATATCTCGGCTAAACAGTCCGGGTATAATCTTATGACTTTGGTGGAGATACAAAAGTGGCAATAAATGTACGCAATAGGAGTAAAAGTCAAATTGAAAAATTTTACTTACATTTTTAAAATTATAATTCTGGCTGCGTGTGCAGCTGCCAGAATGCAACGTTTTGGCGTAGTTTCGCGGCGATGCAAGGGGTATTTCAATAAAAAATACAAAAAAATACAGGAAAAATTTGATTTAAAACAAGCCCTTGTTTTAAAACACAATGTTTTTTTTTGGAAATGATAAAAAACAAAACCCTACCTAAAAGTGGTGTGATTTGATTCATACGAAAGTCTTTGTTTGAATTTTGAGAACAATCAACTTTGTTTTCATATTTTTAATATTAAATGGAGGTAAAACTCCGAAATTGGGGTATACTCATGAGGGTTATTGCTAAATATTTACTAATATTCAAGCAAGGTATCAATCCATTAACTAGAAGTGAGAAAGAGACTGGCAGAAGAGCTGCAAACTTGACGGTTTGGTATATACTAGTCCTAAGTCGGTAGTATATATCAAAGAATCTAGTGGAAGGGAATTCATTAGTAAAATGGTTTAAAAACCTTGGGCGAATAGTTTGAATAAATATTGTGAGGCCCATAATAAAAAAAAAAAAAATAAACGCAGAGAGAAACGGTATAACCTATCATTCGTGTGTTATTTTATATGTACAGAAATTCAGAATCCACTTTACCTGCATTTAATTAACATGGCCGGAATTCCACCAGCATTGAAAAATCCTGAAATTAAGTATACCAAGGTGAGATGTATTTTACACACCAGTAACATTATGTTCTTGGAATATTTAGAAAAATTATGTATTCCCGTTACTGTGACGTAAACTGCACAAAAATTGAAGACAGTCCTGCAAATACCCTGGCCCGTGGGGCAAAAACTCATGACTATACTGACTTTAATAAAAAATTGAAATGCTGATAAAGCTGATTGATGATGCTGGTTTGACTCTAAAAATGCTGATCATATGAAGTAATTCAACAAGTCTCTGGCAGTGCAGAACGGCTAATTAAATAATTATATTGGTAATTAAATTTTTTATTTTTCAAGATTTTTATCAACAATGAATGGGTTGATTCTAAAGATGGTTCAACATTTGAAACCTGCAATCCTTCAACAGAAGAAAAGAATGCTGATGTAGCAGAAGGAAAAGCGGTGAGTAGATGTAGGTAGTACCAATGATACGTTGTCTAGCAGGTCACAACTTTGTTATAAAGAATCATAGAAGATTTCTCAAGTTGGGTAGTAGGTCAAGTAGGGTAGAAAAATACATAAGCTATTGGCACAAAATGCATAACATTGCAATTTCATATATATTGGTTAGTATACTATATATTATGCAATATTTGGTGTAGCATATCGATTTATACCTTTTGCATTGCTAACGCATTTGTATTTGTAAGATTGAATACCAATTCACTAGTTTAAACCAGCAGTGCCGTGTACTGATTACACGTATAATAGCTTTTAGTTTTATGCCGTTTGCAACATACGCGCTTACACCCATATACAAATATTTACATGACAAACTGATGCGCCGAACTCAAATACCTTTCGAACGGTGACCGTACATTTGAACCCACGTACATTTGCACCCGTATATCCGCGGGTTCAATCTATATGAGGGTGCTAAAATCTATGGGTTAGAGTTAGTATGGGTTCAAATATCCGTTAAAAAATTAAGTAAGCGCAATAGTATGCAGGTGCAATTGTCGTGGGTTCAAGTTACGGGTTCAAATGTACGTGAGTTCAAATGTAATGGAATCCTTTCAACCAGGCGAGGTTTACACTTAATGTATTGCAGAACACGTTTCATTTTGCTGATAAAAGAAATAGCAGGGTGGGCGCTAGAAAAACAGAAAATTTGTCAAACCCCATTTATTTTTACAAAGAATTGTGATTAGATGCTCGAAATGTCGCCCATGCACTTCAGAGCAGTAGCACCTAAAAGGTATCAACCCACAAACCTAGAACCTAAATAAAATAGAAGCTCATCGAAATAAATATGAGTAAACACGCATTATATTCGTGATCTCACCTGACCTTCAAATTTCCAACCACCACCCTGTATATATAACAATAAGCAATAACATATAATAGTATGTTCCAATCAAGTATGCGACTGCACTCATCCAATTTATGTAATCATTCGGACTTCACCCTGATTCAAATATCCCCGAATATGTTCATTATTCAATCAAAAAATGCATCAACGAAAAAACACATCGACCATTTCAATTTCATTGTTATAAATAGGATAGTTTACGATTGTTCCATTAGCGGCTTCATCATTCAGAATGTAATATTTTTATAAGAACTAAATACCGCATATTCCATTTAATGGAGAATCAATAAGGTGGATTTATAGGGGATATCGTTTTTGAACAAATTTCAGTAATTAACCTATGATGAAAAATAAAATAATGCTACATGTTAATGCCACTCATTTTGAAAATCAAACGAACCAATGATTTTTCGACAGCTATTTCCCATGTTTACAGAGCATTTTATGGATTTTTCAAAACGCCATTTTAGAGCAAAAAATTACTTTTTTACCTGTTAGCCAATTGTTTATAACTCAGTAATTATTTTTTGAACACGAGGCATACGTATTGCACGGTAGCTCAAATACAATAGGGATTTTACGACATGTCGTTAAATAAAACACTTTGCATCGAATTTTACAATTTGATGACGTGCATGACGCTGCAAACGGTGCTATTCATCAAATAGTTGCACAGTGGTTCCCGATCCTAAAAAAACTATTGATACTGGAGTAAATTTTACAAAATTTCATTTCGTAATCAACTCCGAAATATGTCTGATTCATGCATGTTTAAACGGAAACAAGACTCTCCAAAGTACTCCATTGATTTTAAGACGGGGCATATCATTATCGAAAACGTATGAAGCTTTATAACATTCCTACTCGAATAAGCACATATCTGAGGACAGTCGCACAAACATATAAATTTTAAGCATCAAGCATATTCACTGCCATGTATACAAATAAGTCGAGTCATTATCAACTCAGGACTGATTGCGCAAGAATTTGTAAGGCTTTCACGCGCGTCCAGCATTCGTGACCGCTGAACAAACATTTATTTTATTCATTGCTGAATCATTGTATAGGCTTGGCCTAAAAGTTTTGAAATCTCACGAAATTAATTTTTTTGAATGCGACATTGCTTAATCAAGAATTGGATGCATTCGCTTAGATTTGAATATTCATACTTTCATTTACTATATTATCTTCAACAGCACATTACTTTTAAAACTTGGAAAGTTATATGAAAAATCTCCGAACCAAACACTGGCTTTAGGTCCTACAGCATAGTGGGGCAATATGAATTTGCTCTCTTCTTATTGATTAAAATCAAATTGAACTCGAAAAATTCTAGTCAAGTCGAACCTATAGCTATGAAAATTTTGCTCAAGTCAGTTTCATATTTATTCTCCTATTTGGAAATATTACATGCGCATTATACCAGGTTTTCATAACTTAAAAATACTGACAATTTAACATAGTTGCATTAACATCGGTATACTACATATGTACAGTCAAGGCTATAATGAAGTGCGCTATAATAAAACAACACCACCAACACAAAAAGAATTTAGATAAAAATGAATAATTTCTCAATACACCAAACAAGACCATATGTTTCCACACTTACCAGCTCATCGAAATATATTCATATAATTTTATGTAATACCAGAAGAATCAGGCTAGGCTTGCAAATTTGCTTTGCATTTTCGAACAAGTGTGATTACCGTGTCTCCCCGAAAATAAGACAGTGTCTATAAATACCACGTTTTTATTTAAAATAACTGCTAAACATAGACTTTAATCATATAAACGAGTAGAAAGATTTCTTGCCTGTCGACTGGGTCAGAAAAAATTTCGCGCTTTCGACTAGGTCTTATTTTAAGGGGAGGGCTTATATTAAAATCATTTTTAAAATTCAGGCTAGATCTTATTCCGGGCTAGGTCTTATTTTCGGGAAACATGGTGTATTTAAAATTCAAAAATTTCCATATTCCCAGTAACTTTGATAAGTATAATCACAATTTTGGTTTATGCTGTTTAATATGTTGCTCCTTGGTCGTTTGTACAGATAATGCTAGCGCCCCTTGCCGGAAATGGCAAAATCTAATATTACTGAATATATATTACTTATGTATTACTTTTAAGGCTGACATAGACGCAGCAGTACAGGCAGCAAAAGCTGCATTTAAGCCTGGATCTGCATGGCGCAAGATGGATGCTTCAGATAGAGGACGTTTGTTGTACAAAATGGCTGATTTAATGGAACGCGATGCACAATATCTTGCGGTAAGATTCTCTGAGCTTCTACCGTTACATTTTATTCCCCATCGGTTTGGATAGTGTTTTTATTATTATCTGAACAAATATACCAGTATGACACTTACTTGAAATCCAACAAAATACCTTAAGTAAGTAAGAGGTATTTGTTTCATTCCAGGCTGTGATAACATGGCGTGGTCTCGTTGCCCGTCTAGTTGAGGAATATAATAACAATTATATTAACGTATAAGTTTTGTAACTTGTATTGCAGTATTTTTTATTAAATTTATATCAGTTCTTCTCAAATTGGGTTGGTTCTGTGAACCGTTTTAGGGGCCTGTTTGAATAGCTCTATGCTGTGTTCTTTTATTACGTTTTCGGGTTGAAAATTGTGAGGGTCCGCTGTGACCTCCGAGAAGCGTAGGGGGTCCACAAGCTTAAAAAGTTTGAGAACTACTGCTATATATCATTTTGTATAAACGTGTTAAACATTTCAATGAATTGATATTCATATACATATATTTCATTTAGTCTCTGGAATGCTTAGATAGTGGAAGATTGTATGCTCACGCACTTCTCGGTGACATACCCGCTTGTATTAAAGTATTCAGATACTTTGCTGGATGGGCGGATAAGTACCACGGGAAAACAATTCCATTTGGTAAATACATCTATTTCACTATGTAACTAATTATAAAACAATGTTCGGTAATAATGAATTCATGTATCGAAATACTAATGCACTGAAAAATCTGTGTACTGTTCGCATGAAATGACTTCTACACTGAAGGTTAGAGAGAAAAACATATAGATTCAAATTAATATTTGAAAAGGTTTTGACCTAAAAAGATTTGGCGCCCCCGAAGTATGTGCACCAAGATGGCGTAAAACCCGAACCCTAACCGGGTACACATACTATGTTCAGGTTGTGCGCCATCTTGGTACACATACTTCAAAAACTCCAGAGATTTTATACACTTTGCCAATACATAAATCCTGTACATTATGGAAGAGACATTCTTACAATGGCGCTAGTGATTTGAATTTTTTTGTTTGGTTTCTTCTCTAGATGGCGATTACTTTTGCTATACCAAGCATGAACCTGTAGGAGTTTGTGGAGCAATAATTCCTGTAAGTGAATATTAAAAGTTGAATGGCGTAGTTTATGGTCACAATTCGACTCAATGCTCTTTTACATTTAAAAGCCAATGAGTGCATAATAGATTTATGGTTGGCACATCGTGGTAAAAGTTAGATACATCCCTGCGATCAGGGATTCACAAGATTGCTGAATCCACCATGAAACTCTTTCATGAAATTCTAACCTATCCCAATATAAAGTATTCTCACGCTTAAAATGTTTTTAAATAATTTCCAGTTTTTACTAACTATAACAGTTTTTTTTAACAAGTAACGGCTGGTTGAACAGAACCGTGTTAAACGGGGAAAAAAAAGTAAAAACCTCCGTATATAAAAACGATAGGAAGATAAATGATATGGGATGTCGAAACGAAGACAACAAGCATGGTCATAGAATCTTCATGTTTGGACATTGAATGCTCAAATCTTTTATCAGTGCTCGAGTATAAATAAGCCATTTATTACTTTAGTGACTATCTCACAATTTTCGAACTCTTTTACCAGTGGAACGTTCCCATAGCTATGTTCACATGGAAAACTGCGGCCTGTTTGTCGATGGGGAATGTTCTTGTTCTGAAACCAGCAGAAAATACTCCTTTGACTGCATTGTATTTAGCATCACTTATGAAAGAAGCTGGATTTCCACCAGGAGTTTTGAACGTTGTGCCAGGTTAGACTTCAAAATATACCTATCTTATTTTATCACAATGTATACATTAAAATCTGTATCTAGAACAAGGGCGATCCGCTTTTTGAAACTTTTTCTCACTTGTCTCCGGTATTTACTAATGGTATGTGGCATCACTTTTGAAATGAGAGAAATAATTTCATATTCTCTTCATAAAAATCCCTGCTGTAAGCAATGTATTAGGGTCATTTTTGGGCGTTCCCGTAGTATGTGAACCAAGATGGCGGACACCGGAACATAGTATGTGTATCAGGTTAAGGTTAGGCAATAAATTTATTCCGGTGTCCGCCATCTTGGTTCACATTCACATACTTAGAGAGTACTCATTTTACCTTATTTCAGGATATGGCAAGACTGCTGGACACGCTCTATCACATCACATGGAAGTTGATAAGATTGCATTCACAGGATCAGGAATGACAGGACGCTTGATTCAGAAAGCTTCGGCTGACTCTAATCTGAAACGAGTCTCTCTAGAACTGGGAGGGAAAAGTCCAAACATAGTATTTTCAGACGCTGATGGTAGGTTTCATTATTGTTGTTTTTTCATGAAATTCGTCTTTTATTGATTATAACTATAAGTAATGTTAGATTCTTGCTTTTTTTTTATCTTGCTTTTGTCTGATTGATTGTATATTAATTACACTTTATACTTATTACAATTAATTAGAATGCGTGGAGTTGACAACTAAACTACCCAAGTATTTTTCAGTTGACGAAGCTGTATCTCTTGCAAATACTGCTGTATTTACGCACAACGGACAGATTTGCTGTGCAGGAACCCGGACTTTTGTTCAAGAAGACATTTACGATGAATTCGTTAGAAAGAGCGTTGAAAAAGCAAAATCTTTGCCATCTGGAGATCCTAGTGAAATCACCACAGTACATGGACCTCTGGTAATATGTGAAACAATTTATGTGTGAAAATAGTTTAGTTTGCTATTAAGTACATCAATTTTGGCCTCTTCCGATGAAGCATTTTAACAACTGCAGTAATTCGTTTGTGTGGTATATTATGAAGAGTAAGATCGATAATATTGGATAATAGAGACATTAATTAGCAAATGCATTAGATAAGAGCAAACCTTTTGTCATTTTTATATTATCATCCTTAATTTTTTAGTGAATATTCGGTGTTTTTTAATAAATTTCCAGATTAGCAAAATCCAAGAAGATCGAGTGTTGGGACTTCTGAAAAGTGGTGTCGAAGAAGGTGCTAAAGTTATGTGTGGTGGGAAAAAGATGGAGGGAAAGAACGGATTTTATATAGAACCAACTGTATTTACTGATCTTCGTGATGACATGAGAGTTTCAAAAGAAGAGGTGAATTTGCAATATATATGTTATTTGTAAATACCAATATCAAATAAGGCCAAAATTTAAGAACACGAAAATAATTCTCATGCGTTCTGTTGTTGCAAGACATTTAAATCGGATCATGCCATCATGTATGCAAGATTTCATACGTAATTTGGTTTTTGTTTATTATATTGGCAATTTTATTCTGGTTGATGTGACAATAAATTGCTTTCTCTTCTTTCCTGCATGCTTAAATTTACTTTTTTCAGAAAAAAATAGAAAATACCTCGTATAGTGCTCAGAATCGCGAATTATGAATCGAATTGCGGCGTTAGCCCGCAAATGTTTAATGTGATATCATGTATATCTCAATCCATTGCAGATCTTTGGACCTGTCCAACAAATTTACAAGTTCAAAGACGTTGATGAAGTTATAGAAAGAGCAAATAATAGCCGGTATGGGCTTGCTGCCGCTGTTATTACGAAGGATATTGACAAAGTCATGGCGATTACAAATGCTCTGCAGTCAGGAATCGTGTGGTGAGATTTCAAAAATTTCATTCGAAAGAAAACTATGAGTCCCGGGGAGGAAAGCCGACAAGACGGCTTACCCATATGGCGAACCACGGCCTCTCATTTAGTTACCATTCCATGCCGGGTATTGGATTAGTTAGTTATTTGTTTTGGGAAGCATTGACTTGATGGCGGAGGAAGCCGTAACCGACCAGTGGTTACGTGAACCCCCCTACGGCGGCGAGGAGTCCAGCAATCGTTTCGCACATAACCATCCCCGCATAGGAATGAAATAATAAATTAACAATCGTATTGTTAGCAGTATTTTCATTTTTAAACGTACATGAGTCTATAATTGCTGCTTGAAATCCGTATAATATTTTGCAGGGTGAACTGTTATTTCCCCCTCAGTCCGGGGGCTGCTTTTGGGGGATTTAAAGAATCTGGAATTGGCCGAGATATGAGTGAATATGCTCTAAGTCAATACACTGAAGTTAAGACAGTTATTATGAAGATTCCTGGATCTGGCGCCAAAATTTAATGAAAAAAAAAATGATTTTAGTGTTAAGACCTGATTTCGATCTTAGTATTCGATCAATAAGTAATTAATTATTTTCATTAAATTTACTGAGATCTTACATACCTCAAGACTCTCACTTCATTTTTATTTTAATTTTGTTCCAAGAAAATCTTCATTAATTATGCTATTATGCTTAATATTTACTGAGCAACAAATATAAACCTATAGTATATGTCTATCGAGTTACATCATTATAAGGTACAATAGATTCTGTGTTTTTACTCTGCTTCTATAATTTAAATGAACTGACACAATATAATGATAATAAAATCCGTCACCTATATCCGCCTCATTCTTTAATAAATTATGATATTATGCTCAATATTTACTGAGCAACAAATATAAACCTATACTGCAGCGGTTCCCAAACTATGGGTCGCGACTCTAATACGTAAATCTTCAAAAAAATATATAAAAACTTAATTAAATTTAAGATCTAAGCTGTGTAAGGTACCTTTTTACAATCTTCTCAAAATAACAAAAAATTGCTACACAAAGAATGACCATGTGGTTTTTTACGCATAGCAGTTTTGTAAACTGTACAGTACTTATTACCGTGTTTCCCCGAAAATCACTGACCTATAGTATATGTCTGTCGATTTACATCATTATAAAGTACAATAGATTCTGTGTTTTCACTCTGCTCCTGCAATTTACATGAACTGACATACATACAATGATAATGGAATCCGCCATATGTATCTGTCTCATTCTTTTAATGGTTTACAACTGCCTTTTCATGCGGAATATTATTCCGATACCTATTCGATCCGAGTAATTAGTAATCTAGAAATTTCAGTATTCTCTGAATAATTGTGAAGATTAGATCCAAGTCACACACCTCGCATATTTGTGATTGAAAAGAAGTCACGATCTATCCGGCTAATCCGGTACAATACTTCGCCGGCGCTAATGAGACTGAAATGAGTCCTCAGCATGGGATGGGATATACAGACGTTTCGGCCCACACAGGCACGAGATACGTTTATCAAAAATACACAACAGAAGACAAAGCTCGATTGCCATGATTGCATATTTCGTTAATAAAAGTGACTCATTTCGTTATTTTATTATTCTTCATTCCGTTATTATATAATTGATGAGGGCAAACTCAAAAGTTCCAACGCAGACAAAACAATGTGTGCAACGATGTGCCTGAACGGAAACATATGGGCGACAAGGAACAGAGACATATAAAACAAAGAGACATGAGAGGCTGCGTAGGTTTAAATCACCAGTAGCATTATAGCGTATGAAAAGTATGCCCTGAATATCATTGATTTTTAGATAAATTCACAAGCCCCCAGTTTTACATTGGGAAAAAAGTAAAGGCGTCCCATACCAAAACTTCAAATACAGTTATCAAGAGATTGTTATTGCTACGTTGACATGCGCCAATCAAAATTCGCATCAACAATGTTTGTTGTTATAAGTATAATCCCAGTCAACATGCAGTGCATGTTAACTCCAGGCCACGGGATCGACCTTATGTAACCCGAGTAATTATGCAAACGTTAATTGCTGACCGTTATCTTGGTTGTTTAGGATAATTAATCATGTGATCGCTAATCAATTTGAGCGGGAATGTAGAGAAGCAATTTGCTTTTCCTAACAAGTCACAGAAGTGCGTAATGGCGAACGGTGTGTCTATTTCGCAGGAGCCCGGGATATTCAACGTTATGGATGCTTATTTTGACGCGACATAAAGGTAAGCAAATGTTCTTTAATGAACAAAAAAGGATATATCAAGCCGTTGCTATAATCTGCTTTATTTGGTATTACGTTTTATAAGTGGAAGCTCGAGGCAAATCGGGGTTTTAGCGATCGATAATTGGAGAGTTGAATAAAATACAGTGATCAGAAAGGTTAAAGCATTGACCTCTCAAGATAAAATGGCAATTTTATATGACCTCTAATTTAAATTTAAAACTCAACTTTGCTAAAGACAGGGCAGACGAAGTTGTTAACATAATTGATAAGTGGCAAAGTGAAATAAGCTGTTCTCCATCGGGACTTGTTATCCGAATAATTGAGACTACCTTTTGATGAATCTTCCTCGTTTTCGTACATTCAAACCGACACTATGTACATTATTTCACTGACATACCGCTTCAATGAGTTGCATTCGCGGTGTCGATCGGTTTCAGTATATAGTTCCCATTCACGTATGCGCATTTGTGACCAACAATGTGTCAAGGAATATTTTTAATGTTTTTGGTATTTCTATGAATATAATTTTAACATCCGTTTTTATAGAATTCAAACTATTAGTGTAAAGCGGCTCATACTTTATTGTACGAAATTGAAGATACAATCAAATTTTTTTATAAGAAAAGGTATTATATATTTTAAGAAATTACAATTTTGTGATTATATTCATTTCTATTGTATTTACATATATCGTCACGCTAATAACCGAATTGCGCAAGTCATTTTGGGCGATTTTGAGTTTTTTATAAAATAGGAAATTATGTAATGCTGCGCACCTGTCTATTAACTCAGATTTTATTTTAAGAATTCCGAAACCCATAAAAATGGAGATTTAGTATGACATGCACATTTGGGCAATTGTTTCGTCATAATGAATTATCAGTGTTAACGCAGGACTATTGTGACGTCACAAAGGAAAAATAACCTCGGCGAAGTATTTTCGAGTTTTTGCATATCGGATTCTAGCTCAGCGCCTATTAATTTGAATTTAGACTACAGTATAGGAAGACGTGCACTTGTGATATTCACCTCCGAATCCAATTCACCTTGGTTGGCTTTCATATTGGGTGCATTGCTGTTTTATTCTTTATATTTAATCTTATATTTCGGTGGGTGTGAAGAACGTGTTATATTGATGAAATATATATTTTTAAATATAAAAAATAATGTAATTGAAACTGATTAGCTATTTTGGGGATTAGACATTGTAGATACTGAGAATTACATTCGTTTTTGGAATTGTTAGTTTTCAGGACTGGTGCATATAGTAAAGTTGCAAAATTGCGTATGTCCCCAAGTCATAGACCCATTTCTGCCTAAGTCACAGTGCGTCATCATGACATCACCTAACTGCGTCATTCAAATTAACTTAAATCCGGCTACGATCAAAAAATTGAACCATGCCAATTTATTTACTCTCAATGGCATAACAATATCATAAGGAAGTTTTTTACGTTTTTCTCAAAACTGCTAAAAATGACTTATTAGCGTGACGATATTCAGATGGAATGAATACATGGTTTGACGATTGTGTGGAACATTGTTTTACAAATAAATATCGACCATAAACTGGAGAAAAGACATAGCGACGATAGTTTCCACATAAGGGTAAATATTGCACTAATGTTACATAATAGTTCTTTACAGCTTAGGTGGCTAATATGCCACTAAAATACTATAATGATAATCGTTGGTCTCCAAGCCTTGAAAATAATCAACGGAAACACTTTTGTCTAGCAATATTTCTTATATAAAAATGTTTTCATTTAAAATAGACTACATGAATCTTATATCAAAGAGGGGTATGTCCACTACCAATCAATAAATAAGTATATTTCAATATTTTTCGGAAGTTTTTTACTGTTTGAGGAAGCAAAAATTTGGGGTTTGAAAATATTTATTACCTGATTAAATAGGACTCATCATCTATGTATACCTTTGAGATTAAAAGGTAAATATGTTTCCAAACACTGAAATTTTGAACAAAAGTCTTGAAGGATAATGACCCGAAATAGATGTGTCAATTTAATCTTATTCTGAATAATTTTCATTGGTCCGAACATTTGAGAGATACTGTCAATGACTGGTTGTGACTGCTGCAAAACAATCTTAATGGAAACCATCTGATAAATACACTGATAATGCTTGAACAGATAAAACAAACTAATATCATTAATTGCCTATTCCTTTCTTTATAGGACAGACCGAGTTGACAACAGTTATTATCCGCGATGGATGACGGTCCTGTGACAATGTCCGTTCGGAAGAAGGCGTTGGGAACCAGTTTTGGTTCTTTTTAAATATTTTAAAGTATAATTTTGACCTTCTCTGCATTTTTTTTTCAGCATTTCATTTTTGCCAGATTTCCTTTTTATTCTTCATACAAATTCAAAAATCTATTAATTTGTATACCATACCGAGTTCATGTTAAATAAGATCCGGTATCTGTCACCATGACCTGATGTTTATGCATTCATTACGTTTCCAAATTCTTTTCCCATTTGTGGTATTTCTTATTTTTTCATCCATGCAATTGTATTGTTTTGCTGCTGTTTTTCCTTTCTTTTCCTTGTTTCAATTGTGTCGTGTGTTAGTAGTAGGCCAGAGATACAGTGGGAAAACATTATGCAGATTTACCTAAATCAGCGTCAGATTGAAAGTAACTTCTTCGCTCACTTTTTACGTAAAGAGCTACGAGCTGGCTACGGCAAACGGTAGAAGACGGACGGCAAGTCGCGAATATTATTGAAGCTGCTCCTATAGCAATACCTACTCTGTAAATAAGTTAGCTGCGAATTACGACCTGAACGATATCTGGTAACTATGAGAAATCCGAATGTTTGCTCTAATGTTTCTGCGTATGTCCTAATTATGTTGGAATATTTGGACCATACTGGTCTAAACACGAATTTGTTATGTGCCCCCCTCCATAGCTTAACAGAGATACTGTATTTACCGATTCTCACATATGCTTGTGCGATGCTGAGCACCGATTTTTGTTATGACGTGTTGAGTTTCAAGATAGTAGGTTTACGGAACGACATTGGATGAACACTTAAAAATGTTCATTCACTTCTCGTTTCCATAAGAACACGAGGCAAAGTATATTATCGAAAATGCATGGTTTATATAGTTTGATGGGATTTGTTTTGTCTCAAAATTTATATAATGGGATGACACGGGCCATCTGGAGGGCTGATGGAAAGATGCGATTCCTAAAATAAGACCAATAAAGTCGGCAGTAATTTTAAGAAGGTTTTTTGTTTTCGTGCGATTATCGTGTTGAATAAAACTTTTGGAAAATGGTTGATCAAGGTTGACACTTTGGAATAGAAATGTAGTTCTTTGGAACCTTCATTCGCAATTGAAGTATCAGAGTTTGATCAAATTATCGATATCTTTTATTGTCTACCAAGTGTGCGTTATATCTCTCTTGTTATTACTGTTTGAGATCTCTCATAATTTGAGCCAGAGTATTCTTATAGTTTTTATATTTTGATCGTTACCATTAACTGACCAATATGTAGTATTTCATCAATTTTTTTGTGCCTTAATATTAATATTAAGATGCCTATAATTAGTCATGACTTTTTATCCAGCTACATCTTGCGGCTGCACGTTCTCATGGACGCGTGCTGGATCTCAACGAAAATAATTTGAAAAATCAAGAGTTTATTGGGTAAGTGAATTTATATGATGAACTTAAGTTTGAACACTGAAATCATTTAATTTGTTAAATTTGAGCACCAGATCCGGGAATCTTCATGATAACTGTCTTGACTTCAGTGTATTGACTTAAAGTATATTCACTCATCTCTCGATCGATTCCAGATTCTTTAAATCCTCCAAATGGAGCCCCTGGACTGAACGGAAAGTAACAGTTCACCCTGCAAAAGTTTATGGAGCATCCTATTAATTTCATCAGAGACACCGAGGCATTTAATGAAATGATAAAACATCAATAATTCGTTTATTAACAATAAATCGTTTGCAGAGTTTATTATTACTAGTTTTCCAAAGTTGCAAGACCTTATAAAGAACATAGGTGTATTTATAACATTGGTAAAACCAATATATTATGCTTATCATAGTTTGCTTTTAAATGAATTGTTCAGTCTTACCACACAGTTCCTGACTGCAAAGCATTTGTAATTGCCATGATTTTGTCAATATCCTTCGTAATAACAGCGGCAGCAAGTCCATACCGGGTGTTGTTCGCTCTTTCTATAACTTCATCAACGTCTTTAAACTTGTAAATTTGTTGGACAGGTCCAAAGACCTGCAATGGATTGAGTTGTACATACTTCGCATTTAAAATATACGAGCCAAAGCCACAATTTAAAAACTATTTCCGTTTCTGAGCACATCATTTTTTTCGAATGGAAGTAAATTTATGCATTCGGGGTGAAGAAGATTCTATTTCCTTACCCGAATGAAAACAAAAATAAAGAAATGCGCACGGAGTCTTGTGCAGTACAGCTGGTCAGAAAACGCTTTGCAACAGTACGTTCCGTACTATTGTTTTGTTTATACGCTTAGTTATTTTTCGCGTTCTCAAATTTCGAACTTGTTAGATATTGGTATACCACGAATAAAAAAAATATATATATTATGGATTGACCTCTTCCTGCGAAATCTTCATGTCATCACGAAGATCAGTAAATACAGTTGGTTCTATATAAAATCCGGTCCTTCCCTCCATCTTTGTTCCACCACACATAACTTTAGCACCTTCCTCGACACCACTTTTCAAAAGTCCCAAAACTCGATCCTCTTGGATTTTGCTGATCTGATAATTTATTGAAAAACGCAGAATATTCAGTAGAAAAAAACAAGAATGATAATATAACATGTTGGCGGTAGTTTTGCTTTTGTTTAACGCATTTATTATCCAATGCCATCCAATTTACATTCCATGAAATCACAAAATGAAGTAATTTAGTAATATACAGCACATCAATAACTAAAATTGTTTGCGAATTGTATAAAAAAGGTCAATTGTTGTAACTAAACTCTTTCCACACATAATAATCTCTATTACATATTACCAGAGGTCCATTCACTGTGGTGACTTCACTAGGATCTCCAGTTGGCAAAGATTTTGCTTTTTCAACGCTCTTTTTAACGAATTCATCGTAAATATCTTCGTGAACAAACGTTCGAGTTCCAGCACAACAAATCTGTCCGTTGTGCGTGAATACAGCAGTATTTGCGAGAGAGACAGCCTCATCAACTGCAAAACAAAAATTGTTTCAGCCATATCCACGATTTCTATTAGAAGAGTAGATATGAAGTTGAATATAGATATAGAGTTAACGTATAGGTAAACAATATAACGGGACCTACTATCAACGTCAGAGAACACAATATTGGGACTTTTCCCTCCCAGTTCCAGAGAGACTCGTTTCAAATTGGAATCAGCTGAAGCTTTCTGAATCAAGCGTCCGGTCACTCCTGATCCAGTGAATGAAATTTTGTCGACTTCCATGTGATGTGATAAAGCGTGTCCAGCAGTTTTCCCAAATCCTAAAAATAGATCAAGAATGGTCATAGCACATTGCGCACAACAACGATTTTCGAGGCGAGGGGAAACTCTTTCCGACATGTTTCAAAATTGAAGCCAAGTGCACTGCAGTGAATAATCGGTTTCAGAATCCGCACATTGTTGTGTGGGTGCAGATTTCGACTTAATTATTGAAATGAGATTTTCCGATATATATGACCTAAACAAAGGATTCAATGTATATATTGCATACATGGTCTAACCTGGTACAACGTTCAAAACTCCTGGTGGAAATCCTGCTTCTTTCATAAGTGATGCTAAATACAATGCAGTCAAAGGAGTGTTTTCTGCCGGTTTCAGAACAAGAACATTTCCCATCGCTAAGCAAGGTGCAACTTTCATTGTAAACATTCCGATGGGAACATTCCACTGTTTTTGAACGTAGAAAAGATATTGTGAGACATTAACTCAGTCATAACTGTGTTTTTATACCTAACCACTTGGAAAGAATTGGGCGTTGGCTGTCTATATGTCAAGGTTTTTATACCAGGACTATTATGTTGAGTGCTCACATTCGTGAGGGAGGTAGCAATTCTCGACACGGAATATAGAGTATTACGTGTTATGATCTCGACAGTGTTTATAACGCGACAGTGTTTATATATCCTGACAGGTTATCTTATTCGTCGAGCTACGTCCTCGTTGGCTCGTAAATGTAAAAGTAGGTGACCGTATACGACCATAGGTGCAATAGTATGCAGGTGCAATTGTCGTGGGTTCAAATGTACGTGGGTTCAAATGTACGGGAACCGTAAAAGTATAATGTGGCGAATGCTTATTAACTCTATCCTCCAATTTTCATTATTCACCTACCGGAGTTATTGCTCCACAAACTCCCACAGGTTCATGCTTGGTGTAGCAAAAGTAATCGCCATCTGGAGTTAAAACAAAGAAAAGAAACTCAAGACATTAGCAATGTAATACTGAAATTTCTTTTTCAATGTCAATGGTAATTCATTGACTAATCGCATATACTTTTTTAGGTCGGAGTATTTTCAATCGCCAATTTTAATTCATTTCACTTTAGTTATAGAGCAACAAGCGAACATGATATGTTTTATATTTTTCACTACATTAGAATTCTAATGCACCAACAGTGCTTTCCAAACGATTGGATACATAGTAAAATGGATTTACCAAACGGAATTGTTTTCCCGTGGTACTTATCCGCCCATCCAGCAAAATATCTGAATATTTTACTGCAAATAGGTATGTCACCAAGCAGTACGTGGGAATACAATCTTCCACAGTCCAGACATTCCAGAGACTAAACAAAATACATATGATTCAACTTAATTAAATGCTTACCACGTGCATATAAAATAGTTTAAAAAAATACTGTAATACGAATTATAAAATTGCATGTATTGGTTTTCTCGATATTTTACAACTGGGTGTGGCAACGTACTTGAGTAAAACAAATACATATCACAGACTCTAGATAAGTTGTTAAATTATAGATAGGTGTCAAATTTCAATATTATATTTGTATTGATTATTTTTAGAAACTATTATCCAAAGCAACGGGGAATAAAATGTAACGATAGAAACACAGAAAATCGTACGGCAAGATATTGTGCATCGCGTTCCATAAAATCAGCCATTTTGTTCAGCAAAAGCCCTCTCTGTGAAGCATCCATCTTACGCCATGCAGATCCCGGCTTGAATGCAGCTTTTGCTGCCTGTACTGCTGCATCTATGTCGGCCTTAAAAATAATATATATTCGGTAACATCAGATTTAAACCTTTTTCACCAACGAAAGGCATCAACATCGTCTGGGCTGTCCGACGCAGGCAGCAACATATTAAACATTTTGAAAATTGTGATTATACTTGAACTCAATGAATGGGATATGAAAACTTTGAATTGAAAATATAATCACACTCTCTGGCAATCTTTTTTTGGCGAGCGTCCATGTATCAGATGTTGTTCGAGATGGTAAAAACTATTTTTCAAGCTTAGCAGGGTGGTTTGTTTCCCCTTCGGGTATTAGCCTACATTTAAATATATCTAAAATAAATGTCATCCTTGATGCTCGAGTCCGATCATTATTCTAGTCTTACCGCTTTTCCTTCTGCTACATCGATAATTTTTTCTTCTGTTGTGGGATTGCAGGTTGCAAATGTCGAACCATCCTTAGAATCAACCCATTCATTGTTGATAAAAATCTTGAGAAAGAATATATTTTTCTAATTAATAGAAGATTTTGTCGGGTTGATGTATTTAATATAAATTAGGTGTTTCTGATTGAATTACCTATTTATATTCATTAACAGTAATATGCCACATGATCATATGCATCGATTTGTAAGTTTTAACACTTCATAAGTTTTTACCCTCCGGGTTATTATATTTCGTCGGCCTGTTTTCAGCTTTAGTATCTTGTTACATCAGAATGAATGTTTATTCAATATAATTATTACTCATAAACATCACAAGAAAATTAGAAATGGCTGTTGTATGAAAAATGCTATGATTTCACCTTGGTATACTTAATTTCGGGATTTTTCAGTGCTAGTGGAATTCCGGCCATGTTGAATAACTATAATTAAAGCTGATTCTTGATTTCTGTATATAAATATAAAATAACACATGCAAAAAGTTAGAGCTTTTGGTTGTGGGTTCATTCTTTTGCACGATTGTATGATATGCCCAACCTCATACTTTAACCATGTGTCCGGTCTTTTGTTTTATATTTATTTTAACTTTTACCCTTCATCATTTCTTTTCCGCCCATAGGAGAATCCTCATACTGATGGTAAACCGCTCAGGCCCAGAATATCGTAGCAATAAACCTATATTTATACTTAATAAATATACAACAGCAATATTTGAAATGTATATATATATATGTACTGTTTTTCATGTAAATCTGCTCAAAGCAAGATCCTAAGAGCTCTAACCGTCGCGCTGAAATCTGAACAATATAGGTTTATCATTGCGAAAGTTATGTCAGAACCTAACCGCAATGATAAACCCATATTTAGCTAATAGTGTGATGCTTGCAGCTCTTCTTATGGTACTCTCGGGACCTTGCTTTTATCTGGCTTGTATGAGAAACAGTGCATCTCTAATATATATTGTAGTTATATATATATAATATATATATTATATCGAGCTTTTCGTGAAAATCGCCTCATTATATCACTAATTATAAATATATTTGACTCATTCTAAAATATTAAGTCGTAAGGCTTCACTCGCGTGCAATCGAATTTTCTATATGCAACTTCGTTATTCTGTTCCATATTACCGATACTATTCACAAAACCACGACAAAATTCAACACATATTTTTTTTGGTTACGCTGTGAAACGCACCGTCGACTCTCTTTAACGTTACTATCACAGATATACAATATACTGGCATAGCTGACTCGTTTCGTCTTGACCTCGATAACCTCAAAAGCAAATATTTGCTGTTTCAGCCATTGCTGTGTGAGTTTAAATATAGCTCAGGTCGATCAGACATAGCGCGCGGTGCATTTTAAAGGTGGGGGTTATCACGGATTTTTTTTCGATTAAATTGATTCTTTTCATCAGCCATAGAATGCACGCTGAACTTCATTAATCTGTCTGGTGATATAATCCTGAACTCGTGTATGCCAGTTCTACCAATTTTGTTTGTATACTATATGTTTTTTAGGGTGACCGTACATTTGAACCCATGTACATTTGAACCCATGCGTATATCCACGGGTTCAATCTATATGCGGGTGCTAAAACCCATGGGTTAGGGTTAGTATGGGTTTAGCTATCCGTGAAACAAAAAATATTCCATAGGTGCAATAGCATACAGGTGCAATTGTCCTGGGTTCAAATGTACGTGGGTTCAAATGTAATGGAACCGTTTTTTAGTTCATATTTCTATCGACATCACAGTCCAGCGGTCACGAACCGGTACACTTTAAACTGATAATTTGTTCAATGATGTTGGAGTGTGATTAGAAAAAATGTAAGATTCCTAGATCAATCGAAACGTTTGGGTCCATCCAGATATAAATCTGGTCTTTGCATATTAGTGGATGTTCATACAGAGGCTTGTTTGGGGTAAAATGCCTAAATGAAATCGCCGCCCTTTTAAGGTCAATGAAATAATTATAACATGAGGCATCAATAAATGGATGTTCATGGGGAAACATTGACATGAATGAATTACATATGATGGACTACTAATTATCGGCCGATTTCTGCACTTTTAAAAATTTGTGTCGTGGAAACGAAGTCCACTTTATTTAGGCAGTAAACGTCAAAGTCCTATAAAATTATATAGAATGAAATTCTCCCAAAAAATTCTTTGTGATAAGGTAACCCACTCTTGGACCCGCTGTATTTCAAAAGTTATTTAACTGATAAGCAGTGACATCACAAGTTTGGCAATTAATATGCAACCCGCTTTCTTCTCATTCGGACATAAGATCATGACTTACCAAACTATGTCCAGCTGATCTTGCTACATTATGAAACATTCTTTGTTACCATTTTCAATCCGCGCCATACTCTCTTAAATCAGGTTGATATTTTGTCAATAAAATACCTACGTGGGTAAAATATTCCTAGAAATAATACGTGGGTTTTGCTTCATATATTATCGATTTGGTCCACAACACGGGATTATTTTTGCTGTATTTGGCAATTCGACTATATTTTATACTAACTGTATTATTTGCATGAAATTTTGTTATACCATTTTTTATTGAATACCGCTGTGAGTAGCTCACTATATGCTACAGAAAACAAGTGGCCCAATTGCAGCAAAAACTAGCATGTAACCACAATGCAGCAAGTAGATGTATATGGTCCCATTACATTTGAACCCATGACAATTGCACCTGCATACTATTGCACCTATGGACATTTTTTGGGTTTAACGGATATTTGAACCCATACTCACCCTAACCCATGGGTTTTCGTACCCGCATGTAGATTGAACCCGCGGATATACACATGGGTTCAAATGTACGATCACTATATATATATTTCTATTTTATCGATTTGGTCGACAACACGGAGTTATTTTCGCTGTATTTGGGCGACGGGAATTTTTGGGCCACATTTTGTTGTCGCCCAAATAGTTTGGGCTTTATTTTCTACATAAATCCCTCAAGCAAAAAGTCTGAAACTTTTCGTCATTTTCAACATTACCCTCAACTATCACCACATAATGTTGGATTTGAAATTCAAGCAAAAAAACTCTGGATTTTGCCGACAGTTTCTAGGCCTAGCTATATCCCGTTTTGCTATTTTTGCTAAATTGTGGCTACAAAAATAAATCATGATTTTCTCTTTTCTAACCCGGTTATCTTTTGGCCAGAATTGGAGGATTAACAAGAAAAAATTTTCGCTATCGTATGGTATTCCAATAATTCACCGGAAACTTATCTGGGACTTGCGACACTGCTATGGTATATTTCACTCTGACAAAATGTGCAAATTGCAGACGAGACATATGACGTCATATATGGTCTGCGTCTGCTCTGTCAGGAGCGATGAGAGAAGTTGGTTTTAGTTATCGTTTTGAATCAAAGGCAATTCAGTTTGTACATAAGGATGCGGGACATGTTATTATGTAAAACAAAGGCTCCGAGATATTGTATGCAAAGAAATAGTTTGAGATGATGTTATCACTTTGAGTCTGCAAAGTATCTCGCTACCTAATTATGGAAGACATGAAAATATATGGAACAGACGTGATAGTCCTATCCAGTGCGACAGAATAGGATTTCGCAGTAAATGTAGTCTAGTCCAATATTTTTTTAAAAAAGGTAAACTTTATATTATTTTGTAAAATAAATTTATGTTTTGTTTTCCTAGTCACAGATTTGGGAAAAAACGAAGCTGACAGAAGATCATTGAACGTGTACGGAAGTCTGTCAAAGATCAGGAAAAGGAAAACTTTCCAAGCAAACTTGTTCATTAAGTTCATTAAAATTTCGGCAGGAGACGCACGCAACAATCGAATTTTGTAATCTGTGTATTGGGTTTCTCATGTCTTAAAATAGGACTGACCGGATTTTGAAACCCATGCCTATTTTGGCAAAAAAATAGGTTATTTTATAAAAATTCTTCTAAATACCTCCATAACGTTTCTGGATATTGAATGGATGACAACGGAATATTAGAAAAGTTTGATGCATGATATATAGCGGTTATTGTAATATATATTCTTGATTACTATGTACTTTTCGCATGCAAATGTACTTTGTTCGAACACAATTTTTTGGAAATAAATCATGTGTGACCAGGTGTATACCACCGTGCTTATTTTAGCCGGAGATGTTGAAATACAACGCTGAGTTGAATTGTTTGTCGGTCAATGGTACAAAACAGTCACTATAAACTGCATGGTCAGCGTAGGTCATTTTGCTGTTACCGATTTTGAAAGACTGTTCTTGGGGTGGGAGGTGGTCATGAGACGTTATAACAGTTGAAAAGCTGGATTGGTCGTGTAAAGCTGGGCGATTTTACTTCTATATAAAGCAACGATCTGCATTGCGTTGCTAACAATATTGCCATATCACCTCTATTGAACATATCAAGAAATGCGCAGATACGTTTTAATATTACTCCTACGCCCCTCTCTTTGAAGTCCTCTCCCTTGGCACAAATAGAAATAGCTACTATGACTTCAAGTTTACTGGTGACGCGGTTTATTAGTTTTTTTTTTATATTCAACTTATTATCCAGTATACTTGCGTGAATAACATACGGATCTTCCGTACAACGGCAATTTTCGTATTTTGCGAAATTTTTTATATTAATTTATGACATCATATCACATGAACATCTCTGCTATGACGCCAAAATTAATTTCACTCAAAAATACCGTATGACGTCACTATAATTTTTCACATTGTCGGAAATACATAATACTAATTACATTAACTGGTGTCACTAATTTCCGACTATCAAATAAGCAAATGAGTTATGGTAACCTCTTGTACATTGTGGGCTATTTTGGACGCATCTCACTCGGAAAAATACATAATCTGAAAATCGGAAATCGAACACTGCGCAGTTGAAATTCAGATTACAAAGAGCTAATTAGCCCTAAAATCTATTTTAACGAACAGTGGCATATTTGAAACATCTGTGACCTTTTTAGCGACAGTATTCCTAATTAACAAATGGGATACAAATTGTTACTTAGATTAGCGGAAATGAGGAATTAGAAAAACTTTCTATATCGGAAGTCTAGGTCGCTCATGCCGATGCCGGGTTATTTCGTTTTCCACTTTCATTCCCTTTGTTCTCCAGTTTTAATTATATGATTAAGCACGGTCATCACAACACAAAACATTGAATTAAATGGGAAACGTTCTTTGCCTTACTAGACCGGAAATGGTGACTATATTTATTTAAAAAATGGTTAATTATTCAGGTGATGGTTTAATTTAATGATGTGAAGTACCATAATACTAGGTACAGTTAAAACTTGCTCATATAAATGCTTTTGATTGTTAATACAACATATTATCGCCAGAAAACTTAACAATTACGGCGAAAACTGCGTTTTTGACAACATCGCCATAAAGGAGCGATATTTTCGATATTTTTGCCTAAAGTTGATGAAAAGCACGTGCAATGCACTTATTATATTCAAATATATTTGAATACAACAAAAAAACGACATCGAAGGCGAAAAATTAAAATAATCGATGAAACCCTAGTAACGACGATATGCTATCATATGTTTCCGAACTGCATTTATTTGGAAATTTCAAAATTTTGAATTATTTTTCTAGCCATCCAATATCATTGAACAATATATCGCCGAATGCGTCTCTAAAATACCAACTGAACGGTATTAACATTTTTGTTTTTTATTAATTATATTAAAAGTTATAACCAAAAAACGATAAAAAAAATAAATTTTGAACCCAATTTTCTCGAAAACTATTACATGGATTTTAATTGTAAAACTATTTTTAGTTTTGTTTTATTTAAATCTATCCAAATATATTAAAATTTTCAATACAACTACAATAGAACAAATTTTCAATTTTGGGGTCAAATGACAAATAATTAATTTAAACCACTCCCTGAGAAGATAAATACAAAACTTCCGCATAGACTAGTGAAAAATTTTACAAATTTGACCTAAAATTCGCTGATTTATATGTGTTCGAATTTTAACTCGTGATTTCGTAAATTTCAGCAATATGTCACATCTCAGACAATCCAATTTATGAAATTATGGAAGTTTTGTCATCTGCTATCTAGAATCCACTATGAACAACTTTCAAATATCGCCATTGAATCTATTTTCAGGTTACACTTTGGCCTACGTAGATACACAATATATATATATACAGTATACAGTATATACACAATTACTCTTTATACTTACGTGTGAGGGCATGGAGAATTGAAGATACAGGCAGTCAGAACGAGTGGGCAAATCGCAACAATATCGTTCAGCGAGCGATCAACCGTGACGTCAAAATAACAACATATCACGCTGTAAATAGGGCAAGGCGATAAGCCTCAGGCACACCTTAAAACATCCAAAACCACTGTTTTCGGCTATTTCATGGTACGATTGTAACTGGTGTTTAATTTACCTTGCAAGCAAAGCATTTAGCCGTAGCTGTGAACGTTTTTAATGAAGGACAATGATTAAATAGCCAATGATTATATCTATTCCATGCGGTGTCGACCATATCCAATAATGTTCTTCATTTCCGCAAATAGGCTAAAAAAGCAGTCCCTCGGAATTGGGCGACGACGATTGTGCACCAACTCGACTATATTTTAAACAAACTGTATTACTTGCGTGAAATTTTGTCAAAACATTTCCCACTGAAAACCACCAAAATTAACGCTGTGAGTAGCTCACTATATGCCACAGAAAACGAGTGGCCCAAATGCAGCAAAAAATAGAATGTAACCTCAATGCAGCAAATATATATATATATATATATATATATTATATATATATATATATATATATATATATATATATATATATATATATATATATATATTACATCTCTTACTACATTGAAATAAACGAGCGTAAACATATTTTTGCTATATATGATCCCGCTCCCGAGCTCACTTTTGACAGTACATTATAATTGGTCTCACAGAATAAGTATTTTTAAAAACCTCCGGTATAATTATTTCACAGTGATCGTCACTGCATTTAGATGAAGTAAACACTCTACAATGGATCCCATCGGATATAAGTTTACAATGGAACGTATGTTTTCGATTGGGTACTATATTTTGGTCTTACAGGCACTCGGAAGCTATAAACTCAACATGATGTGCCAGAAAACCAATTTATTGTTTGACTCCAAGTGCACATTGTTCAAAAACGAAAAACGTCATTCTGATTACTTCAAATAATTTATCCATCCATTCAAAACAGCCCCCTTTACCGGCCTGAGAATTGACTTGAATGAAAAATTCCATCATGTGATTTATTAGAACAACAAAATTGAACAATTATTCGCATTAAAAATTGACTAGCTACAGCGACTTTGATCCATGTTCATAAACATTAATGAGAAACGTATACAAGATTGCCGATCCACGCACAAAATTCTAATTAGATCAAAATATGCGTATCATTTGGTACGTGTATCTGATTGCAAAGTTAAGCAATGCCAACATCTTTCTATTTTCATAATATTTGAATATGTAAAATCTAATCTTAGCCCAAGCTGTTATTTTGCTTATAGATATTAGCAATAGAATTATAAAATACATATAAAATACATTCAAATTACTGTTTAAAAAAAAGATTCGCAAAAGTCTAAGGCGTGAATGAATTTTGGACAATCAATCCTTATCAATAAGAAATGTAAATTCAAAATCTGAGAACGATGCTTTGAAGCTAAATGCTGGTAATTTTGTCAACAATGGTATTTAAATTTGTGTTTACAAAACTAAAAATTACGTCCAAATAACTTCGTGGCTTTGAGAAAGCGTTAAATTAAGTCCAGTGATATCCAGAACATTCAGCATTGCATTGTAATTGTTGGTTGCAGCTGTTGGCGCGCCCCCATTTGTGGATACAGTAACGCTGCCGACTGACTGTAATACTCCATAAACGGTGATTTTTTCAAAATGCAACGTTGAAATATCAATGCCTTGCGCTGGGTGGACGATATCGATCTGCAAACTCGACTGCAATGAAGTAATTAAAAATATAATTAAATTCAAAAACTAGTTCGATTTCGGTGCGAAGTATTGTACAGTCCTTTTTGTCACAACGACAATAAGGTATCAAATTCGAATATTTGATAGCGCAATGCATCCAAGTACGAATTACTTGATTTAGTAATATTTATAAGTATAAAGAATAATTTCTATGACCTCTTGCAACACATTGTCTACTAATTTTAATTTCAAGATATCCTATTTATCACGCCTAACTTAACTTACGTGTGTACAGCTGAAATTTAGCAAGACGTAATTTTCACCAACATTTCTTGCTTCGCCATCATCCCAGTACAACGTGCCCATAGCTGAATCAGAATCATCCAATGGAACTAACAAAGACATAGGATTCTTTCTTGCTTCTGTTGTAGTCACGGCCGAATTCTTTAAAATAATAGTAAAACTATGGACTAAAAAATAGAATTAGCCGCGGTTTTTATTAATAATCGAAGGTAAATCTAGATTTTGATTTTTGATTTTTCATGTGAGTTTAATTGTCGGTAAACAGGTGAAAAATGCCAATAAATACTATCGAAAATAGCATATTGAAATAATATTTTATAACTAAAATCGAATGCACCAAACAAATTCTTTCCACTGCGTAAGCCTTGTAAGTATTTGCTTGAATGCAATCATCAAGCAAATTACCTGTCTGGGAATGATAAATCCACCCCTGACGTGCAAGTTAATGTAGTCAAGTGGGGCGTCAAGTGAAACGAATCTTCCAGATTGAGTCAATTCTTCACCCTGTGGAATTATAATTGATACTACGTTACCTTAGACTTTGAATTCTGCCTAACTACTAATAATTGTCTTATAACATGTCGCAACGATTTAATTACATAGGAAACATTATCACTGCTTTACATTTTAGAGGAGGGGGTTGCTTCCGAATTCAGTGGGTGGTAGATATTTTATTATTAGCGATAAACTATTTGTGAAATATTTATTGTATATGCCTGAACATCTGCACTGGTATATACGGCACTTTCTGTATATATATTCAAATACAATCATATTCAAATTAAAAATTAAAGTGTGATATAGCTTTTTCTCACAGTTCGACACAAGATGTTATGTTGCAAAGTGTTTTGTATTTATCTAATAAAAAACAATTACTTACGGTTCGATAATCGTACCATCTTGCATCTTTTGGAAAATATCCAGTTACACTAACCGCACCTTCATCAAGCACAGGTGTGATCAAAAATCCGCTTCCTAATAAAAATTGCCTGTCAGCATCCCAAGTATCTTTGTCTTGAGGAAATCTAAAATTTGATGAGAATTATTACATTCGAAACGTTGCGAAAAACAAGAGAGCAATATTCAAAATATTTTATGGACACGAAATTTAAGACGAAGTAGCAACAAATCTTTTACAGTACCGGTAGTCCAACTACGAGATCTCTGAAATTCAATCACAGGACCAAGGCACGGTTCGCATTTAACGTCCTCACAAAAAAATTCAAAGTGAAAATCGAATTCTATACAAGCCACAGAAATTTTTGAAATAAGTGAATAATATCCCTCTAACGACAACAATATTCTTCAACCCCTGAAAATTTCAAAGCGATTGATCCTTTGGTAAAAAAGAAAGCGATTTTTTTACAATGACAAGAAAAAATCATACACAAAACAATCGACAGGTACACTTTGCGTCCAATAAACACAACTGACCGATTTCATATTGTGTTTTTCAGATTATCAGATCAGATGCATAATGAATCTGTGTATTCTCACGAACAATTCTTAAATTACAGTTTTGCGAATCGAATTGAAACAAAGTGTTTCGGACACGTATTTGCATGTTTCGTCTCACCTATAAGCCCACATTTAAATATTGTTGTATCAAGGAAACTTACTCATGTACTAAAGCCCTCACAACTGTACCACCAAAGGTGCTTGCTTGATAATGAAGTGTGTACATATATGGAAGAATGCTATAACGAATCTCGAGGACTTGTTTAGATGAGGCTGCAAAATCGGCTCCAAATGCTGTTGGATGTTGCGACTGAAGGAAAAAGACACAAATTTTGAAATGAAAAACATCGAATACTGTGCGAATATTCTCAATGAGTTTTGTTACACTTTTGTTATAATAACAATGTGAAACGTTGTCCATACTGAATAAAAAACAAAACCCTCTTCGTGATAGTTCACTTGAAATAATGCGCCGGGAAACTCTAAATAGATAAAAAAAAATCCTATATATTATATTTAAAGCTATAAAGATTTCAATTTTTCTTATTGCATTTAAAGCATATAAAGTTTTCAGTATGGAGAGCCTTGCGACAAACAATTAATATGTGGATTTGCTAAAGTGTTTTATAAGAAAAAAAGATAAAGATTTCATCGGAAAAGGTTCGAGAAGTGTTTCGAAAACAATAACAAACTCACAATCATGGTTTTCGCATTATGATTTCTACTAAATGGATAGAAAGCTCCAACTTGCATCCATCTCTGACACATTTCCTCTGTAGTATTGAACCAGAATCCACATACGTCGGCACCGATCTATAGTAGTTGAGAATCAACATAATAGCACAGGTACAATTGTCCCAAAATTTCAATTATTTGTTTAAAAACGTTATAATAAATAATAAATATATAGCATTTGAAGAATCAATATCAACTAATAGTACTTACATATGGAAATCCAAACAGATTAAATTCAAACATAGCTGGTATTGGCCACGGCATTTGTCTCCACTGACTCTGATTATCACCAAGCCAATGCCCAGCATATTTTCCTGTACCGGTGAAGGTTGATCGGGTGATTACGAAGCTTCTACGGTCAGGCATTACAGTCTGTAAATAGAAAAAGGATGATACAATGATAAAACTGCTTCCTATAAACTGGGCTTTCAAAATGCAATTGATACAAGAACGATAGTTGTCGGAAAAGGTTTATTATAGACATCGAATGAAAGGGTACGACGTTCTCCAGCTGAAGTAATAATCTCAAGAGCTAAATCACTCTCACTTTTCGAAATATAATACAGGGTGCCCATAAAGTTCCTTTACAATTTCAATTTTTAACAATTAATTGTTCAAGTATTTTGTTTTCATTCAATACATCTGTGAGGGCCAAAACAATACATGGTATCGATAAATTCCTGTTGCAATTTTAAAATAGTTTTTATCTTTATACATCCCCTATATAACGACATGATAATATCTGAAAAGTGGAATAATAGGAACGAATGAAACTTATACCTGAAGAGCCTCGTAGGTGGCAATAGACATTGTGTGGCCATATAAACTGTGTAGATCATAATGCAATCCCATGTATTGTTGGTTTTCCATGCACAATGTTTTGTCGTGCAATCCTACCCCGTACCATAATATATCTGTAAGAAAACAAAGTTTGCTGAATAATTGATTGCTGATGATTTGTTTGAATAAAGAATTAGCAATGATATGTGCAAACTCGTTCCTAATTTTGTTAAAACAAATATAAGAATTGTGAAAATACTTGGAATGTATGCTGGTCTGTTGTATTCATCGCTGCAATTCATGGCTTCAAGTTTAGTTGCATTGTCTGGTTGAAAATTTGCTGGTTCATTCATATCCTGAAATTAAAACAATCATTGAAGCAAAGGTAGAGTAGTCGGTGTATGTAATGTTATAGAATCACTCGGTTTGTGGAAGACATATTCGATAATATAAGATCGATGCTTTCTGTAACATAGAACAAAATTAAAAAAAATCTTGTCTATTGAGAAACATATCTTAGTTAACCTAACCCGATGCATATGAGTTGCTATTTTTCCGATTGGCAAAAGAATAAAAATATCGAAAGTGACACTTACCACCCAGAGAGCGTCGTATTTTACATTCTGGTTTACATAAAAATCTTGGCATTGATTCGTCCACCATGACGTAGCATTAGGATGCGTGTAGTCTGGATGATAGGTTTCTCCGGGCCATACCTGATAAATTAATAAGAATGGTTATGTTTATAAACTAGATTTTTTCCAGAGAGCAAAATGTAAATTTGAATCTTCTGACGGATGAATGCTCAAGTTCTCGATTTGTTTTTATTCCCGATATTATTTCTATAACTAAATTACCCGATCTTTTTTAACTAGATATTAGAACCTTGGGTGTCTCTGCTTGATAACCAGACTTAGTTCCCCGAGCTTGTAATTGTTTTCCACTGGTTGGATAGAATGAACTTGACTGGACTATACGCAGAAAGTATCACGTTAGGAGTAACAAGAATAAAATTGCTGATAAAAATTACATTTGTTCAAGAGGCTTAAATTTGTTTCTCATTTTTATATGGCTATATCTCGTGTGGCATCAAAAATTTGAATCTTTGTTTTCGATCCATTTACCTCTGTTTTTATTGGTTTTGAACCATCTGGCGTTTTTATATAAATATCTTCTGCTAATCCTTCATCGTACGCTTTATATCCATCTTCAATCAGAATACCCGGGTCGAGAATGATGACGTACCTGAGATCAGAAAAGAAATGATAATGATTCTTGTATTACGAATCCGAGAAAGCATGTTTGATAACAACGGATACGGTATAGTGACCAAGTCATACATTTAAAAACTAATCTGTTTAACTGCCTGCACTTTCGGCAATAAGCGAGATAATAGCATTCAATTGTGTTGGCCAATCAATTGAAATAATGAATGATTCAAAGGGGAAATACTTTCAAGTTGTTAATGCCAAAATGTAACGAAAAATCCTCACACCTGATTATTTCACACTAATTTTAAACATCTTTTTCAACATTTCATTTTTGTTGCATAACTTTTGAAATAAAAATAGAGTATTGCTGTCGATGGTATTTCTGTGGGAATAACTACTTATCATTCTCCCATGCTGGATCCGTATGCATATAAAATGCATAGATGCACGCTAACACAAATATATCCACGAAATTTTCTTTCTATTTTAAACTTACCTCATTCCCAAGTCATGAAGCTCATCTACGTATGCAGGAAGTCCCTTCCAGGAAGTGTTATCGTAAGTGAATGATTTGTACCTTTCCATGTAATCAATGTCACCATACTGCAAAATGTAAATGGTTACTAAATATTTGTACTATCGATTAGGTTTCTACGAGACTAACTACTTCTCCGTCTTCTATGCTTTTGCGCCGGTGGATCCGTATGCATATAATACAAGGATGCTGTAGCAAGAGTGAAGTTAACTAACCTAAGTGATTCAAGAGTCTTGCTGCACACTAACACAAATGTATTTCTGTTATATTTTAACTATGTATGTCTGAGGAAGTCTAACCTTGGTCAGACAAACTGTTACAGAAATATATTTGTGTTAGTGTGCAGCAAGACTCTTGAATCACTTTAAATAATTGTATCTATTAAAAATCACGTTTGCTTTTTTCACAAATCTTCTTGCCTGGCTATTGTCTGAATGAAAATGTCATATATATGTTGAAATGTTGAAGAAAACAAATGGTTGTTTATTAAATATTAAAATTGTTAAGAAAGAAGTAATATTATTAAAACACAAAACGATTATTGCATAAATCATTAACCAATCAAATAGTACTTGTAAAGCGAAATAAGTACCTGGACATCGAAAGGTATCTTCGCAGCTCTCATATCATCTACGATTCCTTTAACCTCATCTAGTGATTCGTATCCCCATCTTGACAATTGGAATCCAAGACCCCAGTACGGAGGCATCATGGGCAGACCTGGGAACATGCTATCTCAATTATAACTGAATTTCAACATTTTTAGTTACATGGCATATCGGTAATGATATTATGACGCTTAAAGCAATCGTAGAAACTAGAAACCGAATGCCATAATTAAATCAACATAATCAACAAAAAATTCCTTTCATGCCATTAGTGATAATTATATATTTGGTAGGGGTGTTCGTCGTTTTCTTACATTGCCATTGCTTTTAGCCTTCTCTTTACAATAACATTTCAACCTTAGCAAACTCTCGGCCATTTCACTTATCATGACTAGGGAGTCGTTAATTGATAGTTGTTCTTTAAGTAATCCAGCAAATGCAATGAGTAGGAAATTGTATTTAAAACACTCACCAATGAAATTATGAAAATGTTGAACAACTTCTTCTTGTGTATTGCCAATGAATATATAAAAATCCAGCACTCCACCCACTGTTCTGTAAGTAAGTTTTGGATCCGGTGTGAAAAATACATCTGTAAAATGAATAGAGAGTAAAAAGTGTGAAGATCATCGTATAAACACATTTGTACAATGTATTATCAGTTTGAATTTGTGTCTACGAGACCCACTACTTATCCTTCTCCCACGTGAAAAATAGAAGCACAAATACATTTTTGTACCATTTCGTCTGACCATGGTTAGACTTCCTCAGACATACATAAATTAACTACGTTACAGAAATACATTCGTGTTAATGTGCAGCAAGACTCTTGAATCACTTTGTTAGTGGTTGTATAGGATTTAATTTTGCACTGCAAAAACTTTATAAGTTAATGGATAGTCATCAGGGAGTTATCTGCAGTGAAATGAAAAACTGAAGCTTTCGAAACAAAAGGACGATCAATGAACATATGACATATATATATATGAATTTGTATATATATATCCACATCAAATGTTGTTAAAATTAGTAACATATGTATTAAAATGTGCGTTGTCTAAAAAAAGTTTGAAACAAATATTTTCTATTGAGTATATCAAGAAATAATATTTTATATCGTCTTTATAAAAACCAGATACTTTTTTAATTTTTGAAGATTATCATCAAACGTTATGTAAAGTAATGTAAACTCACCCATTGCATTAGAGTTGTGAAAATAAACGCCGACAGCGGTGCCAGTTTCTGGGTCATCAACAGACATGTAAAACGTTTGATGTCCATACAAATTCCATTCGTCAACTGGTGCAACATCTCGAGAGAATATCGCCCATCTCTTCCAGTTGAGATTATGCCTAAATGTTTTTGATGATAAAAAATTAATGAATGACTGTTGTCAAGACTTGATATTCTCACATATTTATTTGTAGATTAAGGTTTTTATCAAGTGAATACGGATGAAATTTTTCAATACAGATGCACGATATTAAAAAAAATTTAGCAGCAATAAAATATCTATCATATATAAATTTCAAATCAAATTTAGGTTACGGAACTACTGTTATGAGTAGATGAGTATAGTATGGTTTTGACAAATTATCCATGAATGGATGAATTGAAGTGCTTGAGTTCGAGAAATTTTGATGGTGACCTAGCCACCCACGTAGGTACAAGTGTTTGACGATGTACAGTGACGGAATAAATCGGTGACCTAAAATCAAGTAGAATTAAGTTGATAGATTACATTTTACAAAAAAAAGAATAATGACATTTGATCGTTACCGGTATATGCAAACTGTAGCCCATCAGCTGGTGCAAATGCAGGTTATATAAAATATACCTGTATCTTCTATGATTATGTTCTCCAAGTCCAAACACAAGATCAGACGGTAAGCTTGTTGATATTTCTCTGTATTTCTCTTCATACACTACTGGCCCCACAGAGGTGTCAAATCTATAAAAAAAAATAATGGATAATAATAAATCACAGATTGAATTGAGAGTATGTAAATTTAATATAAAATTAATTCTTAAAGTAGCAAGTTGAATGCTTTATTTTACTCACAAAACTTTGCCAGTAGAATTTCTTGAAACTTTAATACTGAAAGGGTTGTCCGTGATTTCGACTCTGTAATGCGCTTTCGTTTCATTGGATCCTACGTTGGTTGGGAAGTTGTTTAGTTCGGAAGGGATTTCTGTTGAAGAGCCGGTCGCATCCTTAATCTGAAAAAACAGGTAATTTTCAACACACATTTAGATATATTTTTCGAAATATAACAACTCGCATTTAGCGTAATAACCTTCAATTTATGAAAAACGATATTTTAAAACAGTTATTGTTTAAAACAAATTTCTCGAATAGTTATATATATATTGTTTTTATGTCAGCCTATATCCAATTCAGCGTCATACTGATTATAAAAATATCGCAAAAGTTACTGACGCTCAAAATATTACAAAAATTTTAACGCGGCCACAGAAACATCTTGATGAAAAGTAATTATGCTAAGCAGTTGTTTCGAAAAAAGACCTTAAATCTTAAAAGGTCGTTGACAAACGGGCAGTTTTGCTTCTCTTTGCACAAAATCAAAAGTTCGGATGGACACACTTATTCATAAAATCATCCATGAATTGAGTGACGCCACATTACGTCTATTATAAAGAATTTTAAGCTAAAATGTATCATTTATCGTTTATTTCAATTTGATATTAAGATTTGATAAAGTCCGGTTTAAATCAAGGATCCTTACCTTAAAATGCAATCTGTTATCAGTTTGATATTCCAGATCCAATTGCAAACTTTCTACCGGTGTTCCGTATCTTTCGGTTGTCGCACCAGAGCGTATCAAAGTATGAGTGTTGCTGAGAAGCAACAAAATAGTTAAATGTAGGTAGTATTATTGCTGTAGCACCCCAGTTTAGGCTGTGCAATTGTTAAATAAGACTTTATTTATTACAGCTTTTGAAAGGTTCATATAGAATGACGAACAAACAAAAATTAAAAACATAACAGGTTGATATAGCAATAAACAAGAATAAGAAAATCGCGTATAAAATGAATATGATCAACGGACAAACAGACAATGCATATAATAAACGAGCATAAAACAACAAAATAGGTTTATTTTTTTTATTTTTAATTTTTTTAGTTATTTTTTGTTTTTATTTTTTATTTTTCATTTATTTTTTTTTCCGATGCAGAGGATCGATAAAAGCCAATTAGACAACAAACAGCCATAAATAATTATTATTTGATGCTAGTCGGGCATTTACACTTCACGAATGAGTAAATGTAAATTGGTGGAAACGCTTTTTATTTAATGAATATAAATTTAATTCATGTGGTATCGCGCTTTCTGTTACTTACTGTATTAGAGCTAGCTATGATAATATATCAAATTTTCTAATCGAACACTAATATTACAAATCAATGTAGGCAGATTTAGTGAAACATGCTCGATATTGCTATGTGTGTGATCACCTATTTGTCGCGTTTCATCTATGCGTCTGTCTCACCAGTTGTTGTATAGCCCTGTTTGCTTGAAGACGTTTTGTTCATTGTCTCTGGGTTGTATTATCAAGTTGAGCCGCTGTTCTCAATACACTGAATTCAACTGAATGCCAGTTTCTATCATAGCAAATGAGTAACAGAATAGATATAGTCCCACTAACCTTCCACTGCGAGTAGTGACCGAATAACCTGGTGTAGCTGAATCCATGTAATAACATAGAGGTGACGACGCCCCATCACCACTTGCATCCCACATGCATCCTCGGGCTGTACATTCAGCCTCTTTAGGGTCTGGTATGAAATAAAAATAGAAAATTTCTTGTAACGTAAAAAGATTCTTTATTTTTTGAATCTAACTACTGATATATAATAGCGTGTGTCCGTAATTCGTTTAATTGCCATATTGAGTTACTGGAAGGCAAAGACATTTTGATATTCTATTCGCTTTCGACTTTCCACGTTAGCAGGATTCAATTTTTTAGTTGTGTAGAGCGTGGCATATACTCAAATCGCCTCATTTAATTCTAATGTCTTAGTTACTTTTCAACAAACACATTAAACTTTTTGTTGCACTGGAGACAAACAAAATATACCCTTTGCTTTGCTTGGCATACAGTCAACTCGTTTCCATGCATCATCGACCTCCCAACGAATTTCAAAGCGTTTCATCAAATCCAGTGTAAGGCCTTTAACCGAAACCTGTAATATATGATTAGTAAAAAAAAGAAAGCAAGTATCAAAATAAAAACAATAGCTTTCTAGCATCAACCACTGAAAATTTTAAAAGAATTGGTCCAGTAGTTAAAAAGAAAAGCGATTATTTACAACAACATAATAAAAAATAACAACAAAACTATCAATAGGTTCAGTCTATGTCCGAAAATATTCTTTTGCACATTCTAATGAACTTGAAATGAAATGAACTTCTAATGAAAGAAGCAAAATTATAATATATACTAAGAAATTGGTCTGATAGTAGTAGAAAAAAAAAAACGATTTCATTACAACAACAACATAATATTAATAATACCAAAACGATCCATGACTCCAGTTCGAATCAAAAAATATTCTTATTCACAATATTGAATTTTGAAAAGCAAAATTATAATATCAACAAAAGTATACTCCAACAAGCGAGATACCTCGTTTGTGCTTCCATCGTGTGTAAAATTGTCGTGACCTACTCCATCAACTACTATTCTCGTTACAGTTCCTGTAACTCCCATGATTCGCATTGTACCGAGTGTCATATTTTCATTCGGTGTATTTGTGTGAATCAAACGGCTAGACAGCACGCTCTGCAGTAACATAAAAAATGTAGAAATAAAAATCTTTAAATATAGTTTGTGTATAACAGATGTTAAGAATGTAAGAACATGAAATTAACAATCCAGAGCCACTCTGGGTCAATGACATCGTCTCAAAATAATCATTCACAAAACCAAAGAATCTTTAACAATTTTTTCCATATAAACACAGCATTCATCCATCCATGGCATAACTTCTAAACGTAACTAAGGCCAATGTGAAATCCGACACAAAATGTAGTGAAATCCACAGAGCTTATAAACTTCAAGAATACCAACTTGGCAAAAACAAAACGTTCATTTTAAAAAAGTAAGCAAAAAATTTCGAAACGACAAATATATATATATCCATATTTAATTGAATCAGCGTTATGTTCATGTCAGATAAGCGAATGTGCAGTTTATTTCTCAACCCTCGAACACCGAATGTTAATGCTGTTTAGAAATAAAATCAACAAAGGCTTAATCAAGTATTGTCACAAATTGATTGCAGTAATCACGTTATCTCTTACTATTCCAAATAGAAGAGGATAGAAAATCCATGTACTTCAGGACTGGGTTTTTTCGAATACGAGATGATTTAAGAATCAATTCCAATTATATTTTTCGAAGCAAATATCTAATACATAGGAGATAATATTTAAACGACCAACTGTTCGTTACTTTTTATTATAAGAAGTTCCCCAGATACATAAACTTTTGAAAACACAGAATAAAACTCTCTTAGTCACGCTCGATGAGAATTATGTTTTATCGATAACTCACTATGAACGAGTCTCATGCCAGAATTGTTTTTCAAAACTATGGCTTCACAATAAAATTGCAGGAAGATTGCAGTAATTTGAAATTTTTGTCTGAACCCATTCGAATAATCTGATATTCGATTGAATTCGAAATGCCCAGCCCTATTTTGGTACAACACATGAAATCGAAGCATGTAATCAGTATGTTGCATTTTATTGTGAAAGATACTCCAGACACATAAATTTTTGAAAATATAGAATAGAAAGAACACTCGTTGTCACGCCAGATGGAAATCATGTTTTATCGATGATTCACTAGAAATGAGTCCCATGCCAGAATTTCTTTTCAAAACTATGGCTTCACAATAAAATTGAGGAATTACCCTCGAACCTAGATGGAGGCTATTCAAAATTTTTGTCTGATCCGATTCAAATAATTTACTATTCGATTCAAAATGCCCAGCCCTAGTTTGATACAAAACATGTTATCATAGCATGAGAAATGCATGTACAATTATACTAAGGCATAACAATACTTGCCGATTCGCACGAGAATTCAACCAAAGTGTATTCCATATTGGCTATTGTATCGATCGATGTTCCATCGTCCCAGAATAATTCACCAGTGGCTCTTCCATTCTCATCCAACACAACAATTAATCCAAACGGTTTCTGACGACTAAAAATTAAAAATAAATTTATTCACATTCATCAGTGTTTTATGTCATACAAAATATATTAGGGCCCAAGCCAGCCGCGAGATACAGAGGGTTGATCGTAAGCGTTCACGCAAACCCGTTATTAGGATGTGGTAATATTCAAGTAACTTTTTTGTTGTGTTTCCTCTAATGGGGAAACCCGTTTTTAGAGAGTTCGATACAAAAGAGGGTATTCCCGGAGTATATGAACCAAGATAACGGACACCGGAAGGTAGTATGTGTACCAGTTTAGGGTTAGGCCGTAATTTCAGGTACAAATACTACGGGAGTCACTTGGCTAGTCCCCGAACTCGTATTAAAACTAAAATAATAAAAATTGGAATAAAATTATGGCCTGACCCCAACCTGGTACACATACTACGTTCCGGTGTCCGCCATCTTGGTTTACATACTTCGGGAATACCCAAAAGAGAGCCTGCTCTAAAGTTTCGAGATCCAACAACGGTTAGGGCCCAAACACATTTGAAAAGTTAGTTTTGTAACACTTGATAAGTGTGATAATATGCTATCATACAATAGAAAATTGTTTAAGAAAAATTAGTTGCAAAATAACTTTTGTTCTATTTTTATGTACTGAAAACGTTTGTGTAAATAAGCAATATCATATAAGTATTCTTAAATTTACCTGTAGAATGTCGTCAAAGCAGGTTCCTGTGTTGGAATGATATTTCCACCGTACAGGTGCAGATTGATGTGATCTAAGGGCGCATTCAAAGTTAACATTTTGCCATTTTCCCATTCGGACAATTCCTCTCCACTGTGAAAAATTCAATCATATTTTCTTTGTCAAACTCATTGCAAATAATTCGTAGGGTGTAAGGACGATTTGACTTACGCTATAAGCTAATCCTCGCTTATTGAACTTATTTATTTTGAACAATGAAGGTTAAACTTACTTGTAATAATCAAACCATCTCCCCGCTGGAAAATATCCTTCGACTGATGTCGTCGCCTCCGTAAGTACGGGTGTGATGAGAAGAGCTGATCCCCACATGAATTGCCCGTCCGCAGTATATGTATTTAAATCGTTGGGAAATCTGTAAATAAATAGAACATTTTTAGCAAGACCCGATTTCATTTACTATTGGTGATTCCAGATATATATGATCCCAACAAACTCATTCCTAATTTTTAAAATTTCAGAATCCAGTCCATGGATCTGAAACACAGTTACTGGCTAACCAATATCTTAACCGACATGAACTGGTAACCCGAGAGAGGCCGCGGTACTCCGTATTTTTTAAGCCTTATCGGCTTCCTTTTTCTAAGAAGAAAAATGATATCTTTTTCTTATCTTATCCTTATCCAAAGTATTTTTGGAATAGATGCTTTAACAACAGAACTTATCTTAGAAACTTGTGATTAGGTGACAGATTGTGCTACTTACTGGTTCATCATTGGTCTGACAACAGTTGCACCCGTTCTTTGTGCTTCATAGAACAAAGTATATAAATACGGCAATAACGTGTATCGAACATCCAGCACTTTCTTCGAATCAGCTAAAAATCTGAAAAATAGCGTAATATGAGCTTGAAGAAAATTGTTACGCGTATAGTTACGTGTATTTATAGTTTCATACAGCGATGTCCCAGTCGCGCGGCTGTTACAAGACATGGTAAACTGTGCAATATCCTAGCTTCTGTAGTAAATTCATTGTGGAATAATTGTTGGTAATTACTAGACATCTGGTGCTCAGTATGAAACCAATATAAATTACCCAACGTTCATTTTTACCCTTATTCCATAACTGAAATTCCTAAATATATAAAGCACAAATCTTCTTAGCCTTCAATTTGTTTTTTAATGATATTGTGTCAATATAAAAATTTCATCTAAACATCAATGAATTGCTTAGACTGGCAAATATTACAAAATTCAATTTCCGATATAAAACATGATGGCAACTTACACCCGAGCCTTGTAGTCGGATACAAATTACAGTGTGCTTTATTGGCGAGGTCAAATCATAAATATATTTCGATTTTAATTCAGTCGAGTCATCGCAGCCTTGTAAATTTATTGCCAGATTTAGAATGTACTCACTGTTCACCAAAATATCCAGGATCTTGATCAGCCCATCCTTTACCATTATGATTTCTATCAAACGGATAAAAAGCACCAACTTGCATCCATCTGCGACATAAACTTTCTGTTGTATCAACAAAAAAACCGCAGACATCGGCACCAATATATGGTATACCAAATAAGTTGAATTCCATTATACCTGTTAAAATATTTGTACATGACTGGTTCATTACATTTTTACATTTATATTAATTTTGAAAATTTAAGTCTGGCATGCGTGGGAAACATAAGGAAATGTTTCTCGTCACATACTTTACTGTACATCAATGTTATAGATTAAGACTATAGTGTTTATCTAACTAGTTCCTCAAATGCACAAGTTTCTAGCTATTCTCGAAGTCTGGAGATGTAATATTACCAATGATTGAAGTTCGTAAATGTTCCCATATACTCGCGTTATCTCCCAACCAATGACCAACGTGCTTCCCACTTCCTGGATACGTAGATCTTGATATTACCATACATCTTTCTCCAGTTGATGCTCTTAAAATTAATGGATTATTTATTGATGATTAATATTTTGATTTTATTGGATGAATAAATGTAGGATTTTAAAACGTACCACTAAGATTATTTAAAACAATTTTGCTGTTCTGCTGAGCCGACACTAAATATTTGTTAAAAGCAAACTATGCCTTGATAGCTGTGTGCAAACAATATCCAATAAATTTAAACGTTGATTTACAGGGATTAAAGCCCCGTCCTCTTTTTAGGATTATCAATTCTTACGCCCCCTTCAAAAGTAAACAGCTAACAATAAGCTACAAATAAAAGTTAATAAGGCGAAAGTATGTTTTGGTAAAAAAAACACTTTGAAAATACGTGGAGGGAACGTAAATATTCAAAATAAAGACGTCAAAATCAAGTCCAACAAATGTTTCTATTTTGAATTAGCTTTGCGCCTCTCAAATAAAATTGTCTACACCCCATTGTGGGGCGCGCCCCACCATTTGAAATCAAGCATAGTTTTGCTTCAGACCTGCAAGCATCAACAGTCGGAGGTCCTTGACTTTTTCCATAAAGACTGTGAACATTGTAATGATCCGTATCTGTTCCAGTAGTTGGATGTCGCTGCTTATTTCTCATGCATAACGTTTTGTCGTAAACATTCCCACTTGCAAGATCTATTTTGATATTATAATGCTTATTTAGTGTTATAACAACTGCAATTTTAAGAATTTTGGAATGAGGTATCGAATGGGGATTGTTTCAATGATACTCTTACTCACGTGGAACATATGGAGGATAATCTAATGAACTATCAGCTGGACATCCGTCAGGCGATCCGTGAACAAAAGACGCTGGTTCGTTCATGTCCTAAATACAAGAGAGCAATGGAGCAATGTGCAATTATATAGATAGACACTCTTTTCAATTTTCAAATGATTGACTCATGTATGCAAAATTCCAACTTCATATGGAACGAATAGTACCAGATGTCATGTAAAGTTAGATGAAAGTTTTCAAATTATTTTGAAAAATCAGCAAAATTTCGAGTAAAATTCCTGGGCTTTGTTAATTTGTAAAGTGAAAGTAACAGCCTTCAATCTTCAAGTGAGGGAAATGTGAAATTGATTGCTTCAGTAGTTGCGGAGTATGGCTTTCTCATAACACAGTAACTTTACAACAACATCAACCGTTCAGCAGGGCGACCAATAGGCCCACGTCAATACACTACATGACTAATATAGGTTTCTTTGTCTTCTAATATAGTTTATTGTATAATGAACAGATCAGTAAAAGTGTAAAAATATAACAAAAATGGAGTAAAATCTGATCGCGTTTAATAAAACATGAAGGAGGCAATTGATATCAGACATGAAATTCATCAACTTACAATCCAAAGTCCATCAAAAGGAATTTTGTCGTGGAAATCAACCGTCAAATCTTTCCACCATTCGGCTGTTGAATCCAAGTTGAAGTCAGGGAAAGCAGCGAACGCACGATAGTTCTAGATTTAGAAAATATTTCCAGCTCTTATTATCATATTTTTTAGTAGAAATAGAATTAACGAATATGACAGTTTCATTCCTAGTAAAATGATACTAGATATTATAAATCGATTGGTCCGGTACATGCAGAGAACTACAACAATTTAACAAAATTCATAGGCCTACTTTGTATTTTATAACAAAAAACAAATCAGATGAATAATATCAGAAAAAAATTATTTCCTTGATTTTTGCAATGAAACAACGATACAAAAAGACTCCTGATTATCCTGACGGGTTTGTTAATTTCCGTAACTATGGCTAATAAGTAATAGGTCAACAGGGATGTATAACTTGGATTTTTGAGCTTCCACTCGGCGATTTTTTCACCTTGACATATTTCACTAACATTTTGTACACTCATGTTAAAAACTGAATCAAATAGTCAGTTTTATTTGGGCTTTATTGTTTAGGTAATACCAGTTTTTGATAATTACGTCCATATTTAAAATTAGTAATTCTAATTTCTACTTTCGAGATAATTGCTTGATTAATACAAAAATGAAATGAATGATAAGACACCTGAGTTTGATAGTCCCAGTCTTGCGATTCGTCAACTTCTACTCCTGGATAATCGGGCCAAACTTTACCCCAGGCTATTTCACCTTCGGGTGTCTTAACAAAAACGTCGTCTGTCACACCTTTGTCGAATGGAGGATACGATCCAGCGGTTTCATTTCCACTTATAGCAGGATCAAGAATGATAATGTATCTAGAATTTAATAATTTTTGATTAGGTGTAGATCAAATTGGATCATATTTACCTATTCTAATAATTTTAATAGTATGCAAAGTCATAAGATGATATTTACTCAAAAAAAAAAAGAGACAGATGGTGCGAGTTGAAAGTGTGTTATGGAAATGAAGTTTCTAGCCTTAACTGCTCACCTCATTTTATTTTCTTCTTTTAAATTTCTTACAAAATCTTCAAGTCCATAATATGTATCGTTATCGATTGTAAAATCAAGTTGTCGTTCCATGTAATCAATGTCGCTGTATTGAATCTCCTGAAATGGGATAGGCATAAATGAAAGCAAGCAACAGAAGCGAGCAATCGATTGAAATCCAGCCATTTTCCCGTTCTGATTTTGTAACTTTGCAAGGGTCGCAGCGAGAGACGCACATTAACGATTGTTTGAGGACTATTTTGTGAAATAAGTCACCAGATGCTACGGATAGATACATTTCAATTGTTATCAACATATAAAAATATTGGATTTGTAAAAATTATTTTGTGAATAATAATACAGTCAAAATGAAGCCTCATTATAGTTACTATAAAACAAATTGCTTACGTAAGGAATCTTTCCCAAATTCCGGTTAACAACTTTTGTGAGATTTTCCAGATTTTCATAGTCGTATCTGCATAACTGAAATCCGAGAGACCAGTAGGGTGGGAAGTAAGGTCGACCTATTATGGATGTGTATTGCTCGGTGACTTGCTCCGGCGAAGGTCCAAGAAAAATATAGAAGTCCATTACGCCACCGATACTCCTGTACGTAATTGCCGGGGCTGGCTGAAGTGTAACGTCTGAAAATAAATGGATTTGACAAATTATTCGCCGAAATAAAGCCAATGCCACATGTTGAACTATGTATATCTGAAGAAATCTGACTTTGGTCAGACGAAACGTTACAGAAATATATTTGTGTTAGTGTGCAGCAAGACCTTTGAATCACTTGGGATAGTTATATTTGCTCTTGTCACAGCATCCTTGCATTATATGCATACGAATCCGCCGACACAAAAGCATAGAAGAAGGATAAGCAGTTAGTCCCGCAGAAAGCAAATCATTATTGCAATGTAGCGTATGTCACACTTTTCAATAATGGACTTTTTTGATCTCCTGTAATAAAGGACCAGGGGCTACTATTTCGAGTTTCGAGTTATATCTGTTTTGGTTTTGATTGTATGTAATGCTTTATGCATATTTTTAGGTTTGGCTGTTAGAACCAAACTATTGCCCAAATTAGATTTTTCCAAGATCTCAAATGTGACATAACCTGATTTGGTTTTACTGCGGCGATGCTCTCCTAAATGAGTTTGAAACGAAATGACCAAAATACATTTCAGAGAGGCAATGTGAATCTTTGTACTAAATCATAAAATGCATAATGTGGTTATGAAAAGACGGTGATTTAACGTTTTGTCGCAAAATTGCGAGAAGAAGACTCACCCATAGCGTTACTGTTGACAAAATATACTCCATATGCGTTTCCATCTCCTTCCATACACATGAAATACGGATGAACTCCATAAAGATTGACATTCGGCTATAAATTAAAACGGGATATTGTTATACTGTTGCAAAAAAGTTAGCTAATTTTGATGTAAGCTTATTTCAAATAACGAAGTGAAGTCGAACTAATTCAATTTGAAAAATCCTTGCAGATGACCTGGAAATTTATCCCCAAATAGGTCATATGGTGCAAACCATCAATTGTTGTAAATTAAAAAATATAATACTTGTTTATAAGACACTTGCGTCCGGAAATATGTTAAGAAACGTTCGATAAAAGTTACAGTTATGAATACTTGCTTGCATTTTATTTATTTATTCAATAAGACCGTTAATATTAAAGTTATTTATAAAGTAAAGTATGTTGCTAACTTAAAAGCGGTTGTATAAGTAATGCAAGTATATGCGACCTATTTACTGTTTATATAACGTTGGAACTTTATTAAAAAAAAGCATGCAAAATGTAATTTAATGGGTTAGAATGTCTACACATGTGAAAAGCGAGCGTCTATATACGTCAATATACGACATGCGAAAACGCAAAATCAAGTTTTCAAACAAGGCAATAAAAGGCCTTAATCGGTTTGTTCTTGTGTGAGGTTTCATATGTACACACTCTTAAAATTGACCGTATTTAAAACAACTTAGGATACTCTATAATCGTTAGGAAATTTATCTGGGACGAAGCTTCTTACCCCGACCCCCTGATCTCTTGAGAACATTCCATAAGTTTTCCAATTCATATCATGTTTGAAGGTTTCATGCATATGTTCCCCGAATCCATAGATATATTCAGAAGCCACGCGAGTTGAAATTTGTAAAAATTGATCCGCAAACATCATTTCTCCAACAGAAGTGTCAAAACTGAAAGTGATATAAATACACTTTGATAAAGCTTTAGTTGAATTTGGTTTGGCACTCCCTTAGTATGTGAATCAAAATGGCGGACACCGGAACTTAGTATGTGTACCAGGTTAGGGTTAGATCATGATTTTATTCCAATTTTCCCTATTTTAGTTTTATTACGAGTTCAGGGACTAGCTAAGTGACTCCCGTAGTATTTGTACCTGAAATTATGGCCAAACCCTAACCTGATACATATTCTACGTTCCGGTGTCCGCCATCTTGGTTCACATACCACGGGAGTACCTTTGGTTTAATACAGATTGTACACAGAGGACTTTTTCAAATTGTGTAATTCCACGGGCGACACTAACTTTTTGTGTGGGATTCTTATATTTATTGTCGCTCAATGATTTATATATATGAACAATTTCTGATTTCCAACCCGTTATGATAAAAACTTACATTACTCTTTTTTCTGATGTACGTTGAACTTTAACACCAAACCTTCCACCGTCATATGAATGCTCGACAGAATACAAAGAATCTGATGGACTATCAATATTTAGAGGATGCTCCATAGGAACCTCATATCTAGTTTCATCTGGATAAATCTGAATGAAAAGTTTTTTCAGTCACACAATTCATGAAGTATAAATTATTCAACCAAAACGGTTTTCTAGCAACACTAATTCTATGTAATATAAAAAAAGGAGAAATGTGAGAATATAACTGAATATAAATTCAGAATAAAAACATTGATATTCATTCATCCAATAGGAATTTATCGAATCCAGTTTGTATGATTGAAATTGGAAATTACCATCATTTTTCGGTTAATCCAGTCCTGTTTTCAATAAATACTTGATATGCGAACTTTGATATTTAATACGGTTATATTCTATCCAAACAAATTATTTGTAACCGATTACTTACTTACTCCTAGTTATTATTTTTGAATAAATAAACAACATCATACCTTTACTCTTAATGTTGTGCCAGAAATATATGTTGTTTGAACGTTCAATTTTGCGTACAACGTACCAAAGTGATTTAATGAAGCACCCGATGAAATTAATGTACTGGAAATCTTGCTGGGTGTTTCATTGGTATCACCGTCAATCACAAAAGCTCCAGGCCCGTTATAAAAGCAGTTCGGAGAATCATGGTTCGTTCCTGGTGACCACATGCACCTGGGAGTTGTTGAAAATATTCGTTAATTCAAATGATTGCAATAACATTAATAAGGAAAATTTAAAGAATAAAAAATACCAATACAATTAAGGGCGCTTCAGTAGTATGTGTACCAATATGGAGGTAACTAGTTTTGCTCGATTATTTTTCATCAAGTTGTGTGAAGAGACTAAAACCAAGGGGTGGGGGATATCCACTTAGCTAACACAGACAGTCCCCCAAGTCATAATAAAGCTAAAATAAAAAAATCGGAATGAAATTACGGCCCAACCCTAACCTGGTACACACACTACGGGAGTACCCAATTGGGTATTGAATCATATTATTCCACGTCAAATAAAAAAGTAAATTTTTTTACCTCCTTTCCCAACATTGTTCCTGTGTCGCAGCCGAGTTATCCGGATAGCAATCTATTCGTTCCGATTCTTCAACCATTGTTGATTCCCAAACAATTTCAAACGCCGTTTTCAAGTCAACCATCAAACCAGTGATTTGCAACTGAAATGCAATGTGCCAAAGTATTTCAATATGTTATTTGATGATTTATAAACGAATGTTTTGTCAATTATCGTTTTAAAACCCTTCATAATAATTTTTTATTTTATTTTATATTTCACGAATTGAAGGTTAATTCTTTTCTCACCTCTTTTGTCAACCCATTGTATGTAAAATTATGGTGACTGTTTCCGTTCAGTAAAACTTTTGTTGTAAACTCAGATACGCCCAGGACCCGAATACTTCCTAATGTCATATCTTCGGCGGTGGTGTTTGAATGCACAATTTGGCTTGTTAATGAACTCTGAAGACAAAGACTCGTTTCTTGTAACACATATAGACATAAATACTGTGATTTATTAAATAATTATGATTATTACTTTTTATATTATTTACTTCTCATCACTGTAACATTTTTCATACTGATTGTAATTAATCTTTGAACACGACGGGACATAGTCATTTAATAATTTCAAAAATTTAAATTGTGTATAAATTGTGAAAAAATATTTTTCAGCTATGAGTTATTTGGCTTTTACTTACGCATTTATTAGATAGTGAAGCAATTATTTGATTACACAACTGTAGAATTTAGAGTGCATTTTAGGAAAGTATATCGATAACATGATATAGTTTGGGGGATTTGTAAATATATATACAATATAACAAAATTGATACATGAAATATAGTTTTAATTCGACAATTACCCATACACTTGGTAATATATTCAGTTTCAACTCACCGATTCACATGCGAATTCAATCAAAGTATATTTCATATTGGCTATTGTATCAATCGATGTTCCATCATCCCAGAATAATTCACCAGTGGCTCTTCCGTTCTCATTCAACACAACAATTAATCCGAACGGATTCTGACGACTGAAACAAAACATAGCATGGCATGAAATAAATGTTTGTCATTATATTTTGATAACGTCTCAAACTGTGAATTGTAGTAGGTTTGTATTTGAGTGTTCGGTGTAGTGAATCATTATACTATATAACATCAATTCATTCTTTCATGATTAAATGTTTATTTGGTATGATCTGTACGAACATATGTATGATTGCAAAAATCAAACGGGATTTTGTAATTAATAAAACATAATGAACAAAAACTCCAAAATTTTTGCGAAATAAGACATATTAATAGCTTAAGATGTAATTTAAAAAACTCACGGTCGATTTAAATACAATACATCCATTTACCTGTAGAATGTTGTCAAAGCAGGTTCCTGTGTTGGAATAATATTTCCACCGTACAAATGCAGATTGATGTGATCGAAGGGCGCATTCAAAGTTAATATTTTGCCAGTTTCTGCCATTTCCGCTCCGCTGCAGTTGAAAAAAATTACGATAGTTTAAACATTGCTCTGCTGGAGAACATAAGAACATAATACAAACTAATCTTTGTTAAACAACGAGCTATTAAGAAACTACAAAGGGATGAAACTCACGTGTAATAATCAAACCATCTCCCCGCTGGAAAATATCCATCAACTGATGTAGTCGCCTCTGTAAGTACGGGTGTGATGAGAAGAGCTGATCCCCACATGAATTGCCCGTCCGCAGTATATGTATTTATATCGTTGGGAAATCTAGAAATTACCAAAAAATCGTTTTCAACGTTTTTATTATTGTTGAAGTCTAGTAATAGTACTTTCATATAATGTGTCAAAACATGCTAATCATCCAGCACCGGGTGTACCAAACTATCGCAAGTATGTATAGAATTGCCTTTCAGTCCGTAATCAGTCAGCCAGTCAATATTTTATTTCTTCAGCATCTGACATAAAACCTACAGCCCAATTGAATGAGAATTACAATGCTCAAGGTACATTCATTGTCACCCCTTTCATCATTTATCTCCACAATAAGAGAAAAATATTTCACGTGTAATTTCTAAAATATTAATTTATTTATTCTTTCAAGTAGATACACTAAATTTTTTTTAGGTATAAATGAAAAGAATGCATTGAACGAATTTTGAAACTCACTGGTTCATCATTGGTCTGACAACAGTTGCACCGGTTCTTTGTGCTTCATAGAACAAAGTATATAAATACGGCAATAACGTGTATCGAACATCCAGCACTTTCTTCGAATCAGCTAAAAATCTGAAAAATAGCGAAATGTGAGCTTGAAGAAAATTGTTACGCGTATAGTTACGTGTATTTATAGTTGCTTACAGCGATGTCCCAGTCGCGCGGCTGTTACAAGACATGGTAAACTGTGAAATATCCTAGCTTCTATATTACTATAGTGCAGGGGTGGCCAACCTGCTTTCGACCGCGATCGACTAAATTCTTCAAAAAAGCTCGCGATCGACTGATCGGTAATAAGGTCATAAACAAAAATGAATGAATACTGATACGCAGATAACTGCACACACGCATACAAAAATTACACCGCTGCCAATAAGCCCGGCTCTGCGGTCGCGTTCTCAATAATATTGCCACAAAAATTTGCATCTTTATGCCCCATTCAATTTGTTAACTTGATTATGTAATGGAGTAAATGTTTCATCATTCATTTTAGATTTATCCAAAGCACACAATTCAGATCTGGGGTCTGTCTAATTTTTAGTCGTAAGTGTTTTCAATTCCTCAAAAAACCTTCAAAAGTATCCATGTATTATCTTAACATCGAATAAATAATATTCTTAAACCATATATAATACATTTCAAACTTCAGTATCTAATTTACAATTCTTTGGTCGCCTGGAATTAGAGAAAAAAGTGGGCATTCTGATGCCACTGCTACCGTTGCGAATAAAATTTATCACACTACTCCTGGAGTGAGACAATAACTTTCGCACAGTGCAGAAATTGTTGTAGGATCGTTGGTCAGTCACGACAGATGGTATTCAGTACGTTCATTCCTAAAACTTGGCAGTAGTGAAACTTGAATGGGTCACATAATAATATGCTTCATCGGGCTCGTTCATACCCAATTAATGCATGTGTTTATCGTATTTTGCGCATGTACAGTACTATATTCTTTCTGTTTTAAAGTACACAACAGACGCTGTATGAAATTGGTTCAAGGCAATTTTTTGGGGTATGTAATTAAAATTACTCAACATCAGACGCGATCGACTACTTGAGACGTGGCGATCGACCGGTCGATCGCGATCGACGTGTTGGCCACCCCTGCTATAGTGAATAGTCACTAGTCAATTCATTGTGGAGTAATTGTTGGTAATTACCTGGCATCTGGTGCCCAGTATGAAACCAATATAAATTACCCAACGTTCAGTTTCACCCTTATTCCATAACTGAAATTCCTAAATATATAAAGCACGAATCTTCTTAGCCTCCAATTTGTTTTTTAAGGATATTGTTTCAATATAAAAATTTCATTTAAACATCCACGAATTTCTTAGACTGGCAAATATTACAAAATTCCATTTCCGATATAAAACATGATGGCAACTTACATCCGAGCCTTGTAGTCGGATACAAATTACAGTGTGCTTTATTGGCGAGGTCAAGTCATAAATATATTTCGATTTCAAATTAGTCGAGTAATCGCAGCCTAGTAAAGTCATTGCCAGATTTAGAATGTACTCACTGTTCCCCAAAATATCCAGGATCTTGATCAGCCCATCCTTTACCATTATGATTTCTATCAAACGGATAAAAAGCACCAACTTGCATCCATCTGCGACATAAACTTTCTGTTGTATCAACAAAAAAACCGCAGACATCGGCACCAATATATGGTATACCAAATAAGTTGAATTCCATTATACCTGTTGAAATATTTGTACCTGATTGTTTCATTACATTTTTACATTTATATTAATTTTGAAAATTTAAGTCTGGCATGCGTGGGAAACATAAGGAGATGTTTCTCGTCACATACTTCACTGTACATCAATGTTATAGATTGAGACTATAGTGCAGGGGTCGGGAACCTTTTTGGTCAAGAGAGCCATAAAATATACATATTTTCAATTGCATTTCCGTGCGAGCCATATACCATTTCTTCACTTAATCAGGCCTGAAATGTTTACTCAAAAGTCAACACATATAATGTCAATATACATTTAATGTGATTTCTGATGCTGCATGTAGTCGCTGCGGGTCTTGAACGGTTGCTCACATGCAGCCCAAGTTGAAATCTACGATACTCATCAGCCTTTTTCGTTTAGGCATATCCGTAGTGTTTTTAAAACTATATCGCTTTGTGATGTTACAATATATGTTCCAGAATCCCCTTGTTTGTCACAATGCCTGTCTAGTAATATCTTACATAACATAGACATGTGCTGGGCGCGTGTTCTGAAACGTATTGGGAATTTCCTGCCAAAGTCGGCTATAAAAGAGTTTGGGATCTCGTAACAATAGTAAGCTTAGTCTTAGAATATTATATTTTTCTGGGAGCCATATGCCGTCACCAAAAGAGCCATATATGGCTCGCGAGCCATGGGTTCCCGACCCCTGCTATAGTGTTTATCTAACTAGTTCCTCAAATGCACGAGTTTCTAGCTATTCTCGAAGTCTGGAGATGTAATATTACCAATGATTGAAGTTCGTAGATGTTCCCATATACTCGCGTTATCTCCCAACCAATGACCAACGTGCTTCCCACTTCCTGGATACGTAGATCTTGATATTACCATACACCTTTCTCCAGTTGATGCCCTTAAAATTAATGGATTATTTCAGTGGCGGCGCGTGGTCATTTTGACAACCGGGGCAAGCTACTGCGGGACCAAGTCACCCCCATCTACGGGGACAGTATGAGCGCTGTAAGTTCTCCCATCATTTTATGAGTATAAAAACCATTCCATCGGTAACAACCAATCGGCAAAAGCGACAATTTTTAACGATAAGAAAGTGTCTTTAAAACCGGTTCAAGTCAAGGGATTAATAAATATAGACATAGTTTATTTTGAAACCTCTTTCAAAAGGAAAGGCAATATTTACCCAGATAAATACAATGACATATTAACAGAAACTTTGGGAAAGCAGACAAAACCTAAAATAAGGTTTAAAACGTTACTATGAAGAAAGGAAAGTTAATGCAAAGATAAGGACATGCGTCGCTCACTCATAGATATATATGCTGCTAGACTTCTACTGCTTGAACATATATGCAACACGCCGCGGTTTCTTGGAGGCAAAATGCTCAATAACGCGCTGATGCATGCATCCCAGAAATAACGTCTCTGTGAATGGATAAAACAGCCAAGAAATTTAATCTATCTTGCTTCATTGTGTTTCTGAGATACGTTTTAATACGCTTCAGCGTGCTGAATGTTCGCTCTGCGTCGGCGGAAGAAATAGGCGTCGTCAAAATGATGTCCAGAAATTTTGCAGACGCCGCAAAGGTAGTTACTAGAGTGTTATCTATGAGGAACCCATAGAGCGCGCAAGTTGATGTGATGTTCAAAAAAGTTTGATTGGTGTATATACATCGCAATTCATTTTCCAATTTACCCACGTTTATCATGAGGTAAAATTTGGAGACAGTAGCCAACAAATGGATGGGAAATTGACGTGCAAATTTTGAAAAAATTTTGGGGTTCATCAAAGAGAACGCGGCAAGGTGTTCAGTGCGCAGACGATCGCCTATTTGATTCACCAGAATGTCACAGCATTCCTTTACAGACAAAATCAAACGCTGCGTTGTTTGCCCGCGGCGTAAAGAAGCACTCCATTTCCCGGATACGAGATACAGCATCGAAGAAGTCTGAAATACACGACTGCACAGACGCTCCATCCATCAGCCTTGACTGCAATGCGCCGTATAATACATCCACGTGATAGAATATTGTGGAGAAAAAAGCGAGAAAAAATGGAAACTCACCATCTTCTAGCAGACGCTTTAGACCTGCCGCCTCCCTCACAGAGCGTTCGTCCCAAACCGGAGAGCTCTGAATGCCATTGAAACACTCAATGATCTCAGACCTAATTTCGGACACGCCCTGCACCACGCGTGATTGGAAGCACAAGCTGGGAGACGGCGGCTACATATCTGGCGAAGGAGGTCAGAGCGCTTAGGCGAAACGGAAAAAAATGAAGGAAACCCCGAAACATTTGCAAAAAATATACGGACGAGAGGGGTATCAAGACACATATTTTTAATAACGAGGTTAAATTAGTGTGCATAACAATGTAAAAAATGCGCATGAGGAAAATCTTCTTTTATATAAACTTGAACACCATGTTTCGACCCACTCATGACTGCCGCGCCGTCATAAGTTTGAGCTATCAATTTTGACTTCGCGTTGTAAGGCTGTAACACTTCTTTCAGTACAGCCGATATCCCGCAAGCCGTGCGATCAACGATTGGTACAAAGCTGTGAAATCTCTTGGTAGGTTTACCCTCTTTCACAAACCGAAAAATCACAGCCAGTTGGGAAACGCACGTGATGTCAGTTGTCTCGTCAGACTGAATCAAAAAGAACTGGCAATTCTCAATTTCCAGAGCCAAATGTTGTAAATAAATTTTATACATTGAGTCGAGCAAATCATTTTGGATATCCTTAGATGTCCCTTTCGAAACAGTTGCGGCATCAAGATGATCTCTCAATACTGTATCTAGGGATGCGGTGTATTCCACCATGGTGACCGTACATTTGAACCCACGTACATTTGAACCCATGTGTATATCCACGGGTTCAATCTACATGCGGGTGCTAAAACCCATGGGTTAGGGTTAGTATGGGTTCAACTATCCGTAAAACAAAAACAAAATTCATAGGTACCATAGCATATAGGTGCAATTGTCAAGGGTTCAAATGTACGTGGGTTCAAATGTAATGGAACCTTCCACCATATCCAAAAATACCCCTCTATTGGAAGAGCCAGCCCGTTCATCGTGCCCACGGAGGGACAGCTCGTGACAACCAATGAACTTCAAAACATCTATCAATCGACCGAGAACATGGCGGTTTTTCTCGACGTTTTGGTTGTGCCGACGAATAGAAACCGCGCGTCCTTCATCCAACTGTGCTGCAATATTAACATTTCCGAACGTTCGGTATTTTACTGCATTGTCCAGATGCTCCATAGAAGATTGATGATCCTTGGCACGCTCGGAAAGATGTTTAAGATCTCTAAAACCAAATTTACACCAACGTGAGTCACGGGCGGTAGCAAAAAGTAGGCAATAAAAACAAAAAAGTGCATTTTTGTCCTCGCTGTAACACAACCATTTGTGTTTTTTATACCAAGTTTCTGAGCAGAATGTACGCCGACGCTTTCCTCAGTCATGGGATTGTTCCAATGAACAATTTATTGGTTGATAAGGCCCAAGACGTTGTACCTCTAATTTTTGTTCCAGCGGCAGCTGCGAAAACGGAGTGCGAAGTAGTGCATCAACCTTATTCATTATGAGGTCTAAGGCTAAGAAATGCGAAGCCGGAAATAAGTGAGGGGCTCAAAAGGAATGTGGAAAATCGGAAGAAAATGGACTAAAGGTCTCTAACTGATTCAAATAGCGAAACAAGCGACAAAAACGAAGGCGAGGAAACTATCAACTCTTCAAGCAACCAACGAACGAGAAGGAATGCGTGAATATGTCAACACGTTGTTGTAAGAAACGTCGGCATTGTGTCGTCATAATTTCGGGGTTAGCCCCCGATCGGCCCCGATGATTTAGTAAAAGAAACAGAAAACAAACGAGACAAAAACAAACGAGACAAACGCGGCGAGTGGAAGATAAAAGAGAGAATACGATATACAATGCGCAACCGGGGCAAAATCGGCGTCGCCCCGTCGACGTTCGGCGAAGGCTTTGCGAGCGAAAAATGAACCATGTCGGGAGAATATGGCTAGTGTAGACAGTCTATGCAACTGATATTGAGGTATTTTTCGAATATTTTTCATTATACCGAAAAAACGACCGGGGCATTGCCCCGGTTGGCCCTATTGACGCGCCGTCACTTGATTATTTATTGATGATTAATATTTTGATTTTATTGGATGAATAAATGTAGGATTTTAAAACGTACCAGTAAGATTATTTAAATCAATTTTGCTGTTCTGCTGAGCCGATACTAAATATTAGTAAAAGCAAACTATGCCTTGATAGCTGTGCGCAAACAATATCCTATAAATTTTTACGGTGATTTACAGTGAATAAAGCCCCGCCCTCTTTTTAGGATTATCAAGTCTTGCGCCCCACTTCAAAAGTAAACAGCTAACAATAAGCTACAAATAAAAGTTGGTGTGGCGAAAGTATGTTTTGTTAAAAAAAATAACACTTTGAAAGTACGTCGAAGGAACGTAAATATTCGAAATAAGGCGGTCAAAATCAAGTCTAACAAATGTTTCTATTTTTGATTAGCTTTGGGCCTCTTAAAAAAAATTGTCTACACCCCATTGTGGGGGCGCGCCCCACCATTTAAAATCAAGCATAGTTTTGCTTCAGACCTGCAAGCATCAACAGTCGGAGGTCCTTGACTTTTTCCATAAAGACTGTGAACATTGTAATGATCCGTATCTGTTCCAGTAGTTGGATGTCGCTGCTTATTTCTCATGCATAACGTTTTGTCGTAAACATTCCCACTTGCAAGATCTATTTTGATATTATAATGCTTATTCAGTGTTATAACAACTACAAGTTTGGGAATTTTAGAATGAGGTATCGAATGGGGATTGTTTCAATGATACCCTTACTCACGTGGAACATATGGAGGATAATCTAATGAACTATCATCTGGACATCCGTCAGGCGATCCGTGAACAAAAGACGCTGGTTCGTTCATGTCCTAAATACAAGAGAGCAATGAAGCAATGTGCAAATATATAGATGGACACCCTTTTCAAATGGTTGACTCATGTATGCAAAATTCCAACTCCATGTTGAACGAATAGTACCAGATGTCATGTAAAGTTGAAAAGATGAAAGTTTTCAAATTATTTAAAAAAATCAGCAAAATTTTGAGTAAAATTCCTGGGCTTTGTTCATTTGTAAAGTGAAAGTAACAGCCTTCAATCTTCAAGTGATGGAAATGTGAAATTGATTGCTTCAGTAGTTGCGGAGTATGGCTTTCTCATAACACAGTAACTTTACAACAACAGCAACCGGCGACCGATAGGCCCATGTCAATACACTACATGACTAATATAGGTTTCTTTGTCTTCTAATATAGTTTATTGTATAATGAACAGATCAGTAAAAGTGTAAAAATATAACAAAAATGGAGTAAAATCTGATCGCGTTTAATAAAACATGAAGGAGGCAATTGATATCAGACATGAAATTCATCAACTTACAATCCAAAGTCCATCAAAAGGAATTTTGTCGTGGAAATCAACCGTCAAATCTTTCCACCATTCGGCTGTTGAATCCAAGTTGAAGTCAGGGAAAGCAGCGAACGCACGATAGTTCTAGATTTAGAAAATATTTCCAGCTCTTATTATCATATTTTTTAGTAGAAATAGAATTAACGAATATGACAGTTTCATTCCTAGTAAAATGATACTAGATATTATAAATCGATTGGTCCGGTACATGCAGAGAACTACAACAATTTAACAAAATCCATAGGCCTACTTTGTATTTTATAACAAAAAACAAATCAGATGAATAATATCAGAAAAAAATTATTTCCTTGATTTTTGCAATGAAACAACGATACAAAAAGACTCCTGATTATCCTGACGGGTTTGTTAATTTCCGTAACTATGGCTAATAAGTAATAGGTCAACAGGGATGTATAACTTGGGTTCTTGAGCTTCCACTCGGCGATTTTTTCACTTTGACATATTTCACTAACATTTTGTACACTCATGTTAAAAACTGAATCAAATAGTCAGTTTTATTTGGGCTTTATTGTTTAGGTAATACCAGTTTTTGATAATTACGTCCATATTTAAAATAATTAGTAATTCTAATTTCTACTTTCGAGATAATTGCTTGATTAATACAAAAATGAAATGAATGATAAGACACCTGAGTTTGATAGTCCCAGTCTTGCGATTCGTCAACTTCTACTCCTGGATAATCGGGCCAAACTTTACCCCAGGCTATTTCACCTTCGGGTGTCTTAACAAAAACGTCGTCTGTCACACCTTTGTCGAATGGAGGATACGATCCAGCGGTTTCATTTCCACTTATAGCAGGATCAAGAATGATAATGTATCTAGAATTTAATAATTTTGATTAGGTGTAGATCAAATTGGATCATATTTACCTATTCTAATAATTTTAATAGTATGCAAAGTCATAAGATGATATTTACTCAAAAAAAAAGAGACAGATGGTGCGAGTTGAAAGTGTGTTATGGAAATGAAGTTTCTAGCCTTAACTGCTCACCTCATTTTATTTTCTTCTTTTAAATTTCTTACAAAATCTTCAAGTCCATAATATGTATCGTTATCGATTGTAAAATCAAGTTGTCGTTCCATGTAATCAATGTCGCTGTATTGAATCTCCTGAAATGGGATAGGCATAAATGAAAGCAAGCAACAGAAGCGAGCAATTGATTGAAATCCAGCCATTTTCGCGTTCTGATTTTGTAACTTTGCAAGGGTCGCAGCGAGAGACGCACATTAACGATTGTTTGAGGACTATTTTGTGAAATAAGTCACCAGATGCTACGGATAGATACATTTCAATTGTTATCAACATATAAAAATATTGGATTTGTAAAAATTATTTTGTGAATAATAATACAGTCAAAATGAAGCCTCATTATAGTTACTATAAAACAAATTGCTTACGTAAGGAATCTTTCCCAAATTCCGGTTAACAACTTTTGTGAGATTTTCCAGATTTTCATAGTCGTATCTGCATAACTGAAATCCGAGAGACCAGTAGGGTGGGAAGTAAGGTCGACCTATTATGGATGTGTATTGCTCGGTGACTTGCTCCGGCGAAGGTCCAAGAAAAATATAGAAGTCCATTACGCCACCGATACTCCTGTACGTAATTGCCGGGGCTGGCTGGAGTGTAACGTCTGAAAATAAATGGATTTGACAAATTATTCGCCGAAATAAAGCCAATGCCACATGTTGAACTATGTATATCTGAAGAAATCTGACTTTGGTCAGACGAAACGTTACAGAAATATATTTGTGTTAGTGTGCAGCAAGACCTTCGAATCACTTAGGATAGTTATATTTGCTCTTGTCACAGCATTCTTGCATTATATGCATACGAATCCGCCGACACAAAAGCATAGAAGAAGGATAAGCAGTTAGTCCCGCAGAAAGCAAATCATTATTGCAAGGTAGCGTATGTCACACTTTTCAATAATGGACTTTTTTGATCTCCTGTAATAAAGGACTAGGGATGGGACGAGTCCGGCATTACAGAGATTCGGCGAATCCGAGTAATAGGTCATGGACTCGAGTCGAATCCGCCGAGTCCGTGACGTCACAATGAAAACGGCAAAAACACGGTTTCAATTGTGACGCAACAATGCGCGATCGGTGACGTACTGTTTTCTTGCCATGCTTCGCGTACAGCTCAGTTACCGACTAATTGCGTGAATCTTTTGGATGATTGTATAATAAGCTACTCAAGGTTGATTGTTTTTGATAAGATTTACGGGTGGAATTAGACTGCTTTTGGCAACTTTACTTCAAGAAGGTTTCCGCTTCTGCTGGTTGTCTGTTGCGATGTCATCACCGAAAGCAAAGTCACTTGCGTGGCAGTATTTTAAAATTTGTGAAGATGACTGTTCGAAGGCCGAATGTGGCATTTGCGCAACTAAAATTAGTCGTGGGAAATGCAAATCTTCTTATACAACGAGTTCAATGCTTAAGCACTTGTCAACTTGCCATCAGGTTTTTGAAAAACCAGATGGATCTAAGAGAGTCAACGTCGAAAGTACTGCTGCTGCAGAATGCAGCAGTCGCCAACCCACCATTGTCGAAGCCTTGTCAAAACGTAAATTGTATGACAATTCACACCCCGTTTCTCGATGCTTAACATCCAAAATTGGCGAGATGATTGCTCTAGATTTTATGCCGTATTCGATGGTGGAAAATGTGGGGTTTTTGCGGCTTGTGAAAGAACTGAATGCTAGATACACTATTCCGTCTCGAAAATATTTTTCCAACACCGTTGTTCCAGGAATATATGATAAAGTGACAAATAAGATCAAGGAATTGTTGAAAAGTGCCGTTGGACCCATATGTGCTACAACAGATGAATGGACAAGTCTTCAAAATGATTCGTTCATGAGTATAACCTCCAATTTTCTTATCTGGAACAAGGGTGATTTACACCGTGTTACGCCCGTTCTTTCCTGTTCTGAGCTCGTGGGCTCGCAAACCGCAGCATTGCTGCTGTCAGAAATACGAAGACAAGAAAGTGAGTGGGGCGTATCGTTTGCTACAATAACATCCGACAATGCCTCGAACGTGATAAAGGCATTAAAGGACGGGGAGATTTTTAATATCCGATGTATGGCACACACTTTGAACTTGATCGTTCACGACGCTATCAGATCAAACATTGATGTGAAAGATATCGTGGCTGATGCCCGTTCTATAATTGCCCACTATAACCGCTCATCTCGCGACGCTCGTGCTCTCAGGGAATGTCAGAAAAGGCTGAATGCACCAGAACATAAATTGCAACAAGACGTGAGTACCAGATGGAACTCTACATACTACGCGCTGGAGCGAATGGTGGAACAGAGAGGAGATATTAATGATATGTCCTTCAGGGGAATTGGTAATACTCTGTCACCTAACCAGTGGAGAATGGCTTCATCTTTAATTCGAGTTTTGAAGTTATTTGACATAGCGACCAAGGAAGTTTGTACTGAGGAGGCGACAATAGCAAGCATTCTACCAGTAAAAGAGAATTTGTTGAAAAGATTGGAAGCATTCATTGGTGACAGCGATATTTATGGACTCGACAATTTTCTGAATAGCCTCAAAAGTGGTATAGAACGGAGATTTAGCGTTCCTGGAAATGGACCTCAGCCCCGAGACGCATACTTTCAGAACCAGGCCTCATATAACCGTTGTTTATTGGCTACAATACTTGATCCAAGATTAAAGTTGTCATGGTGCTCAACTATCAATCGGCAAGAAATCGAACGGCTGCTTGTTACTGAAGTGAAGAAGTTTGCCACGGATAGTGTTGAACTCTACGAAGGGACTGAATTATATCAATCATCATCATCAGAAGAGGCCGAAGATAGTGTGGTCTTCGGTGCACCTGAGAACGCGGGTCTTGTCAGGGAACAGGTGGATATGGATGCTGATATTGTAACTGCTGTCAGGCAATATCTTGCTGCACCTACTCTTAAAAGGCACAAGTCTCCACTTGTTTTTTGGCCACAATACAGAAATGAATGCCAGGCGATGTTCGCTCTAGCCGTAAGCTTGCTTTCATGCCCGCCTACTTCCGTCAATTCTGAGCGTCTTTTTAGCACAGCTGGCGTTGTAACGTCGCCGTTACGTAACCGTCTGAAACCAAAAAACGTCGAAATTTTAAAATTCTTGCATGTCAATCTAAAGAAACTCAATTTTGACTACAATACGCTTGCATGATTTCAGATGCTATTAGCTATAAAACTGTTATTTCGCAAGTAGCACACATAATTTCGTTGCTTTTAGCAAATTTTTCTTGATTTCTTATTTTTCAAGAAGCAAATTGCATGCAATAAACTGTAATTAAAACGTGTTAATAAATTTTTCCTTGGGGATGCTCTCCTATCTGTTTTGTTTACGAAGAGTAATTTATTGGTTCGCGCACCAAAAGTAGCCTTGATGTTTTTATTGGGATATGGTCACTAGCGACGAAATGACTGAAATGTCTGATAAGCCCCTGTGATACAATATGTGCGTATGTTTTTAGAGATCTCTCACGTGACGAATCACATTATTTTGTAAAAATATTGCTTATACTGACTTTTATAACGGTAAAATCGCATAATGGAGGCGTCAATTATGTAAAACAAAATTGAATAGGGACTCGGTAAAAATGGCGTGGACTCGAAATCGAATCCGAGTCGCAAAAATGCATGGATTCGACTCGAATCCGAGTCCGGATCCGAATCTTGTCCCATCCCTATAAAGGACCAGGGGCTACTATTTCGAGTTTCGAGTTATACCTGTTTTGGTTTTGATTGTATGTAATGCTTTATGCATATTTTTAGGTTTGGCTGTTAGAACCAAACTATTGCCCAAATTAGATTTTTCCAAGATATCAAATGTGACATAACCTGATTTGGTTCTACTGCGGCGATGCTCTCCTAAATGAGTTTGAAACGAAATGACCAAAATACATTTCAGAGAGGCAATGTGAATCTTTGTACTAAATCATAAAATGCATAATGTGGTTATGAAAAGACGGTGATTTAACGTTTTGTCGCAAAATTGGGAATCGAGAGGAAGACTCACCCATAGCATTACTGTTGACAAAATATACTCCATATGCGTTTCCATCTCCCTCCATACACATGAAATACGGATGAACTCCATAAAGATTGACATTCGGCTATAAATTAAAACGGAATATTATTATACTGTTGCAAAAACTTTAGCTAATTTTGATGTAAGCTCCCCAATCCCCAAGGAGGTCAAATGGTTCAAACCATCCATTGTTGTAAATTAAAAAATATAACACTTGTTTATAAGACACTTGCGTCCGGAAATATGTTAAGGAACGTTATGTTACAGTTACAAGTTACAGTTATGAATACTTGCTTCCATTTTATTTATTTATTCAATAAGATCGTTAATATTAAAGTTATTTATAAAGTAAAGTATGTTGCTAACTTAAAAACGGTTGTATAAGTAATGCAAGTATATGCGACCTATTTACTGTATATATAACGTTGAAACTTTATTAAAAAAAGCATGCAAAATATAATTTAATGGGTTAGAATGTCTACACATGGGAAAAGCGAGCGTCTATATACGTCAATATACGACATGCGAAAACGCAAAATCAAGTTTTCAAACAAGGCAATAAAAGGCCCTAATCGGTTTGTTCTTGTGGGAGGTTTCATATGTACATACTCTTAAAATTGACCGTATTTAAAACAAATTAGGATACTCTATAATCGTTATGAAATTTATTTGGAACGAAGATTCTTACCCCGACCCCCTGATCTCTTGAGAACATTCCATAAGTTTTCCAATTCATATCATGTTTGAAGGTTTCATGCATATGTTCGCCGAATCCATAGATATATTCAGAAGCCACGCGAGTAGAAATTTGTAAAAATTGATCCGCAAACATCATTTCTCCAACAGAAGTGTCAAAACTGAAAGTGATATAAATACACTTTGATAAAGCTTTAGTTGAATTTGGTTTGGCACTCCCTTAGTATGTGAATCAAAATGACGGACACCAGAACTTAGTATGTGTACCAGGTTAGGGTTAGACCATGATTTTATTCCAATTTTCCCTATTTTAGTTTTATTACGAGTTCAGGGACTAGCTAAGTGACTCACGTAGTATTTGTACCTGAAATTATGGCCAAACCCTAACCTGATACATATTCTACGTTCCGGTGTCCGCCATCTTGGTTCACATACCACGGGAGTACCTTTGGTTTAATACAAATTGTACACAGGGGACTTTTTCAAATTGTGTAATTCCACGGGCGACTCTAACTTTTTGTGTGGGATTCTTATATTTATTGTCGCTCAATGATTTATATATATGAACAATTTATGATTTCCAACCCGTTATGATAAAAACTTACATTACTCTTTTTTCTGATGTACGTTGAACTTTAACACCAAACCTCCCACCGTCATATGAATGCTCGACAGAATACAAAGAATCTGATGGACTATCAATATTTAGAGGATGCTCCACAGGAACCTCATATCTAGTTTCATCTGGATAAATCTGAATGAAAAGTTTTTTCAGTCACACAATTCATGAAGTATAAATTATTCAACCAAAACGGTTTTCTAGCAACACTAATTCTATGTATTATAAAAAAAGGAGAAATGTGAGAATATAACTGAATATAAATTCAGAATAAAAACATTGATATTCATTCATCCAATAGGAATTTATCGAATCCAGTTTGTATGATTGAAATTGGAAATTACCATCATTTTTCGGTTGATCCAGTCCTGTTTTCAATAAATACTTGATATGCGAACTTTGATATTTAATACGGTTATATTCTATCCAAACAAATTATTTGTAACCGATTACTTACTTACTCCTAGTTATTATTTTTGAATAAATAAACAACATCATACCTTTACTCTTAATGTTGTGCCAGAAATATATGTTGTTTGAACGTTCAATTTTGCGTACAACGTACCAAAGTGATTTAATGAAGCACCCGATGAAATTAATGTACTGGAAATCTTGCTGGGTGTTTCATTGGTATCACCGTCAATCACAAAAGCTCCAGGCCCGTTATAAAAGCAGTTCGGAGAATCATGGTTCGTTCCTGGTGACCACATGCACCTGGGAGTTGTTGAAAATATTCGTTAATTCAAATGATTGCAATAACATTAATAAGGAAAATTTAAAGAATAAAAAATACCAATACAATTAAGGGCGCTTCAGTAGTATGTGTACCAATATGGATGTAACTAGTTTTGCTCGATTATTTTTCATCAAGTTGTGTGAAGAGACTAAAACCAAGGGGTGGGGGATATCCACTTAGCTAACACAGACAGTCCCCCAAGTCATAATAAAGCTAAAATAAAAAAATCGGAATGAAATTACGGCCCAACCCTAACCTGGTACACACACTACGGGAGTACCCAATTGGGTATTGAATCATATTATTCCACGTCAAATAAAAAAGTAAATTTTTTTACCTCCTTTCCCAACATTGTTCCTGTGTCGCAGCCGAGTTATCCGGATAGCAATCTATTCGTTCCGATTCTTCAACCATTGTTGATTCCCAAACAATTTCAAACGCCGTTTTCAAGTCAACCATCAAACCAGTGATTTGCAACTGAAATGCAATGTGCCAAAGTATTTCAATATGTTATTTGATGATTTATAAACGAATGTTTTGTCAATTATCGTTTTAAAACCCTTCATAATAATTTTTTATTTTATTTTATATTTCACGAATTGAAGGTTAATTCTTTTCTCACCTCTTTTGTCAACCCATTGTATGTAAAATTATGGTGACTGTTTCCGTTCAGTAAAACTTTTGTTGTAAACTCAGATACGCCCAGGACCCGAATACTTCCTAATGTCATATCTTCGGCGGTGGTGTTTGAATGCACAATTTGGCTTGTTAATGAACTCTGAAGACAAAGACTCGTTTCTTGTAACACATATAGACATAAATACTGTGATTTATTAAATAATTATGATTATTACTTTTTATATTATTTACTTCTCATCACTGTAACATTTTTCATACTGATTGTAATTAATCTTTGAACACGACGGGACATAGTCATTTAATAATTTCAAAAATTTAAATTGTGTATAAATTGTGAAAAAATATTTTTCAGCTATGAGTTATTTGGCTTTTACTTACGCATTTATTAGATAGTGAAGCAATTATTTGATTACACAACTGTAGAATTTAGAGTGCATTTTAGGAAAGTATATCGATAACATGATATAGTTTGGGGGATTTGTAAATATATATACAATATAACAAAATTGATACATGAAATATAGTTTTAATTCGACAATTACCCATACACTTGGTAATATATTCAGTTTCAACTCACCGATTCACATGCGAATTCAATCAAAGTATATTTCATATTGGCTATTGTATCAATCGATGTTCCATCATCCCAGAATAATTCACCAGTGGCTCTTCCGTTCTCATTCAACACAACAATTAATCCGAACGGATTCTGACGACTGAAACAAAACATAGCATGGCATGAAATAAATGTTTGTCATTATATTTTGATAACGTCTCAAACTGTGAATTGTAGTAGGTTTGTATTTGAGTCTTCGATGTAGTGAATCATTATACTATATAACATCAATTCATTCTTTCATGATTAAATGTTTCTTTGGTATGATCTGTACGAACATATGTAGGTTTGCAAAAATCAAATGTTATTTCGTAATTAATAAAACATAATGAACAAAAACTCCAAAATTTTTGCGAAATAAGACATATTAATAGCTTAAGATATAATTTAAAAAACTCACGGTCGATTTAAATACAATACATCCATTTACCTGTAGAATGTTGTCAAAGCAGGTTCCTGTGTTGGAATAATATTTCCACCGTACAAATGCAGATTGATGTGATCGGAGGGCGCATCCAAAGTTAACATTTTGCCAGTTTCTGCCATTTCCGCTCCGCTGCAGTGGAAAAAAATTACGATAGTTTAAACATTGCAATGCTTGAGAACGCAAGAACATAATACAAATTATTCTTTGTTAAACAACAAGCCATTAAGAAACTACAAAGTGATAAAACTCACGTGTAATAGTCAAACCATCTCCCCGCTGGAAAATATCCATCGACTGATGTAGTCGCCTCTGTAAGTACGGGTGTGATGAGAAGAGCTGATCCCCACATGAATTGCCCATCCGCAGTATATGTATTAATATCGTTGGGAAATCTAGAAAATAACAAGAAATCATTTTCAACGTTTTTATTATTGTTGAAGTCTAGTAAAAGTACTTTCATATAATGTGTCAAAACATGCTAATCATCCAGAACCGGGTGTACCAAACTATCGCAAGTATGTATAGAATTGCCTTTCAGTCAGTAATCAGTCAGCCAGTCAGTAATTTATTTCTTCAGCATCTGACATAAAACCTACAGCCCAATTGAATGGGAATTACAATGCTCAAGGTACATTCATTGTCACCCCTTTCATTATTTACTTCCACAATGAGAGAAAAGTATTCCACGTGCAATTTCTAAATAGTAATTCATTTACTCTTTCAAGCAGATACACTATAAATCCACTTTTTTTAGGTATAAATGAAAAGAAAGCATTGAACGAGTTTTGAAACTCACTGGTTCATCATTGGTCTGACAACAGTTGCACCGGTTCTTTGTGCTTCATAGAACAAAGTATATAAATACGGCAATAACGTGTATCGAACATCCAGCACTTTCTTCGAATCAGCTAAAAATCTGAAAAATAGCGAAATGTGAGCTTGAAGAAAATTGTTACGCGCATAGTTACGTGTATTTATTGTTGCTTACAGCGATGTCCCAGTCGCGCGGCTGTTACAAGACATGGTAAACTGTGAAATATCCTAGCTTCTGTAGTCAATTCATTGTGGAATGATTGTTGGTAATTACTAGACATCTGGTGCCCAGTACGAAACCAATATAAATTACCCAACGTTCATTTTTACCCTTATTCCATAAATGAAATTCCTAAATATATAAAGCACGAATCTTCTTAGCCTTCAATTTGTTTTTTAAAGATATTGTGTCAATATAAAAATTTCAGTTTAACATCCACTAATTGCTTAGACTGGCAAATATTACAAAATTCCATTTCCGATATAAAACATAATTGCAACTTACATACGAGGCTTGTAGTCGGATACAAATTACAGTGTGCTTTATTGGCGAGGTCAAATCATAAATATATTTCGATTTTAAATCAGTCAAGTCATCGCAGCCTAGTAAATTTATTGCCAGATTCAAAATGTACTCACTGTTCCCCAAAATATCCAGGATCTTGATCAGCCCATCCTTTACCATTATGATTTCTATCAAACGGATAAAAAGCACCAACTTGCATCCATCTGCGACATAAACTTTCTGTTGTATCAACAAAGAAACCGCAGACATCGGCACCAATATAAGGTATACCAAATAGGTTGAATTCCATTATACCTGTTAAAATATTTGTACCTGATTGTTTCATTACATTTTTACATTTATATTAATTTTGAAAATTTAAGTCTGGCATGCGTGGGAACCATAAGGAAATGTTTCTCGTCACATACTTTACTGTACATCAATGTTATAGATTAAGACTATAGTGTTTATCTAACTAGTTCCCCAAATGTACAAGTTTCTAGCTATTCTCGAAGTCTGGAGATGTAATATTACCAATGATTGAAGTTCGTAGATGTTCCCATATACTCGCGTTATCGCCCAACCAATGACCAACGTGCTTCCCACTTCCTGGATACGTAGATCTTGATATTACCATACACCTTTCTCCAGTTGATGCTCTTAAAATTAATGGATTATTTATTGATGATTATTATTTTGTTTTTATTGGATGAATAAATGTAGGATTTTAAAACGTACTACTAAGATTATTTAAAACAATTTTGCTGTTCTGCGGAGCCGATACTAAATATTTGTAAAAAGCAAACTATGCCTTGATAGCTGTGCGCAAACAATATCCTATAAATTTTTACAGTGATTTACAGTGATTAAAGCCCCGCCCTCTTTTTAGGATTATCAAGTCTTGCGCCCCGCTTCAAAAGTAAACAGCTAACAATAAGCTACAAAATAAAGTTATTGTGGCGAAAGTATGTTTTGTTAAAAAAAGTAACACTTTGAAAATACGTCGAAGGAACGTAAATATTCGAAATAAGGCGTTCAAAATCAAGTCTAACAAATGTTTCTATTTTTGATTAGCTTTGGGCTTCTTAAAAAAATTGTCTACACCCCATTGTGGGGGCGCGCCCCACCATTTAAAATCAAGCATAGTTTTGCTTCAGACCTGCAAGCATCAACAGTCGGAGGTCCTTGACTTTTTCCATAAAGACTGTGAACATTGTAATGATCCGTATCTGTTCCAGTAGTTGGATGTCGCTGCTTATTTCTCATGCATAACGTTTTGTCGTAAACATTCCCACTTGCAAGATCTATTTTGATATTATAATGCTTATTCAGTGTTATAACAACTGCAATTTTAAGAATTTTGGAATGAGGTATCGAATGGGGATTGTTTCAATGATACTCTTACTCACGTGGAACATATGGAGGATAATCTAATGCACTATCAGCTGGACATCCGTCAGGCGATCCGTGAACAAAAGACGCTGGTTCGTTCATGTCCTAAATACAAGAGAGCAATGGAGCAATGTGCAATTATATAGATAGACACTCTTTTCAATTTTCAAATGATTGACTCATGTATTCAAAATTCCAACTTCATATGGAACGAATAGTACCAGATGTCATGTAAAGTTAGATGAAAGTTTTCAAATTATTTTAAAAAATCAGCAAAATATCGAGTAAAATTCCTGGGCTTTGTTAATTTGTAAAGTGAAAGTAACAGCCTTCAATCTTCAAGTGAGGGAAATGTGAAATTGATTGCTCCAGTAGTTGCGGAGTATGGCTTTCTCATAACACAGTAACTTTACAACAACAGCAACCGTTCAGCAGGGCGACCATAGGCCCACGTCAATACACTACATGACTAATATAGGTTTCTTTGTCTTCTAATAGTTTATTGTATAATGAACAGATCAGTAAAAGTGTAAAAATATAACAAAAATGGAGTAAAATCTGATCGCGTTTAATAAAACATGAAGGAGGCAATTGATATCAGACATGAAATTCATCAACTTACAATCCAAAGTCCATCAAAAGGAATTTTGTCGTGGAAATCAACCGTCAAATCTTTCCACCATTCGGCTGTTGAATCCAAGTTGAAGTCAGGGAAAGCAGCGAACGCACGATAGTTCTAGATTTGGAAAATATTTCCAGCTCTTATTATCATATTTTTTAGTAGAAATAGAATTAACGAATATGACAGTTTCATTCCTAGTAAAATGATACTAGATATTATAAATCGATTGGTCCGGTACATGCAGAGAACTACAACAATTTAACAAAATCCATAGCCCTACTTTGTATTTTATAACAAAAAACAAATCAGATGAATAATATCAGAAAAAAATTATTTCCTTGATTTTTGCAATGAAACAACGATACAAAATGACTCCTGATTATCCTGACGGGTTTGTTAATTTCCGTAACTATGGCTAATAAGTAATAGGTCAACAGGGATGTATAACTTGGATTTTTGAGCTTCCACTCGGCGATTTTTTCACTTTGACATATTTCACTAACATTTTGTACACTCATGTTAAAAACTGAATCAAATAGTCAGTTTTATTTGGGCTTTATTGTTTAGGTAATACCAGTTTTTGATAATTACGTCCATATTTAAAATAATTAGTAATTCTAATTTCTACTTTCGAGATAATTGCTTGATTAATACAAAAATGAAATGAATGATAAGACACCTGAGTTTGATAGTCCCAGTCTTGCGATTCGTCAACTTCTACTCCTGGATAATCGGGCCAAACTTTACCCCAGGCTATTTCACCTTCGGGTGTCTTAACAAAAACGTCGTCTGTCACACCTTTGTCGAATGGAGGATACGATCCAGCGGTTTCATTTCCACTTATAGCAGGATCAAGAATGATAATGTATCTAGAATTTAATAATTTTTGATTAGGTGTAGATCAAATTGGATCATATTTACCTATTCTAATAATTTTAATAGTATGCAAAGTCATAAGATGATATTTACTCAAAAAAAAAGAGACAGATGGTGCGAGTTGAAAGTGTGTTATGGAAATGAAGTTTCTAGCCTTAACTGCTCACCTCATTTTATTTTCTTCTTTCAAATTTCTTACAAAATCTTCAAGTCCATAATATGTATCGTTATCGATTGTAAAATCAAGTTGTCGTTCCATGTAATCAATGTCGCTGTATTGAATCTCCTGAAATGGGATAGGCATAAATGAAAGCAAGCAACAGAAGCGAGCAATCGATTGAAATCCAGCCATTTTCGCGTTCTGATTTTGTAACTTTGCAAGGGTCGGAGCGAGAGACGCACATTAACGATTGTTTGAGGACTATTTTGTGAAATAAGTCACCAGATGCTACGGATAGATACATTTCAATTGTTATCAACATATAAAAATATTGGATTTGTAAAAATTATTTTGTGAATAATAATACAGTCAAAATGAAGCCTCATTATAGTTACTATAAAACAAATTGCTTACGTAAGGAATCTTTCCCAAATTCCGGTTAACAACTTTTGTGAGATTTTCCAGATTTTCATAGTCGTATCTGCATAACTGAAATCCGAGAGACCAGTAGGGTGGGAAGTAAGGTCGACCTATTATGGATGTGTATTGCTCGGTGACTTGCTCCGGCGAAGGTCCAAGAAAAATATAGAAGTCCATTACGCCACCGATACTCCTGTACGTAATTGCCGGGGCTGGCTGAAGTGTAACGTCTGAAAATAAATGGATTTGACAAATTATTCGCCGAAATAAAGCCAATGCCACATGTTGAACTATGTATATCTGAAGAAATCTGACTTTGGTCAGACGAAACGTTACAGAAATATATTTGTGTTAGTGTGCAGCAAGACCTTTGAATCACTTGGGATAGTTATATTTGCTCTTGTCACAGCATCCTTGCATTATATGCATACGAATCCGCCGACACAAAAGCATAGAAGAAGGATAAGCAGTTAGTCCCGCAGAAAGCAAATCATTATTGCAATGTAGCGTATGTCACACTTTTCAATAATGGACTTTTTTGATCTCCTGTAATAAAGGACCAGGGGCTACTATTTCGAGTTTCGAGTTATACCTGTTTTGGTTTTGATTGTATGTAATGCTTTATGCATATTTTTAGGTTTGGCTGTTAGAACCAAACTATTGCCCAAATTAGATTTTTCCAAGATCTCAAATGTGACATAACCTGATTTGGTTCTACTGCGGCGATGCTCTCCTAAATGAGTTTGAAACGAAATGACCAAAATACATTTCAGAGAGGCAATGTGAATCTTTGTACTAAATCATAAAATGCATAATGTGGTTATGAAAAGACGGTGACTTAACGTTTTGTCGCAAAATTGGGAATCGAGAGGAAGACTCACCCATAGCATTACTGTTGACAAAATATACTCCATATGCGTGCCCCTCTCCCTCCATACACATGAAATACGGATGAACTCCATAAAGATTGACATTCGGCTATAAATTAAAACGGAATATTATTATACTGTTGCAAAAACTTTAGCTAATTTTGATGTAAGCTCCCCAATCCCCCAAGGAGGTCAAATGGTTCAAACCATCCATTGTTGTAAATTAAAAAATATAATACTTGTTTATAAGACACTTGCGTCCGGAAATATGTTAAGGAACGTTCGATAAAAGTTACAGTTATGAATACTTGCTTCCATTTTATTTATTTATTCAATAATACCGTTAATATTAAAGTTATTTATAAAGTAAAGTATGTTGCTAACTTAAAAGCGGTTGTATAAGTAATGCAAGTATATGCGACCTATTTACTGTATATATAACGTTGGAACTTTATTAAAAAAAGCATGCAAAATGTAATTTAATGGGTTAGAATGTCTACACATGGGAAAAGCGAGCGTCTATATACGTCAATATACGACATGCGAAAACGCAAAATCAAGTTTTCAAACAAGGCAATAAAAGGCCCTAATCGGTTTGTTCTTGTGGGAGGTTTCATATGTACACACTCTTAAAATTGACCGTATTTAAAACAACTTAGGATACTCTATAATCGTTAGGAAATTTATCTGGGACGAAGCTTCTTACCCCGACCCCCTGATCTCTTGAGAACATTCCATAAGTTTTCCAATTCATATCATGTTTGAAGGTTTCATGCATATGTTCGCCGAATCCATAGATATATTCAGAAGCCACGCGAGTTGAAATTTGTAAAAATTGATCCGCGAACATCATTTCTCCAACAGAAGTGTCAAATCTGAACCAGAAGTTTAACAATTGAACAATGAATGACATTCATTACCACCATTAGTCTAGTAAAAAATAGATGACGCTGGCGGTCCTGAGCTTTTGTTCTGGAAAATTACGGGCGTGGGCGTCTCTGTTACGGGATATATAGAAATACCGGTACTATTCAGAAATTATATTCACAAACATCTTGTTGTTGAATGCGAAATACTGTAATGCGTGATTCTTCGACTGCGGAATTATATAATTTTCGTAAATGAATTTTCACGGCTAACGACAGTATGTCGTTTTATGTGGATGTTTTGATTGTGTTGCAATGATACAATAGCAAACGTAAGGAATTTTTAAATTCACAGGTCAGTCCTACGTTTCAAGCATTAATGTCAACGTCTTCAAATATTAATGTGTTTACTCTCACAGGGAAGATTTGATCGTAAACAATATTGACAATAGGTGTCTGGCCCAATAAGGAAGCACGCAAGTAACAACACGCCCTGTCGTAAATCCAGTCAATTTTCGACTTACCATAATTGGCATATTGATAATAGAACCTAGTTTTTCAGGAGATGGTGAGGGTTATGCAATTTCTAAACAAATGTTTGAACAAGTGATAAATGCCATCATTAGACATCTCATCTCCGGCGTATCCGAAGTAGTTTCTGTATTATTCGGACAAACAAGGATTCGTACAATAGTTTTTTTTAGATAGTTTGAAGACTTAATGATACTCCGGCCTTTTCCGATAATTTGAACAATGAAAATAATTTGTTTATTTGGTCATACAACTTACATAACTTTTGAATCCGAGACTCTTTGCACTTTGACACCAAATTTTCCGTCTGTAATCACGTGATCGACTGAAAACAAAGCGTCACTCGGCATTTCAATATTTGCTGGGTGATCTAACGGCACTTCGTATCTTTCTTCATCCGGCACAATCTAGTTTGGAAATGCAACAAAAATGAATGAAAGCCAAACTGAGGAACTTGCCTCGACGATTGACGTAACGTCTTGGGTGTCAGGGAAAGCTCACACGAAATCACCTTGTGTGTACTCACAGGGTCAAATCGCACGGGACGCTTCACCATTTGACGACGGCTTGCGTAATCCCGTATAGTCGATTTCAATTACCAATGCCATGATATGAACTATGTTATGAAATAGGGTAGTCAACTACATATGTTGAGTTTTCATGTCCCACCTGTACTTGCAACCGAAAGAGGGGCCGTGGTTCGTTATATGTTTGAATATGTCCAACTGGCATTTCTCGCGTTAGGATATATATGTCCCGCACTATGAGTACTCATCGAATCCGAAACAGTATCTTGCAACATAATAATCTAACTATTCACCTTTACACGTAAAGTTGTTTCAGATACAAATGTTGTAGTAACGGTAAGTTTGGGGAAAAGTGTTCCAAAATGATTTGGCGCTGACTTTACAGCATTTCTGACTTCACGTCGAGCTGTTGTTGTCGTTACCAACACAGTTGTAATGGCAGAATCTGTCGAAGTAGTTTCCCCCTCTGTCATATAAGCTCTAGGACCAGCGTAAACGCATGGTGGTGCGTTCGCGTTTTCTTCACTTGGTGACCATGTGCATCTGAATAAGTGGAATTTATATTGCAACCCTATACATAGCTGAATTGGTATTATTTATCTCGATAACCTAACTAACAAGACCAAAATATTAATTTAAAAATAACTATCTCAGCGGTTGGTTTAATTGAGAACTGAATTACAATATTGCCCTCGTGGCGTTTGAATAGACGTCAGGTACAGGTCCCAGAAAATTCAAAATTATGTTATCGTATTAATTTTGTTAGTTCCAAATTCATCGTTCAGACGGTTTTCAGATTAAGTAGTAAAATTAGGGTATGGGTGTCCTGTAATTTATTTGGCCTAGTTTTTACCTTACAGTTAGCAATCACTCTAATCTAAATAACATTACTCCAGATAAAAATATTATTAGTTGTATCGTATAAAACCAAAACTGCAGACACGTGCCAAAAAGCAGAAAAGAATGCAGAATGACAAATATTCATGGTTACCCCCTCTGAACACAATCTTCTTCGTTTGCCGTTGAATTATCGGGATAGCAATCGACTCGTTCTGCTTCTACAATGGGAACAGTTGTTGTTTCTTCGGTCGGAGGCGGTTCGGTAATAATAGGGTTTTCCGTGATAGGTTTTTCCGTTCCTTTACCAGGTTCTGCAATTTTTCAGTTCATATTTGAAGTGCGTAGGCTTAGTAGACACCAAGTAGGCCCATGAATAGTTTTGCTATATATATTGTTACTGTGAAAAAAGGCGTTCTCCACTAGACCACAATTAATTTCAAACTCGCAGTACTTGAACATGGAAAAATTAATTTTCTTTTTAAAGTTTCATGGGGGTTTGAAGTTTATTTTATTTCATTTTTATTTTAATCGCAAACACAATTTGGTAAAAAATTCGGTAGATTTTCTTTTAACAATTTTTGCTTGCATTCCGTGTCACTTTCACACTGCTGTTTTGGTATACTTGCACTATAAGTGTCCTAGTTTAAACTGTGACTAATGTCTAAACTTTTGTTAGTAACTGAGTCAAATTTTGAATTAAACCTTCCTGTCAATTTTAGAAATTTTCGGTGTCGCAAGTAAATACTTTTCAAATACCGTTTTTCACTCTAAATTTTTGGATTTTATTTTAAGATAGTTCTACTTGGTGCTTGAATTCGATTACAATATTATGTTCCCCAGCTTTCACTTCAGTGGGAATTTTCCAAATTTGGGGAGTGGTAGATATTAGCGATATAAAACTATATATATTAACTCATAAAAATGTTTTACGTATTTGACTGACCCTATGTACTGGTATATATGCAACTTTCTGGATATTCAAATACAATTATATTTACGTTAAGAATTAAAGTTTGATGTCACCCTAATATTACCAGGGGGTTAAAACTTTTGATGTCATAAAACAACTTGAAGTTAGTCCTATATTCATCGAGATTTTTATCGTTATCGTGTTATGGGTAATGACTGTTTGCCTAATTTAATACCACATAATTAGTTTCGTTTCAATTTATTGCAGTCTATTTCAGACTATTGATCTGATGGGGTGTTGTGTACACCGCACCAACATGCGCTATATTTACCTTCGTTTTACAAAACGATTTAGATGTTAAAATATTTAAATTTGCTAAATGTTATAGTTTTTTTAATATTTAGACGTTTGTCACTTTATTTCACATAATTCAGCTAATACAAATCTTATAATCGCATCTTGTTTCCTAACTTAACAAGAGAGGAGTTTACAAATATATGCACGCGAAAGCTAAAACGAAATTTCAGTATGAAGTCTTTTACATTACCCGTGGTCTTTCTTATAAAACAGCCCCGACTTCGCTGACTCCAGATCGCTGAAATGCAATCGCAGAACCGCCACACGGTACACAGTTATTAACTTAGAAGACGTCATCACACAAAAAACTCCCAAGTAAAAAACAAATCCATAGATAAAAAATTTGGAAATAAATAAAAGTAATAGCCTTCTAGCGACAACAACATCTTTAACCACTGGGAAGCAATTGGTCTAGTATTTAAAAAAAAAGTGCGATTATTTTCACAACGTAATAAAAAAAAATTACATGAGTATGTCCAATTCGAATCTAGTAATAAAAAACCACTCATAACAATTGATCAATCATACCTATCACAGTGTAGTATACAGGCAGGACAATGACAAGTGTAAGAACTGCAACTATGGCAAATATTCCAGAAATAACCATAAATGTCCTTCTGCTGTCCCCGCCAAACAGCCCGGGTTTCCGTGTCACCGGCTCCTAAAAATATTTCAACATTTTTGGGATTATGGTCAATAGTGAACAATTGTGACAAGTAATAGACATGGTCAGTTAAAGTTTTGCAAAGTTACTTGCAATAATTATAAATTTATAACTTGGGGTATCGTGTATACGTTTCATATGTTAATAATCTTCTATGAGAGTGAGTTATTAGGATGGCATCAAATGATAATTCTGCATCACGAAAATCAGTGCATATGACCTAATATTTTGCCTAACACATCCTCGCTCCAAAAAAAATAATATTTTTGAATATCTTACTAGGCCATCCCATAACGATAGGATTAACTTATCTTATATGGTTTAATTGAATCATATTCATAATTTTTTTTCATTCATAATTTTGATTATTCACAAACTGTCAAGGAAGCCGATGTTAAACAATACAAAAATGCTAGACAGGGACAAATACGTGTCACGTGACATAGGGCGTAGTCGGAACTCAAATATTTGCTGTGCGAAACGTAGTGTCAATGTAATGCATTTGTATTTGATATATTTCTTTTGAATTGTATTGCAATCAAAAATAGTTAATCATTCACTGTAGCATTGTCGTAAATTCTTTCTAAAAATACTTTGGTAGTTTCCGTCAATATTTAATATTTATTGCTGATTCATTTTGTATTTATTTTTCGATAAACTTTATTTACGGATTATCAGAAATAGCTGACTTGATCATAAGTTACGTAATAATTTATTACCTACGATCGTGCTAGAACAGGTATAAAAAGCCTCTGTGCGGGGCGACTGACTTGGCGAGACAATATGTCACATCGCTGATAAACGGCTCATAATCGTATATGAATATCAGTATTCATTTTCGTACGGTGCTTTAAATAAATTCGAAAATCTTACCTCAATTTCCATGTTAGATATGGAACTGCTCCGACTTCTCGGCATCTTGAAGCACGGCGATTACAGTTGACATAAAAATATTTTGAACACCGTAATCCAACTATCTTTTGCAAATAACCTTATCGAATAGTACTTAAATATTATTATTAAAAAAAATATTTTATCTTGGAGCAACAATAGACCTTTAATAATCTACTTCTGACTAATATTGTCTTAAGATATAATCTTGCAGTCTTATCTTATCTTATCTTCCTACCATATTTTATCAAATCGGGACAATTTCTTACTCCAAAGTATAACAGTTTCTCTAGAAATTAGGGCTGGTCATTCCGAATCGAATATTCGAATCGAATAGTAATTTTTCGGCGCTCTAGAAGTGTGTGTACCAATATGGAGCGCACTGGGGTATTGTGTACTAAACTGCAAGTCTTTTCTCCTTGTTTACTTTCTATTGCGGATCCGTTTGTGTCAGTTGCCACAAGGATGCTTGAACGAGATCGTATTATAAAGATAAAGAGGAATACATAATCTCTTTCCACGAAATAGTAAGTTTATTAATGATCTTTCGTTAGACTAAGATCTAACGAAAGTTCATAAATGAACTTTACATAAAGTTGTGTAAAAGGACTGAAACCTTTGAGCATTGGGTTTATCACTTGGCTAACACAGATAAAAATCAATGGCTTAACCCTAACCTGGTACACACACTGCGGGAGTACCAATTTTTCGAATTAATTCAGACGAAAATTTCGAAACGTCGCCATCGTCGAAGTGAATACGTCATTGTTTTCGTTATTGAAGCTATGTTTTCGATTCTGAAATCAATAAGTATTCGAAAATTACCAGCCCTCTCGGAAATCAAGGTTGTGTGATGCAACCACGAATATTCTTTTGAATGATCAAGACATTTTAAATGAATAAATGCATTTTCGCACGATTAGATATACTAGTTTCTTTACGGGAGTGACACTCTCCTCGGTAGCTGTGAAACCAATATATGCAGAATGAAAAACAGTCTTACAGCCGTGCAAACGTCTGGACAACTCATATGCATTTATTTATAACTTTTAAATGGTATTTCTATTCCATTATTTTAGTATTTTTCTGATATACGCCATGAGGCTATCAAAGCGGACTATTCTTTTTTTTTTAATTTCACCTTTTAGCCCTTAATTATAACAGAATGACATCTCTTGTCCTGATTCCTTACTCTTATACTAATATCGTTTAGATTCTTTTGGCAAAGCAAGGTCGTTCTCCTGCATTCATTCACACGTAACTATCCTTACACTAAAACGCTCTATTTAATTCAAGAGTCTCGCTGCACCCTAACGAAACGTTACAGAAATACATTGTGTTAGTGTGCACCAAGTGATTAGAATTTAATAGCCAATTGTATTCTTGCTGCAGCAGTCTTGCATTATATGCATATCCACTCACGCAAATGCATAGAGCAAGGAAAGGTATTTAGTCTCGCGTAACCTCAACTGATAGTTACAACGCTCATCACATTATTATTAACTTTCGCATGTGAAGTGAGTCCGATACCAAAAGATCTCTGAACCGTGAAATTTACGATCCTAATTAAATCCCTTGTGCCACAACGCGCCTGTTGTATTCTATGCTAAACATTCCCAAAACTTATCAAATTGAAATATAAAACCGAGAGTGTGCTTAAAGTGTGCCATCGGTAAAGAATTTTGCGCTCGTAATCGTTGATGGCAAAGATGAATCTAAACATATGATACAAAGAAATTCTCACGTTACAATCTTTTTTTATTAATAATTCCAAACTTTGTTGCAATTTCTTATCCAAGAGTTCAGTATAATCATCGTAGCGATTCACTGACAGTAGCAGAAATACCTATCTATTATAACCACGCAAATATTCTAAAAGCTTGTTTACAACTCACTTTTGAATGCGACGTGCATTACTCCACGAGACTGTGCGTATAGATTACTGAATGCATTCTTGCGAAAACATTTGTTAGTTGTTTGCACTCGGTAAATATTACCCTAATAAATTTCTCTAAAATCAGTTTATACTTACTTTCCTAGGAAACATAAAAAAAACTCTTCCGACATGATAAATATAAGTCCGCGAAATCTTTTCTCTGCGAAACTCAATGCAATTGATTCATTTTCTTTGGATCTCACACTATATTGATTGAGTACGACAGAAAGGGCTGGCTTACTGATATGAACTATAACAATTCACCTATCAACTGAAATACTATACACACAACATGAAACATATGTCACTATATGTTTATCGCATGTGCCGAAAATTATATTCAGATCTTGCCTCTGCCTGAACTTATATATGTATACGCGGCAACGAATATTGAAACGATTGGATATATTTGAAAGAAGAAGGCAGGCTATTTCTAAGTACACAATAATGAAAATTTTATATACTATACGCTATGGACGTCTCTTATATGAAATAAGAGTTTACGAGACCCCTTACGGCCTCAGAAAAGAGGTCAACAATAGAAACCATGACCACGAATAGTAAAGCCAACAACACCAAACCACTTTGCAGTTTTATCGCTAACAACTGTTCATTTCATTAGAGTGAACTTATTGCTCGTTTTGTTAAATTGTCTCTGTTATTCCTATTATTGGACCTATAGATGGTTTTATTATTATGTTGTTTTTAGAATTCATTTTCATGTTATCGTTCATATTCTATTTGTTATGTAAAATTCGCTTATATTTTTGACTACTAGACCCATTGCTTTGAAATTTGAGTTTTTAAAGATTGTTGTCGCTAGAGGGCTATTACATATTATTTGTTTATTACTTATTATTTATTCCTAAATGTTCTATGAATCCTATGAAATCTGACATTCCTTCCGAAATTTCACTGCGATATTTTTCATTTATCGAAACACGGTTTTCAATCCACCAAGCTAAGCTATACGGCTGTCTTGCGTTTTAATTTTGCAAAATCTCACGACGCAAATCGGTATCGGGGACGCACTGTAGGTAGACCGCACGGTAAGTTACTGTAAAAGGTAAAGTGATCTAATACTACAGTTTTCCGTCGAATCATTTTAATTCAAGTTGGTAAAAGACGTAAGCATCATCGTTGTCGCAGGACCTGGTAAAATCAGGACAGTTTGGGTATTAGTAAGTTATGATGGTCCACAGTTCAGCTTCTTCAAGGATAGGGTTTTGAGGGGAATTGGGGGTAAAATATTTTGTTTTCACCTTCGTTTCTAAATATTTGAGCATTGTTCTCTTGTTGCTGTTATTGAGTTATTTTTTTTTTATTCGAATTTTTTTTTTTTTCAAAACAGTCAACTTTAAGTGCTCAAAGATGCTGCAAGGTGGCTATTTCCATTATTTTATTCAATGTTATCTACGGACTCTGCTATCTGGGACCCGACTTCACCCGAAATTTTATTCATATACAGGGTGATCAGAAGAGTAAAAAATTTATTTTACAGAAAATAGCAGTATAAAGATAAATGATAGATATATTTATTCGTTATAAACCTTTAATGAAATCGTAAAGAAATATTTTAATACGTGAAGACTTTAATCAGCAACTCATTTGCTTTCCTTGCACTATGACTCATTTTCAAGGCTTTTCACTCCAAAATTAATCATAATCTAACATCGCAAGAACTCCGATTGCGCCTTTTAACAAAGTATCAGGTGTCTAACTTCCGTCGCTGCAAGGCACCATAATTGAAATCGGTAAGAACCTAAACGGCGAGAGGCGTACTTATCTCAGTTAGCAATATGCATGCAGAATCTGTAACAGTTTCAAAAAAAGGTCTAGTTTCAAAAAATAATAAAATGTAAAAGCTTATTTCTCAGGCAATATCTCCATTAAGATAAGGTCCCACCCGACCCGTTTCGCATAGGTCCCAACCGCCAGTCCGCCCCCAACGCATAATCAGCCTCAACAAATTATATATTCCTCATTCCGTAGCACCTAGTTATATATAGTCTTTCCTATATTATATTTATTGTGCTTTCACAAATCTACACACGTTTTCTCAGCATAAGGCTTTGCACAAGTCGTCACTAGGGTACTGGATTAGCAAAACTTGTCAAATTGTAACTCGACTTGTTATTCAGACTACATTCTGTTCAAGGCATCATTCTGGCATCAACCACGATGCACAAATGTTGTTAACTGACGTACAGGGCAAAAAATGTTTTTACGACGTAAATATGTAACACACGCTGTTGATATCTTGCGTAGGGTAAACATTGTTGATGATAAAATGCTACACACGCTCGTGTCAGGTTACATTTTTGACCGATAAAGTAGTAATGTACCCATATTGCAAGTTAGTTGTAATAGAGTTAGAGTTGTAATAAATTTTATTGTCGGCCCATTGTGTTTTCGGTATGTCGCGGAAACGAAATAACCAAATAACATCTGCAACTCAGCGCAAAATGCCTTCGATCGGCAAATAGGCAAAGTACTTGAAAAATGAACGCAATATAATTGAATGTGAGAGAATTGCTTTAATAAAAGGGTTCTGGGTTCTACTAAGATGAAATCTTGTAAACATTTTAAACGAAAGCACATAAAACAAAACTATAGCTCGAATATCACGAAATATAGCTGATGACTAAAATGTCGTTAACCCACTTAAATTGGCCCACTTCAAAGTCAATAAATTACTAATAGAAAAGGCGTAAGAGAAACCATAAACAAATAGAATGCAAGACATGGATTTCTTTTGCATCAGTATAATATATATCAGTAGAAACAAGAAAATACGAAAAAACAGAAGCTCAGCCGTGTCGAGAAAACAAATTGGTCGATTGTAATAAACACTGCACTTCATTGACATTATTGAATGCACATTAGACGGCAACATTATTTAAACTTTTTTGAATTAAAATTCAATTTTTCAGATTAAATAGAATAATAAGCTTGACCACGAACGCCTTGGAATTTGTCCATAGCTCTTATTGTTGCTAATATTGATATATTTGTCGGTATCATAAGGCTAACATATGAGGTGGGATGATTAGAGATGTATTGTATTCTCTAGATTTCATGCGATTACAGCATTATCTGGAGGAGATGTGTTCCTAAATGAATTTTGATGTGGTATAGAATACATAGTTCAAGAATTGCACAAATGGTCATCAATCTCCATGTTGGAACGAATTTTCCACTAACTGATAACATTATTTACCGCTAACTTAAAAAACTTTGGTCGTCCTAAATATTCTAACAAGAGCGCCTTTGTTACTAATTAACTTAGTCGAACGTGTTTATTTTACTTTTGACATCAATGCTACTAAGTTGAAAATGATGGAAGATTGGGGGAAGCGCGGAAAACATTACGTCTTTAAGTTGTTTACAAACTTTGCGCTTACTTTTCTTATGTAACCAAAAGGAAAGCAAATAGTAAAGCCTTATTAAATACAAGTACTGATAAAACTTCACCAGTTGCAGAAGGCAGGTGGTCCGACCGTTATTTGCTGCCAGCAAAAATATTCTAGGAATTGTATAGAGAGTTCTAAAATTAGTGACATCGTGGTACTTGCTGTTGTGTTTTGCTAGGGTGCTACAGTTCAGGAGTAGAAAAATTTCCGGCCTTGAATTTTGTTCATCAAATGGTTGGTTGTTGAATTTATTCGTTATTTATGAAATATTTCGTTTAGATACCATACCCGTAAAAGAAAATTAATTTCAACGACACGTTCCTCTATGTAATGATAATAAAAAGCGAATAATGCCTCGTTAACATTTGGCTTTCTTACGAGTATAATAAAATGGAGTCGGGTCCCTATAAGCATATCTGGCTTACAAAGTACGTAAAGAAAAGTCATTGTTAAAATATGAGACGATGCATTAAAAATAAAGTAAGTTCCCATCATTCGGACAGCATTGCCTAAATGATTTAATTTTAATTTATTACTATATAATCTTGTAGTATATCCGTCAGGTAGATTTAACTCTCAGCGCATTTCACAATAGTTAGACAGCCTGAAAAATCAGAATCAACTATGCCACAAAATAATGCACACGGGAGTGACATGGATTCAGAGGTAAACACAATCATTTCTAACATAATTCAGTGATTTCTACTTTTGAAAATAAATAAAACTCATTGTCAATTGAATAATGTTTTAAAAATAATTTTGAGATGCACTTAAATCTTAATTTTTGAATTAAATTTGTGACATTTGTTTAATATTTGTAATGGATAGACGAGTTTGGTTACATTTATCCAAGAATCTTAGAGCTTTTGTCTGTGCCTTAAATTAAGTAAACCTCCAGCATAATCAAAATGTTTCTAAAATTCTATCCTTTCATGCTCAATATTTAGGTTTCCTCAAGGAAGAAGAATGGCTTTTTTGGCGATGAAGACAGCAATAAAACTTTCATGAAAATTACAGGGATTATTGCAGCATTTGCTGTTGTTGTTCTTATTGTAATTCTTCCTGTTTATTTTAAAGTGATCGGTGAGTATCAATAAAGTGATTGAGGGAGCAAACAAACAGGAAGGGATATAAAAGAAAAAAGTTGAATGATTGCTCTACAATTTTGTATGACTAGTTTTATTATCTTTCTATTGATTTACTATAGTACGAAAAACCGGAGATAAAGTGATGTGATCCTAAGGCGTGGCATTTAAGACATGCAATTCAATAATATGATAAGCGAGAGAAGTTTAATTTTGATGGCACATATAATGAGTGATAAAGCTCACACAAATAAAACATAAACGTTGAAACTTTGTAATTGCTTTTTTAAATTTTTCAATTTATTCTAAAGTTTATTCTAAATTTATTCTAAAACACCAGTACCAAACAAGTGTGTTTCTCATCGGTAACTGCCATTTTGCCATTCAGAACCAAACAATATTATAACAGTTCCTCCGCCTACGACGGAACCTTTGGACAACGAAAAATTTAACTGTCTACCAGGAGTTGATGACCCAAGCCTAGAACTGTGTATAGAAAGAGGGTGAGTACGAGCGGGATAGCACAAAAACCCATTTGACTCTGATTATTTGGGGACTTTGTGGCATCATAAAAGCGACATATTTACATAATACTTTCTTAAAAATACATGTCGTCGTTTGGCTAAGCCATGCCGATAAGCAGGGTAACCTAGTATCAAACCTCAATATAATTGTTTTTTTATTGGCTACAAAATTATATGACAAAGCGGTCCATCGTGCACATGTTATAAGTATAAAATCAAATTTAATATATTACAATTTGATATCAGAATACAAATTAATGTGTGAGACAATTCCTAATTAATATTATGTAATAGTTGTCCAAATTAAGAGAATAAAAGTTTCTGTGAATGAATAGCGTTCTAACTTGTTATATAATGCGTTAAACTAATATACTTTAGGAATAGCAGCAGAATCTTTTCCCACGAAATATCAAGTATATTATAGTGAGCTCGCGCTAGATTATGGTATCGCTTTTCCAGAAAAAACAAGGTATAACTGCAAATTTGAAAGCCTTTATCAATTGCCAATTCGAGTTATTATTATAAACTTCGAAAAAGCTACATATGTATATATTAGGTCTGTCTATACTCCGTTATTTAGGTTAATTGGTGTGGAAGGAGACTGGGTTTATTTATTTGCATAGTTTTCAATGTTTGTTTGTGAACTTCGTTTTGTTGATGCTATGCATTTATATTAAAATCTCAATATATTCCTACATTATTCTGCCTGTCAACTGTTAAACACCATGAAGCCTGGTTCTGTTTAATTATATTTAATTTCTTGTACCAGTTTTCCCCATTTTTGTAGTCAGTGCATACCGTCCAACACTTCACTATTATAATTTCATGAATGGCTATTACCTTCAAAATACCCCAAATTATTCTTTACATTGAGTGTAATTCTGCTCGAATTAGTCCAGTAGAAGTGGAAATACAATGAACATCCAGTCTTCACTTCAATGAAATCTTCTAGAGCGATATTTGTTGGGAACTTCGCACAAGCCATACTCACTGGTCATGCCTTTGCTCGATAACCAGATTTGGTTCCCCACGGCTTTCCTTCTCTAGTAAAACCAAATTTTATCTCGTAATTTGTGTGAAATTAATTTTTATTGGCTGTAGAAGATTATAATATAAAGAATCCTTTTATTCAGTTGCTTTTGGTCGGACAGCACAGAACCCGGTGTTCCCAGTTGTTACTTTGGTCGGTCTAGCTTCTATGGGCTAAGTGGAGATACTGTTGGCAGTGATGATACTGGATTCACAAGCGAGTTAAAACTAAGTGATCCAAACGCCGGAAAATTTTATGGAAAACAATATACCGATATTGTGGCCTCTTCAATGTTTATATCAGATACATCTTTGCGAATCAAGGTATCTTAACTATTGAATTTTTCATGTATAACTGCTGAATAAAATAGTTGTGAAAATGTCATTAATGTTTATATCGGATACATCTTTACAAATCAAGGTACAGTAACAAGAGTATTAATTTTTTTTTGTGTATATATAAATGCTAAATAAAATAGTTTGTCAAGTAAATTTCGAAGATATTGACAGTCTAAACAAATATCGTGAAAGGACCATGTAACCGAGTCAACCTTACTGCGAATCAGGATGTTAATTCATGATTTTATATTTATTCAAAACCAGCTCCTTACATACAAGAATTTCTGTAAATTCCTATTCATAATATTTGTGTACATGGCTACTGTCTAACTAGTTCGCGAGCCTAATTTATTCTTAATGATACTCAAAGTACATACTATTCAGATGTTATATATACAGATATACTTGGCATACATGTCCTCTAATTATATAAGCATTTCATTGTAGAATATAATAGTGATATATAACATACATTTACTAGGATGATTCATATTTTAACAGTTTTGGAATTACATTATGTTACAAATGAAATTTACTTCTAATATCTAGATATATCCAAAAGATATTGAAAGATACGAAGTACCTTTGGAACATCCTGCTCAAGAAACAATAAGTTCTCCGCTTTACAAAGTCGAACATTCTGACGACGGTGAAAACTTTGGAGTAAAAGTAACAAGAGTCGCCACGGGGAAAATACTGTAAGGCTTTAACTGGATTTTTTATTAAATTGTTAGACACGAGATATATTTTCAACGTCCATTGGCATTTTGACATCGGCTGTTAAATACTGTTCGATTGTTGAGGCAATAAACAGTAATATGCTTTGAAAACCATCGGCTGTCTCTCTTTTATAACGACAAAACTTAAATTCTAACAATATTTGGCAATGACTTAATTGACGAATATTAACAAGTGAGGTGGTGAATTGAAATTGGGTGCTTAATTCACTCGTTTCACAATAGATCATCACAAATTCTTATCGCCGCTAATATGGGAGCGATTCGAGACACAAAGTACGTTTGATGATTAATCAGAAGTCCTGCGTGTATTGAAACAAAGACTCCTGCTGTCACATTGTGTTTACCATCTACAAATATTTGCACCCGTGTTTGTAGTGAAATAAAATAGCTTGGCAACGTTACCTATTTAGATGCGAATGGAACTCGCTGCCGCATAGAATATTTTTTATAGTTTAATTCCATAGGAACAATTGATTTTTCTTATTTTATTTCATGTGCTTTGTATCCATTTAGCTTTGATACATCGCTCGGTCAAATGATGTTTGCTGAACAGTTTCTACAAATTTCAACTAAAGTTGCCTCCGAATATATTTATGGGTTTGGTGAACACATGCACGAAACATTAAAGCATGATATGAATTGGATAACCTATGGGATGTTCACGTTTGATCAAAACGTCAAGGTGATTATACAAAATTTGTAATTGGACAGCAGCATCAAACTTTACCAATCATTTAACAATATATGCCATTCATAATCACTTCAAGGTGAAATCTGGGGATTCATTGTTGTTCTATATTGTTTTATTTATAACAGGGGTACTCAACTGACGGACAGCAGCCCGATCCGGTTTTATTTGTAGATTTTGAATATTTTTTTTATCACTTGATCACATTTGCGCTTGCTTATACATAAAATGGGGATAGCACTGTCTTGATCAACGAATAACTAGAATACAAGCGCTTTACGTTTACTCAGTTCACCACAGATTATTTTTCTGTTAATATTTTACCCTCAAAGTTGAAAACACTGAAATATATTCAGGCGCACTGTTAAATATATTTTCTGAAAATACCGTATCCCAGTAGTTTCAAAGTGTTGTATACAATACGAATCCTTTGGTAATAATAGTTGATGAGCCCTGCTATATAAACAAATATTCAAAATTTGTTATAACTACGAAAAGAAGAATTTGATTGGCTCAAGCCGTTAAGCGTTTCATATTATAAATATCGCATACAAATCATCTTTAGTCTCGTCTAAGATTTCACAAGCGCGTTGAAAGCACATTCTATATTTTATTATAACTTGGGCTTTGTCTAAGATTTGCATATCATAACGTATCATAACAAAAAAGTCTTTCCAGTGAATTATATGTTTTTACAGCCCGATTTCAACTTATACGGAGTGCAGACATATTTCACTTGTATGGAAGGGGATGGAAATGCATATGGAGTACTATTTGTCAATAGTAATGCTATGGGTAAACTGTCTGAATAGTCCATTACCAAAACTATAAATTTCAACGTCTGTATAATAATAGATAGCACTAAAATATAATGAGGTCTCCCAGTACAATACGATTTTATGGATACAATTATAGAGTGATGAAGCGATAAACCTTTGTCGAAGTATTATTCTAAGATAAAGCTATTGCACGATTTTTGGGTGCGTCTTGTCGCCTAATATTACGACCTCGAAGTCTATACCTTCGGTGTTCCTGAATTATTTGTACCAAGATGGTGAAAAACCTGAACATAGTATGTGTACCAGGTTGGGGTTGTTCAGGTTGTGCGTCATCTTGGTACGAATACTCTCGGAGCGCCCTACTTTCAATTAATACAATCTTGAATAGAAATTAAACACTGCGCGCTAGATAATAAAGGAAGGACATGTTGTGCATTTGAGTGATTGACGACTTCTGATTACGCTAAATTGATATTTTTTTTTTGATTCGGGATTTTCGATGGAACAGGAACAATATTAACAGACAATATAGATGGTTTCGTTTAATGAACGTGAAACTGGTTTGCGTTAATTAAAAAGATGAGAATCAACGCTAATTCTGAACGCTAAAACCTAATAATTAATATTTAATACAAATATTAATATTTTTAAAAACTGAGTAGACACAATAAAAACGCGAATAACTTTATATTCTTCCTAGTTATGTTTGTTTAATATAGACTAGATTCAATTTTATTCAAAGTAAGGAACTATACTCGCATGTCTTCTGACTTTGAACTATGAATCATTTCATTCTGCAGAAGTTGAGCTCCAGCCGACACCTGCCATAACATATCGTACTGTGGGAGGAATTTTAGACTTCTACATTTTCTTTGGCCCGTCACCAGAAGAAGTCAACCAACAGTATATGAGAATGATTGGGATGCCGTATTTCCCACCTTATTGGTCATTGGGATTCCAGCTATGCAGATGGGGTTACAATAGTTTGGAGAACTTAACTACAGTGGTGGACCGTAATCTTAAATCTGGAATACCTTACGTAAGTATAAATCTTTTGTAATTTACTATATTTAGCAGGGGTTTCTAATCTTCTTGTTGGGGTGGATGAAACTTTCGAGAGGGTGAAAAATCCTTGTGCAATTGATGATAAGTATATTTAATATATGATTATATTTGGGTCGTAAAATGTGGCAAACAAAAAATGTGAAACTCCAATTTGACGCAGAACACCTATAAAGAAAGGCCTTCCACGTATCAACCACACTTATCAGATAATTAGATTCGCGCGTGTATTTGATTTTAGGTGCTCCAGAAGTATGCGGACCAAGATGTCGCACAACCTGAGCCCTAACCGGTACACACATACTATGTTCAGGTTGTGCGCCATCTTAGTTCGCATACTTCTGGAGTTCCTGATTTTATTTAAACAATATACATATAATAATATAGAGACTCAGAATTGAATTAAAACTTGCGGAACCCCAGGACTGTAATGTCTCTGGTAAGCGGTGTTAGGTAGATATTTCATACGGTACTCGCCGGCAATATCAGTAGCTTCAGAACTCTAGAACTTTAACTGACTCAAATTAGATATTTGAACCTTGGGTGTCGCTGCTCGATAACCAGCATTGGTTCTACGCGACTCCCCTTCCCCAGTAAAACTGTAAAAATTATCATTTTCTCAATTTGTGCTTGCGATATTTTTTTTACTGGTCGGAAAAAATAAACTTGACTTGACTTGACCCCTATTGAATACCACTGATATTTAATTGCACAAATCATAAAAACTATTTCCGAGCTATTGATTCCATCTAATTTTCAATAGAGTAAGTTTTTATTTTGCCTCATAAATATTTTTAATTTTTATATATTTCATATGTGACTTTTACTTTTATCATTTTCCTTTTACTTTTGTATTAGGAATTAATTGTCCTATTCACAGGATGTCCAATACAGTGATATTGACTACATGGAACGTCAGTTGGATTTTACAATTGATAATGAAACGTACAACGGAATTACAGACTTTGTTTTGAATTTGAAATCGGAATACAAAATGAGGTTGTTACGTAAAGTAACCATTCGATTAGATTTTAGATTTTTCACCAAGGGTTTCCACGAAAAAAAAAATCTTAGCGGGAGGAATCTTATAAAATATAAAAATTCTGTTATATTCGTGTTGATAATATAACTACATGTTCGGCTGTATGTATAATACAATATACTTTTCTATTTTATGGGTTATAATTACGACTGCGCATTTTGAATGAAATAATAAATTATTATTAGTAAATTATTCGAATCAGTTTAGACGCAAATTTCGAATCGGCGCCATCTTGTTTCTTAATTTATATCTTCCAAGAATTCGAGATTCGATTTGTAAAAAAAAGCCACTCAATTATGAAATCATCAGGTATTCGAAGATACCCACACCAAGTTATAATTGAAAAAGTATCTAATTGAATTTTCGTTTCTCATTTAATCACAAATACCATAAATGGAAAAATATTACCATTCAGTTATAAAAGTTTCTGAGTTGAACTTTTTGAAAATTCTAATCATTTATTTTTAGATATATTATTATCATAGATCCTGCCATCAGCGGGAATGAGACTGAACCCTACCCAACATTTGATAATGGTGTTCGGGATGATGTCTTCATTAAATATCCCAATGGCGAAATTGCATGGGGTAAAGTTTGGCCCGATCTGCCAGGAATTTATGTCAACAAGTCGAAAGACAAAGACTATCAAGTTGAGGTAATCTGAGAATTGATAATAAATATGGGATTTATATGAACAACAAACTTTGAAGTATCGAGAATAGAGGGCCATATCCAATGGGAGAATTAAAAAAATTTTGGTATGGGGTTTTCTTTTGAACTCAATAGCAACAAGTTTCATAATTTAAATACTGTACGTATGTCACTAGGTGCTACATTAACATGACACTATTACATAAATTCAATACATGACTATCGGTACGCCAAATATGAAGCTGGTCGTCAGCGGTGATACACATTTGCTGCGGTCGTCTAACGTCTGAAACAAAAAACAAGGACGGGTTCTCTGATTACCACGATATTCGTGCGAACCCTGTAAAACAAGGGTTGGCAAATTACGGCCTACGGGCAGAATCCGACTCACGTCTGCTAAAATTACGACTTTAGTTTTTATGGATGTTGGGAATTTACGATGATAATATGGATGAAAAAAACGTCATAAAGACACCAATTGTAACATTATGCTTCTTTTTAGGATATGCACTTAGCATAGTGGTTGTAAATAAACTGTTTTTATATCGAGTTTTTCATATCGAGTATTGAGTATCCGGCCAAATAACCAAGTCCATTATCTGTAACTGGCTCACTCAGAAAAGTAATTGCCTACCCTTGCCCTAAAACCCACCATAAGTGAACTTGTATTTAATTATAATTATCTATCTACATAATTCAAATATGATCAATATCATAATGTAGGTTGGTTAAACTATTTTTCATGATATTCAGAACTATCGAGCACATACTGCATACCCAGACTTTTTTCATCCGAACACATCAAAGTGGTGGAAGCAGTTAATTGTTGATTTTCGTGATAAAATAGAATTTGACGGATTATGGATAGTGAGTTAATTTTTATTTTGTAATTTGCATGTGATACTAAATAAAGCAACGTTTCCCACGTGTAAGTGGAGAATTTCTTCCAAGAGAAGAATTTTTCTGTTTTGGATGAGGAATTTTTTATTATTACTATACATACTTTTGCGGTGCATTGTTGACTAAAGTATGCTACACCTTTAGCATATAAAAAAAATTGGATATTGACACGTAACGTAAGTCATTGCATGTACAGTACTACATTATAGACGTAAGACCTTTCACCAGTGATTCCCCTGCACCCAATATAGTGAGTGAAAACCCCTCTACAATTTTGCCGTTTGGGGGAGGTATTTTGCTTTGTATTTGCTGTCGTATTACCAATATTCTCTAGGCATTTAATACAGTATTAATATAATACTTATTCATGAACACGTAATAAACTACTCGAACTGTAAAAAATCGGGAGTTTGACTTGCGCATAGCGCTGGCAAAGGACCTATTAAAGATTGAACGAATAAAGTATAGTTTTGTGTACAGGGAGGGTGAAATAAAGAGTTCACAAATGGGCATGGGAGCAATTTTACAAAAGTGGTTAGGGACCACTATAGCAAAAACTTCAGCTAAAATAACTAAAAAATTTTAGGATATGAATGAGCCGACTTCGTTTACAAATGGACGTCCAGAAGGAAACTGTCCTGAGAGCATTCACGACAATCCACCATATCTTCCAAGTAAGAAGTATTTATATTTTCTACATTCAGTGGTAAAATTCGGGCGGTTGTTTTTGTGGAGCTATAAGTCCGGTATGGTTTTCTCACATAAAACCCGTTGTTACTGGGTTCGATGCAAAGGAGAAGCTGTTCTTGATATTTCGAATCCCACCAATACTAATATCCACTATTTCAATTTTTAAATTCTTTCTCCCACATTTTTGATATTGTATTCTTTGTCATCCTTGCGTCAATTTCATTTAACTTGATCTGTTTTTCCTCTAACCCACGTTTCCCAGCCGGAGACGAATTCCCCTCCAAGGAGGAAGTTTTGGGGGAGAATTTTAGTTTGTATTTGCTACAATATTACCAATCTTTTTGAGTTTTTATCATTAATACTAATACTAAGCACATATTATTAACTACTCATACTGTACAAATGCGGGAATGCTAACACTAACTAAGGACAGAAATAATCATTTAAGATTGAATAAATAAATTAATTTTTATGCATAATGAAGAAGGTTTTAAACCACTGTACTTAACAAACTAACAATTTTCTGTATCTTATTTGCCTAACATTTTCAGATCTGGCTGGAGATACTATTTACGATCTTTCGATTTGTATGCAAACAATTCAATATCATCCAGTTACGAAGAAGTACACTGAACACTACAATTTACACAGTCTTTACGGCTGGAGTGAAACCTTACCTACTCTTGAAGCATGCAGGTATTAAAATACAAACAGCGATTTCTACTATAAAACTTGTTACTTAGTGCCCGGTGATGTTGATTTTGACCTGACTGTATTCATCGGAACATTTGGTTAATAAAAATATTCTAGCATAAACACATGCTACACATGCTAAATGAACTTAACTGTGTTAGCATTGCAAATTAAAAATCTCAGGTACTGCCCCACGCTCCTACCTCACCCAAGGTGTAATAAATAGTGTAGGGCGTAGGCGATGCCGAACCGGAAAGATTCCGGTGTTCACAAATAAATAATAGCACCTTACATATCGTTAGATATCAGTGTCTACCTGTACGGGGGCTTTTACAGGTGCGATAGGCTAGTGTAAGCCTCATACAAAAACTAACTGTTAATATAACGGTAAAAAGACTGTAAAAGATGGAGATAATCTGATAATTATTTTTTGTATAAAATTGTTAAATACGAAATTGATGTCAGAGATTCTACGGGGGAACGATGCATCGTACTCACAAGAGCGACTTATCCTGGTGCTGGAAAATATTCCGGGCATTGGCTTGGAGACAACATAAGCGTATGGAGTCATCTTCAGGCATCTATAATAGGTTTATTTTTATTTTTTTCTGTTTTCCTAGAACGACGCTACTCTGTCACATCCGCGTCCCGATGATTCGACGCGTTAAAAAGTCGTAATATTCGTTATTTTGAACCAATGTAACTTACTTCTTAACTATTATATATATCGAACGGACTGTAATGTTTCATGTGAAATCTTATTTAGTCTTTTATTCATAAATGAAAATATTTTGCACGAGAAAATTCGATGAGATGTGTAAGCTAATATTTAGTCCCATATACTATTTTTTTTGCATTCGAAAAATATTTGACTGCTTTTTTATAGATTTGTCATCTACATTTGCTATATGTGATAATATTGTGAAAAGGATACGATGTTACTTTTCATGGGATGGGCGGATGTCTTAATCCAATATGATCATTAAATACGATAATTACTGAAGTAACAAACGTAATTATAAAATAACGTCAAAGCGCAAGACTAACAAATATTTCACTCAAGCGCCAAAATAGTGTCATTCAACAGACTCTCAAATATATTTGATTTGAGGTAGAATTTGTTGTTAACATAAAGTAATATTTAGGAATGATTGAGTTCACTCTATTCGGATTTCCATACAACGGTGCAGACGTTTGCGGATTTTTTCAGGACACGAATGAGCAGTTATGTCTACGGTGGATGCAACTTGGTGCTTTTTATCCGTTTTATAGAAACCACAATATACAAGACACTATTGATCAAGACCCAGCAGTATTTGGTACAGAGTATGTATCAATAAATATATTTTGTTTTATATATAGCACTTATGCTTCTCTATGCATATTCGTTGTACATATTTCACTTACTAGACTTATGAAGTCACATTTAATAACTTGTAATGAATCCGGGATAGAGATAAACAAATAAAATGCGAAAGCATCACATCAATCAAACTTATATATTGTAAGATTAAAAATTCTCAATTTCCCATACTGCAAAAATTGTTTGATTCAAGAGTGTTGCTGCACACTAACACAAATGCATCTCTGTAACGTTTCGTCTCACCAAATTTTTTAAATTTGTTTTAGAAAACCTTATATATACTCATTTTATATTCAGATTGTGTGAAAAAAATATTTGATCAATTTTTCAAAATCTTTCACTCTTACTAAATCTGTAATTTACATAAGTAGTAAAAACCAACATTCCATTATATAAATAGACTGTTACTAACAATATAATGTGTCCGCAGATTTATTGAAAATATAAAGCCAGCAATGGAGACAAGATACGCACTTCTTCCGTATTTATATACGTTGTTTTACCACGCACATACAACTGGATCAACAGTGGTCAGAGCTCTCATGCATCAGTAAGCTTAGTTCATTATAAAATAAACAACGTGCTTTTATAGCAATTCATCTATCAAAAACTTATATATAATAATATTCAAAAATGCAATTCCTAACGCGATTCTTAACACACCAGGCATATTTTGTAGGCATAATTTAATTATGGCCGTATACTATTATATAACTGGAGATGATAAATTGAATAGACTATGGAATAACTATTGGATGGAAATTATTGGAAACCAGGGAAATTTTTTAAATTAGTTTTTTTTATTACATTTTTTTATTGTAAATATATTCTGGTCTGGTGGTATTATAGGTTTCCCACAGACATCAAAACATATACTATCGACCGTCAATTTTTATGGGGGTCTGCTCTCCTGATAACAGCGGTTGTGGAAGAGGATGCGACTGCGGTGACCGGTTATTTTCCAAGTGCAAGATGGTATAATTATTACAGGTATATACAAAATAATATCTTACCAACTGACTTGATAAATTTTCGCCTATCATATATGACTGACAAGTAAATTATTTTTGATAGAAATCGGTAAAAAGTTATTTTGTATTGTTTCTGTATTGTCGATTAAAACAATTTTTTTCCTTTTCACTACAACTGTAAATGATCTTTATGTCTACTCTACTACCCCAATCATAAGACGTTCAGTTGAAATATTCCAGTTAAAAAAAATTGTGCAATCAAAAATGATGCTTTAAAATTTATTTGAGAACTGGAAGAGACGACAATGTTACGAGCAACTGGATAGGAATTTCCGCAGTTTTTTCTTTAATTCAAACTCGCTTTTGAAGTAAGGATGTAGGCCTCATTCTTCAGTGCAATTCAATTAAAATTGTTCGTTATGACTATTTTATTTTAGTGGGGAAGAAGTAGAGAACACCGGCCAAGATGTCGATCTTCCTACGGCTATAAATGAAATAAATGTTCACGTTTTAGGCGGATATATTCTACCGACTCAACAACCGGGTAATAATACATATTACAGGTAAGCACATCGATTGATTATGTAGCTGTGGTGTCGTAAATTTTTGTTGCGATGTAATGTTTATCGCATATTTACAAATTTGATCCATCTAAGTGAGAGTTTCCTAACGCGGGGTAAATTCACTCGTTGGGGTGAAATTTCCCTTTCCCAGGATAAATTTTGCTAACAATAAATTCACATTTTTTCCTGCTACACAAATAGGACACCAGCACTATGGCACAGGGTTTCCTCAAGCCTCTAGAATGTTTCATTAGGGAAACAGAAAGTTTTTTTCACTACAACGTTGTTTACACCGCTGTTATGACACCTAAATGAATTCATCATAATTATTCTTACGCGCTGATCAATTATTTATTTTTTTCAGTCGACAGAATCCTATGGGATTGGTTGTAGCACTAGACGAAGTATACAAAGCAACAGGAGATTTGTTCTGGGATGATGGAAACTCTATTGATACAATTGAAAATGGAGAATATGCTTTGATGAAGTTCAATTGTGAAGCGGTATGAATCGATTTTGGGCCTTTGATGAATGTTTGATGTAGAAATTAAACTGTAGGTAAAAATGCAATGAAACTGAGTTGAGTCACAATTCTGCGTCGATACCATACATTTAAAATAGAGCTTATATATTTGAGCTAATGATTTGGTTTCTGCGAGACTAACTACACATCCTTCTTCTATTCTTTTGTGCCGGTGGATCCGTATGCAGGCTGTAGCAAGACTCTGAAACACTTGGGTTATATATTTTATGTCTGATTAAATTCTCATGTCTCTCTACTCTTTGAATTTGAACTTTCTTTTCCAATAAGAATATCATGGGATGAGATAGGCTCAAATTGCTGTGGGATGGGACGGGACAGAAAAAAATGTGTATCATGGACAAGCCTGCCTATAAAACTATACGTCATATTTATTAATGTCACAAGATATGACGAACCTATGGACATACCGTAACTACTCCAAATTCATAAATGAAGCGTTTATTTTTTGACACATTTTTTGTTCCATGAATGCCATTAATATTTGCATCATGTATATAGCTCATTGTTTCTTTTACTTCACAGTCCACATTGTACATCAATATTACAAAACAAGCACCAACCAAACTCGATATTTCTTCGCTTTACTTTGAAAACATTTCCATCTATGGAGTTCAAGAAAACACCATAAACAACGTGGTTGTAGGTGAAAGCATCCGGGCTGAATCAGGAAGCGGAACTGATGGTCTTGAGTGGGAGTTGAGCGGTTCAGCTTTGATGATAACTAAACTAAATTTGGCATTTGGTGAAGAACACGTCATCTTTTGGAACTAAAACAATAATTGATGTTCATTCAGAACTTATATAGACATAGTTTAGCTAACAGCTCAATCAATTTTTTGAGTATACATGCTTAAATTTGATTTGATTTGATTATAATTTGAAGTTACTGACTATTCTTATTTTTATTTTCAATCATTTTAATTTTAAACGTTGCCTTTGCTAGTAATCAAACAACCATCTGTAGCACATGGGTTCTTTTTATATTTTCACTTCTACAAATTCCTTTAATGCAGTGGCTTTCAAACGGTGGGGCGCGCCCCACAATGGAGGCGTCGACAATTTTTTGAGGGACATGAAGCTAATTAAATAAAAATTCGTTAGATGCGATCTTGCCCGCCTTATTCCGGATATTTTCATTTCAAAACCTTTCATTCACTTCATTATTTACATTATATTCACGTATTTTTAGCGTGTTTTTTGAAAAAATAAAACATACTTTCGCCTCAATATTTGTTATTATTTAGCTTATTGCTAGCTAGTTCATTTTTGAGGTGGGGCACGAGACTTGAAAAGTTCTAAGAAGGGGGCGCGGCTTAAAATGTTTGAAAACCACTGCTTTATTGACTCAATGGGTAAAAGATATTTGCAACTAATTACAATGTGGAATTTTGGATACGGATGTCCAATTTTAGTTCCTTCGGCGACAGTCGAAGCACCAAACAATGCTAATGTTTTATTTATATTTAACAAACAAAAACTTTTTTGGGAGCGGTATAAATTTATTGCGCAACACAGGACGTTTCAATTCCAACAATTTTTCAGTTTGCTATGTGGTCAGCGGTTTTCAACCGTTATGGTGGAGCGGAAGCCTAATGAGACAATTATAATTGACTATAACTATATATAAAAGCAACCCCAATACTGGCAAAACAAAATAATCTTTAAGGTGTAGCAAGTCTAATAATAGTGGCAAACATAGTAGGTATTTGATTATAGACTCTCGGATTTGAATGAAAGCTCACGGAGTTCTTGGGCTGTACGGACGGAACCCTATAGGGTGTCGCGGGATCCCTGTTGAAAACCACTGATGCAATAAAATATAACCGGCAGCGTATTGGTGTAGTAGAAAGAAAGTAATTTCTAGCTCGCAAAAGTTAACTCCAAAAGGTAAATTATCTTCACATTGACAAACCCTAAAGTGGCTTTCAAAATAATTCAATTTTCTACAGTCTCACTATTAAACTCATTTAATAACTATAAAGCGCAATTTTGAATACAAAAATAAAACAAACGTATTTGTGTGAGCGTTCTATCCAAATGTAGCTAAGGAAGAGGCATACATTAATACAATAGAGTAGGACTATTCAACTATTTTTACCGAAGATCCGCATACAAAACTTCAAAATTATTTGGGTCCGGTCTTTCCAGAATTTATATATCGGCACCCTCAAACGCACACTTCTTCGACCGGCTAATGATTATTAGCTAATCATAATTGCTTATTATGGTGTTATAGTTCTTTTCATATATATTCAAAACTAGAAAAGTCAATTTATAGAATGAAACTTCAAAAATGGGTCTAATGATCTGAAGACGATAAAGAATTAGGGGCGGTCCGAATCAAATACTCGAAAGGTCCGGATTCGGACCGCGGTCCGCCAGTTGAGTAGCCCTGCAATAGAGCATATGTCAGGGATGGCGAATCTTTTTCAATGAATGGGTCAAAAATAATATTTTTATCGGCGAACATAAGAGAGTGGTCACAGATATGTATCTATAAGAAACTTTTGGAACAAATCTTATAAGCTTCTGTTGGTGTATTTTTGGGCTTTCCTTTTTTATCACTTCAATTGGGAACTTTTTATGGCACTCGATTTTATGAAATTAGAGTACGAAAATACGCATACGAATTACTAAAAACGCTTAGGATGATGCGGCAAATTATTTTACGGTTTCAAAGAGTTTGGAGAGAATTCCACTCTAGAAGTACCGTGTTTCCCCGAAAATAAGACCTAACATGAATTTTAAAAATGATTTTAATATAAGCCCTTCTCTTAAAATAAGATCTAGTCAATAGCGCGAATTTTTTTTTTTTTTGATTTACTCGATCTGAGATCTCTTCAGATCTCTTCTACACGTTTTACATGATTGATAATCTATGTTTTGCAGTTATTTTAAACGTGTCAATGATATCGGTTTTTATATTTTGTATGTTTGAAAATATCGTAGTTCTCTACTTTATAATTTTGTTTTTGATAAATAAAAATATAAGACATCTCCCGAACATAAGCTCAATTTTAGATTTTCGGAAGAAAATTGAAATAAGACCCAGTCTTATTTTTGGGGAAACACGTTAATATAGTTCTAGATCAGCTCTCAACCACATTAATGCTCTTTTACACTGCCCCATTGTTATTTCAGATTTCTAGGTTTTTATTTCAAGTATGAAAGATTTTGTTTTATCAACAGCATAGTAGGCGGGAAACTAATAAAATGAAAACTAGAATCTAGTTTTCGTATAACCTATAAAGTAGTCTGCAAATGCACTTCCGTAAGAGACAAGACGTTACGAGAAATTGATGGATCAATTGCATTGTTATTTCGTGAACGATATCAGAGCCAATAGCTGAATAACGGTACGTCCAAGATTCGGGGTTTTGAAAATTACCCTACCGGCCCAGAAATTAACAATTTGAATATGAGCGATCGCAGCCCTGCAATCTTCAGTCCCTGGCGGTATGTCAATTAACAGAATTTTGACACAAAATTGGGTACCAGAACTCAACTCCAACTCTTCAAGCCCGCTCACGCTGGTTTATTTTTACTGCGTCTATATATTTTTCTTTCTCAAGAATCAACGCCCAAACTCTTTGAATTTGAGTCTTATTATCAACGGATATATTGTGTGCCAAACAGATCAAATGATACATGATTTATATACATTAACTGTGATTCTTTAATAATGAATTTGAATCCCACCACTGGAGGTGAGTACTTTCTTTTAATACAATGTAAAAACTCAAAATCTAATTTAACAATAACGCCAACTGTGAATAAGCCAAAAGATTACAAACCTTACGGGGTTGGAATTTTCGCACGAGACGATATATGTTTTAATTGCATTAAACTGTAATGTTTCCCAGTATTTCCCATCCAGTTACGAATTGGGGAGAATTCCTGTCTGTGGCAAGAAATTTTGCTTTGTTTCTCCTGTGGTATCACCAACATCCTTTAGTTTTTTTCAAATACTAGAATAATTATTCACGTACGCAAGAAAGCCGTACAGTAATCGGTGCTCCAGAAGTATGTGTACATATGGAGGTAACTATTTTTGTTCGCATATTAAACATCGAGCTGTGTAAAAGGACGCAAGCCTATGGTTAAGAGGAGTATATTCACTTGGCTAAGACAGATAGTTCCCGAACTCGTAATAGAACTAATATAAAGAAAATCGGAATAAAATTATGGCCCTGACCCTAGCCTGGTACACATACCACGGGAGTACCCAATATAAGTGTGCCACTTGCGCATAACACTAGCGAAGTATCCATTAATAAGGATTGAAAAAATAAAGTAGTTTTATGCATTGAGAGGGAGGAAAGAGTTCCAAAATAGGGAAATGGAATTTAACAAAATCGCTGCGTTAATCTGAAAAAGTATGCAGAAAAATAGAAATTGAGGCCTCACGCAACCTCTTTAAGTTTTATATTATGTCGCCGTTGGTTGTTTACATATCCATTATATAATTTCAAAGAATAACAGTTTCGGACAGAAAATAATATTATTTTGTCCATTGATATTTTAAATTACATGTAGTCGGAATAACAACTGTACTCGGACTCCTGATCAATTTCATCATAGTTATATCTTGATGCGATAAATAGAGTTTTTGAAGAACAAAATTCAGAATCTCTCAGATATGATATGCGCCAATATTGTAAACCATGATCTGACATTTTCTGCATTATTAATGCTGCGATATGTCTTACATTCGCCAGATATTCCAATAAAGGTTAACATTGGAGATGATTCCGACACTCCACAATGCGAAAGCATAGAAACAATCAATGTGAGTACTAGCGACAAAAAACCACACATATGTTATATCATATTCATTTTTAAATTTAAAGATAAATTTGTTGAATATTTTTTCAGACCAGTAACGAGGAAGGTGAGTATTGAGGCAATTTAAACATAATGCTCTGAGTTATTAGTCAAATTTTGATGTGAAACGAGTAAGATTCAGTATGAATAATATTGTTGTTGAACTCTTTGTGGGAGATCAACAAAGCCCACTCAATTTGAGTTCGATTGAAATTCGTAAAATATATATATAGAATTTTCTGGACTCATTATCGTTTTTCGACTTTCAGTATATATAGAAAGTGAAACATTCTTTTAGTCAATTGGTATCACGCACCATTAGGGGATCCGACTAAGAGTGAATGAGTCAAACAGTTGTTGCGATAATAAGTGCTACATAAAAACTATTAATTAAAAAAATATAAATGATACCAACAGCATACCATCAATCAGTAAAGTAACTAACATTAGCTCCGTTGAAGAAAGTAGTAGACAAGAACATCTCTTTGTCGAGAAGGCTAATTGAACATGAATAAAAATGTTACCGATTGTAATTCGTATTTTAGAAATTGTCTTATGTCTTATCTCAAATCAAGGCTTTGGTAACACATTCTCAGATGCGTACGGAACCACTATAATGAAGGATTAGGCTTTTTCTCTTCTGCGTTATGAGAAGTTGATGATATCTCTGGGCGATTTTGGTATATTGAGATATATATGGAAGTTAACGCAATACGGAGTTAACGAAACCGGAAATATTGCATTTGAGTATGAAATAAATTTGGATGGCACCAATAGATAAATAAATTCGGTAGATGAATTTTTTTTGTACCGTCGCCCGCCTCACGAAGACTTCGTGTATAATTCAAAACGGTTTCAGTTATTAATACAAGCGGGATCAGGTAATATAAAATCAACTGTATTGGAATGTAAAAAAAAGGAAAACTTGCTAATATCTATGACCTTGCACACTATCGACAACTGCAAACTTATTTACGAAAATCTATTAAAGCTGAGCGGACGGCAATATCAACATGGCTTGGAATGGCATACCAGGTTTGCATTTAGATCTAGCAAAACATGTTTCAGGCATTAAAATTTTACCTCTTTTTAATAATTGAAAATGGTATTTCTTTTAACCCGAAGCGCTTATATTTTGAAAAGTTGAAAAATTGAATGGATGTTGAAAAGCATTTATCAAATCGAATTTTACATAAAAAAAAATGAAATTATACCTTATATTGAAAGCATTGTAATATTTGTTGAATTAAATTTTCTAAAATTTTTAAAATAGTCTTAAAAACTTGAATATTGGATGTCATATGTGGCCTGATCGTTGGAAAATGTTGATCTATTTTAAATTTAGGGTAAATTTGGGGATATAGAATTGGAAGGAATTTTGACCACTGAGTGTTTAATTTCTGCCACTCCCAATGTGGAAATCGTTGTGTAGTTGTCCGAGCACATAAAACAAAGATTATCCTCCTTCTACAATGGGCCAAGCAATTACAAAATCGATTAAATCGACAATTATTACCTGACAATCGTTTAAAAGGTTGACTTTTCTTGCTAGATGAGGCTAGGGTCAAATAATTCAGCAAAGCAACATTTCTTTGAAAAGTATGCAAATATGTTTTAAGAGCATCTTTAGGATAAAGTGTGAATCTGTTAGGCATTACAGTTAATAAATGTTGTCTTTTCGTCTTACAGAATAAAATACTTATGCTAGTGTCTGGCGAAATCGTCACTCTATCAAAAGAAATGTGGTATCTTCGCTATCCTGACTAGCATGTGTCTTACAGTAACGTGGGAATCGTGGTGAATCACAATCTGCAGTTTGAACACCAAGAACTTTTTCATGCGCCAGCAAATCACTATTATCGATATTGTTTATGTGAAACTTGATCAGGTTTTATCTGCTTATGATTGGACACGAAATGTATTTATAGTAATTGCTTATGTGGGAAGTATCAATTCGTAAAGACTTGGCAGCATTCATTTTGCTATTTCAAAAACTTGCTGATGGTAGACAAGCGCTGCTTCCTCACTTTGAAATAATTTCTGAGGGAGTAAATGTCATGTACAAATGATGGTTTCATATCAGTCATTAATTTTGCGCCATAAAAAGTGCTACATGACGTTTAATATTTGAGCAGGTCCTTGAGTCGTGAGATTTCACTGAATTTATTTTTGAAAAATTCGGGTCGCTCGAAAAAAGGTTGGGGACCACGGATCTATCCGACAACCCGGTGCGCATCTGAGTTCTCACCGATACTGATGTAAATTGTAACGTTGATAAGTGATGCCCGTGTATGTCGCACAAGCTACTGCTTTTAGTAATTGCACCTATGTGTCCATATATATATTTCAGAAAATATTTTTGGGTAGCCGCGGGAACCTGTGATAAGTTGTTGTTGTTGTTGAGGCTGTATAATTTTTTCTTCGTAAACATTCGGTCAATCGATTCCAAATCTCCAGTATTGAATCAAAAACGGAAAAAATCACTAGAAGTCCAATTCTATTTTAATTTTTTTTCTGGGTATTATATACAGCTATACATATGTGATTTTGGCTTGCAATAGTTTGTCGAATTTCTAGCATTTAAATGAACAAATGCAATGGAACGCATATTGGAATGCACGCAGAGGATCGAAAAACGGTCAATGACGCAATTTCCTTAGTTTTTAATAAGTAAATATTCAGCCCCATATTGCCGTAAAAGCACATAACAATGTAATTTCAGATGATTCCTAAAACTTCGAATAACCCTTGCAATCGTAAATATTATACCTAACTGCATAGTATTTTGTTTAGGTGACCGTACATTTGAACCCATGTGTATATCCGCGGGTTCAATCAATATGCGGGTGCTAAAACCCATGGGTTAGGTTAGTATGGGTACAAATATCCGTAAAACCAAAAAAAATTCCATAGGTGCAATGACATGCAGGTGCAATTGTTGTGGGTTCAAATGTACGTGGGTTTAAATGTAATGGAACTTTTTGTTTATGCTAATTTCTATAGTAACCATCTGATAAAGTGGAAACAGAGAAATTGTATCCATCATTTGGTCCTTTAATGGCAGTCGTTTGAAATTCGTGCATTGCCCTCTTGTTTATACATAAATAAATTGCGAATTACTGTGTATCAATAAAACCACATGATCACCTAAAAGGTAGATAAATTATATCCTAATTTTAACTAGCATTCCTGTCTTTTTTCCGTAACCATTACAATTCAACGGCGACTTTACGATTCCTTTTCAATTGCAGTTATTTATATTATTTATAAATGTATAATTGTTTTATACTATTATTGATATTCACTTGTGGATATGCTCATGTTGTTATTTACTGTTATAATTGTTGCTTCAATATCTTTTTCGCAGTTTACTGTACAAGATGGTTTATCTTCCCTCAACAATATTCAACTGATCCGATATACCGATACCATGCTCGAATCTATTGTCATTTAATTAACAAAGTTAATGATTAATGATATCTACCTAAATGAAGCAATGTTGAATTTATTTTTACCGATGTGTTGGTATAGACGTATAAAATATTGGTTTAACAAAGCCTGTAGGTATATGCACTGTTTCCCTACAGTGTGTGCCTGTTATGAAGGAAACGTAATTTGCTAAAAACAGAGCAGTTTAAAAATAAGAACTTTTAAAATCAGTAAGGAAGTTTTAAAAGCTAGGTCTTCTATTTCTGATTAGACTGATTAACCTGGCTTGCGCCCATATATGGTATTGGGACTTTGCAGCAAATCTCAAAAATGTAGTCTCTATTGACAGTTGTGCCTAATTATAATCAAGAAAGTGATGAAATACAACGCTGTTAAAAATAAGGATTGGAGTGTGCACATCGTAAGAATAAGTTCACAAGGAAAACGAGAGGACACCTCTATCTAACTGGGAGGATCAGAAATAGTTAGTGGGTCATTGTCATGTGACAAGAAAAATAGGAAAAAAATTCTGAGCAATTGATTTTATGTCTTTTCCGATGTATTTGTTATAAATATATATCTGCTGTCACATCCGATCGCCACAAATGACTCTATTTTCAAGTCTCTAACCCATTTTGTTGTTGATTTCTGCACGATGCTCTACAGCAGTAGTTTTAAGCCTTTCTGATGGAGCGGAACCCCAGTGAAACATACCAGGGGCTCGTAGAATCTCTTGTCTTTTATTATCTGCATTGTATGAACTATAATTACGGTATAAATATAAAATCAAACCTAATAATTAAAGTGTAGCAAGTTTAATAATAGTGGCAAACCTCTTACGTCTTGGATTCTATTTATACAAAATACATATAAAAATATAGACTATCGGATTGGAATTAAAACTTGCACAACTTTTGGACTGTACTGGCAAAACACGAGGGTGTCACGGAATCAGTTTGAAAATCTACCTAATAATATATGCCTATCCGCATATCAAGCATATGATATCTTACCTACCATGGTAAATTGATGCTGTCTGAGTCTGTATTTGAGTTGATGTTTAAAATTTTATAATCTGGAGACAGCTTAATTATTTTGCTAGAATGAGTGCTTCCACAGATAAACTTGAAACAAGCAATTTAGAATTTGATGATGGACCGAAAAATAGTGAGGTGATACTATAATTAAAATGCTTGATATTGTTATAAGTTACGTATGCAGTACATGTTAAATACAAGTTTTTGCCACAACATTCAATAAAGACGATGTCATTTAGAAATATTAAGAAATAGCACTCACAGATTAGGTTTTTTGAAGTAATTAGATCCTGTGCAACTCTTTTTCCCTGGGATATAAATTTTTGAACCATGTACGTTTATTTCGAAAATTGCACATTCGCCAGAAACCATGAGCACGCAGGTTAGACCTAATTATGAGTGTCGCTGCTCGATAACCAGTATTGTTTTTTTACGTCTTCCTTCACCCTGAAATGCCATTTTCACGATTTTTCTTATTTAATGTTTGTACAAAGTGTATTTTCAGTTTGGCGAAAAAATAGAATACTCACCGACTCATTCTATTCCTTCGCTTCATTGTCTCACTGTATTTATATATATTTCAGAAAAATGGTGGTGGCAAGAAAAAGTGCATCGTGATAAGTGGAATAAGTGTTGGAGCCGTGGTTCTCTTCAGCGTTATATTTTTTCCTGTATACTTCACTTCTACAAGTGACTATTACCTTTAATTTTACTGAATAATCTCCTCCAAAAAAGATTTACAGTCGTCAAACTCGGTTGCTTGTGAACTATCATAAAATAGCATAAGATTTACATATTAACTTTGAAGGAGAGGAAAGTTTATATGACGGCCCAATTATATGCCGAACCACGACCACTGCTTCTTGTCCGTTTACCAGTCCAGCCGCGTATGTGGTTTGTTAGCCAGTAATTTGTTTTTGGAAGCATGGACTTGATGGTATAGAAAGCCGTAACCGACCAGCTGTTACGTGAACCCTATTGTGGGGGCGAGGAGTTCAGCAATCCACTCGAAAATAACTATCCCCGCACGGGATTCGAACCTGCGAACCCACGCAGGTTAATCAGAGGGGGATGGCGAGCTTTTTCCTAACGCTTAGCACGATGCCCGTTTACAGTCATTGTACCTACTACATTCAATCCCAAATTTTTTTTACAAGAACTTCAGTTATGTGGAATTCACAACCTCCTGGCTGTTTTCCTGATTATTTTGACGTGGACTGCTTCAAGTATCCTGTCAATCTGTATTTAATCTACACAATTCTACTCCCTAATTCTTTACAGTGTCTGTAGCTCTCGACATTTTAGTGGTCGCATATAACTTCGCCCAGGGATCATTCTTTTTAATTTCTGATTTTTCGGGACTTTGCTTTGAGCAAATAGTTTGAAAAAGATGATATTTTAATTAAACATACCATGCAACAGTCACGTCAGGCTTGTTATATAATGTGAAACAACTAAGAGTATTTATATATTAGAAACTTTATGAATATTCTATCCAATTAAAGAGTCCAGCTGCATACTAACAGATATGTATTTCTGTCACGTTTCGTCCGACCAAAGTCAGACTTCCTCAGAAGCATTTTACAATCTGATTAATATTAATAGAATATTCTAAGTATAATAATAGTTCATAGTATTGAATAATTTTCAACAGAACCGAAGCCCGCGGAATCAACTATTATTATAACGGTCACTCCTCCGACTACACCAAGACCGTGGATATACGAAAGTGAGAGAGTGGATTGTTCTCCAGATAAGAACATTACAAAAGCAGAATGTGAAGGTCGCGGGTGTGTATAAGCGACTGTGTGAAACTTGGTATATATATGAATACAAAATCCGATATAACTTTTTCTGTTTCCTACAATGCCCAAAATAGCGATCAAAAGTTGTGTCTATATTCATAAAATTGTCCTATTTGAATGCGACAACACCACGCTATAGTTCACCAAGTCTTTGGGTAAAATATTATGGTATCATGAATGAACAGCTTTCGATTTTTAAAGCATATTATTGGATTTTAGAATTTCTAATTTTTAATATTCTTTTTTTACAGGTGTGTATATTCAGATGGTAGTCCATCGGTGCCGACGTGTTTCTTCTCCGGGCCGCGATTGTATTCAAAAGATGGAGATACCGTTAGTACGGAGACCGGGAATATTCGACTTTAAAAGTATCTCAACAAGATTATCTCACTCATTTTGGAGATAATTTCAATAAATTGACTGTTCAAACCGTTTATATATCGGAAACTACCGTCCGTGTAAAGGTTGGTAAAAATGGCCTATATGTATTACATTAATTAAACGCTCGGCGACATTATCCCGTTTACAAATCGTTTTGAACCTTGCATCGGTTAGAACATAAATGTAGTCACGTTGATAAAACTGCCCACAGAAAATGATAAAATAAGCTTCAGTAAAGTAGTAAAGTTAAAAATGTTACCCTTCGGATTAAACAGTACAATTTCAGTAATGATGAGATTTACAATTCATATGTCATGAATGAATATAACCTATTTGATTATGAAATTTAATTCTCTTTTTAAATTCTAGCAAAGAGTAATTATTAATGTGAAATGCACAAAACCAAGAGTGTAAAAATAAAAAATAATATTTTAAATGCTAAAATCCACATGAAATTAATCATTTATTGTTAGATTTATCCCAATGAAGAAAGGTATGAAGTTCCGATGGAGCATCCAACAGGAATCAGTAAACGATTGACAGCTTTATATTCAGTTCAACATTCAAACAAAACTGATGAACCGGGTGTAAAAATAATACGGAAATTAAATTCTAGTACAGTGTGAGTGATTATCATTCCAAGTTTAATTTGAGGAAATTTTATGACTTTAGTACGTTGGGTACGAATACATGTCTGCCTGCCTGTGTGCCTGTCTTCTTGTCTTTGCCTGTCTGTCAGTTTGTAACCGCCAGTCCGCCTGTCTGGCTATATCTCGGTCTGCTTGTATTTATAATGGCGTGGTATGTAATCGAACAAGCATAACGTCACGTCGCTCATAAACGCAATCAACCAGCCAAGTAAACGAAATTGTTATTTTGTTCCCAATTCATTTTATTTTCGTGCTTTGCAAAACCATTTATGTAGATTTGTGAATTTGTAGCACAAAAAACACTTATTCTTTTGTACTTTCAGATTTGACACTACATTTGGAGAACTAATGTTCTCGGATCAATTTTTACAAATTTCTACTCGTGTGGCTTCGGAATATATCTATGGATTCGGTGAACATATGCATGAAACTTTCATTCACAATATGAATTGGAAAACTTATGGAATGTTTTCAAGAGACAAAGGGGTAGAGGTAATGTGACTCTGACCTTTACAGTCAGTAGAATTCTAATAATGAATACCCTTTTTAAAAAACAGTGAGAGAGTACGTCAAAATGTAGTTCTGATGACGTAATAGGGGTGTAGCCAGACCAATATTTGGGGAGAGAGCGAATTTTTTTAAAAATATGACCTTACTAGCGTCTTCCGCCCCGAACAAGGTCAGGTATAAGCTGCAACTAATATCTAGCGATTTCTTAAATAAGTTATCCGCAGACATTCCTCGCTACGCTTATGTGACGTAAATAGGTATATTTGATGTTTTGAATTAGTAAATGTTAAAAATGAATATTACAAACGATACGCAAACTTTTTTTTAATTTTGATCCAAATTACTAAATACAAGTAAACACTGAATATATATTATTTTGCAGCCTGGTTTCAATTTGTACGGAGTACAACCGTACTTTCTATGCATGGAAGAAAATGGAAACGCGTATGGCGTTTTCTTCGTCAACAGCAATGCGATGGGTATGTCAGGCTTTTGCTGTTTAGATGAAATTATTGTTTATTCCTATATAACTATATTGTACAGCGAAATTGAATATTTTTATAGTGCTTTAGAAACTCAATTTTTCGGCAAAATTAGCCAAATATTAACCGACACAGAACCTACTTTTTGGGCATTAAATAATAAAGTATATTTTCCTTTTTCCAAGGATATTTGCTAAAAGCAAAGTCGCCAGAATTTACTCAGAGACAAAAGAGAATGATTCCTTAGCGGAGCGAGTGACTTTCAAATTTTACCTTCTCATCTAGATGTACGCTACAGCCAACCCCAGCTATCACTTATCGGACCACGGGAGGGATTTTTGACTTTTACATTTTTCTTGGACCAACACCAGAACAAGTTACTCAGCAGTACACTGAAATTATAGGAAGGCCGTTTCTTCCTCCGTATTGGTCCCTAGGGTTTCAGTTGTGCAGATGGGAGTATGGTTCGCTGGAGAATTTGACAAAAGTCGTTGAACGCAACTTAGCAGCTGGGATACCATACGTAAGTTAACAAATGAGTATTCCATGTAATCTTCAATAGGTGTTTTCTTTTTACAATACACAGATGAGGGGGGAGAGAAATGAGACCCCGGATATTCTTTTTTGTTGCACTATATACACGTATATATACGTTTTACGTTTTGTTTTTATATTGCGTAATACGATGCGTTATTTCATGGGTTCATCAGTTGAAAAGGCGGCAATTCTAAATTATGAGACGGACACTATCATGGAATTGTAAAGATATTTTATTATTGAATAAACGCTTCAAACTGTTTGCGAAGTATGCAAGCAATATCCAAAATCCTTTGTTTAGGATATCGATTTGTTTCAGTCACCATTATCTAATGTTTGTATTTTGTCCTCATTTGAAAATCTAGGCGCGAACTATTACGACTTCTTAGGTCGTAAATGCAAAAGATAAATCATCTTCCACAATATAAAATTGAGTTATACAGCTAAGAGAATATAAATATAATCTAGTAATCTAGTTCAAAGAAATCTTGGAGTACTCCTGGCAAATGTGAATTTCGGAATCGTCTATCAGACCGCAGCCCGTTTTCGCGTTTTTATTTGATTTGAATTGAATTTGGAGCAATAAATTAAACTTTTTTTATTTAAATTCGTCATGACCAGGAAGTGCAATATAGCGACATTGATTACATGGAAAGACAATTAGATTTTACAATTGATAACGATACATATTATGGACTTGAAGATTTTGTCAGCAATTTAAAAGAGGAGCATAAAATGAGGTCAGATAAATTTTACATTTTTCCTAGTAACATTATTTGTTCCAATAAAAAGTCTTGCAGTACACTAACACAAATGTATTTTTGTTACGTTTTGTCTGCCGGGGTCAGACTTCCTCAGAAAAGTATATTTCAAATATATGACAAGAAAAGCAGTTGCACGACAATAAATAATGGTTATCAATTATTGAGTTTACTTCCAATAGAGAAAAATGATATTGAATTGAGGACACTAGCAGAACTCCAGTTTTCATTATCTCGCTGCCTGGACAGCTACTAATAATACGGAGTAATTGTGAAAGCGATTCTACGTAAAACATTCCTTTAGCTTTGTTTGTATTTTATTTCTCTAGGCAAATGTAACAATGATTTTGGAAGGAAAGATTATGGAACATTACCAAAATCTTTCATTTTACTTTAGATATATCATTATTCTCGACCCAGCAATAAGTGGAAATGAAACAACGTCTTACCCAGCATTTGACAACGGCATCAGAGATAATATTTTCATAAAAACCCCTAATGGCAATTTGGCATGGGGTAAAGTTTGGCCAGACTTGCCAGGAATTGATGTCGATCCTTCTCAAGACTGGGATTATAAAACAGAAGTAATAATATTTTATTTCACTTTTTCTAAGACTCTGTCTGTTCACGTCAAGGCGCGTGTAATGGTGTTTAGCTCGGAGGCAAAGGAATCATGAATTCCAACCAATGTATTATTAGTACAATCCATAACCTCGACAACAGCATGTTGGGTCTGAACTTAAACAAAATAGATATTGGGCCATTCCAAGCAAAAGTTGAATTCCATCAATTTTTTAAAAAGTGTAGTGAAAGTATTTTTTTTTTATTTTCGTCACCAAAAGACATTGGAATTTTATTGGACTGCATTCATTTCATGGAACAATTTAAAATTTCACCCAGGTTTTTGATGGTTTTTAGAAAATGGCCTGAAATGTAGAAATTTTGGTATAATCGACATATTTTGTGATGATTCCTGGCACAAAGGGTTTGATTGTGTGGTACAGTTATTTCATATGGAATTGAAGCACTGGATTTAAGTTAATAAAGTTTGAATGTTTGCAGTGCTGTAGAACATTTCTTCACCCATTTAACGATTTATAACCAGAATTTTAAGAGATGATAGATGCCGCTATTCCAAAGTGGAAAAATGTCCTGTAGTGTCACGTCCTGTAGTGTCACATACAATATGCACATTATTGGCATTGATTTAAGGGGTTACATTAAGTAACTTGAGCAACACATAATGGGGTAGTTCAGCTACTGCACCAGAAAATATTATGGGCTCCTACTGTACCATTGCATAAATTTACAGCACAACACAACATACTGTTAATGCATGGTGGATTTGCCGTCCTGTAGTGTCACGCTATATTTTACTATATTTTTTTTATTTACTAAGTAAGTCTTGGGTGTAACTTTTGTGCAATTTTTTACATATTCAATAAAGCAACTGATTGGACAATGAAACAAAACATGTAGCTGAAAATGTGAAAATATATTGAATCTAACAACTTGCAAAATTTCTGGAATTGTCCCGTGGTGTCACTTAGAATAGCCCTATTATGTACATTATCAAATTTCAAATCAAAGTAATTCTTAAAGTTACTCTAGTGCAGGGCTTCCCAAAATAGGGGCCGTGGCTCTGAAAGGAGTCGCGAAACGAATTTTAGGGGCCGCAAAGAGAACACGAATTTAACACAAGTACTATATCTATTGTACTTTTATAGACTTCTATTCTCTAATCTCACGATGCCGAGTGAATACATCATTATACCGTGTTTTTCCATGCCAAGCTTATATAACCACATATGACGACTACTGGTATGCTTGGCGTTTCAATAGTTATGTACAGTATTAGATTTATGTGAAGCTTGTTATGATAATGTAGCTTACCGAGTTAATTACTTACTATACATCCTATTTACTAATGTACGTCACTTTGTAAGCAACACTAACACGACTCGCTTTACATAAATCTAATGCATACCTTTCGACATTTCAAATCTAACACTGACCATCTCACGAAAGGGTTTACCGACGTTATTTCTTGAATATCGCCACTGACTGCAACCATAGATAAAATTATTAAATATAGAGAGATATTATAAATCTAACTATCTATTTATATTTTTTGTTTCTGTTACTTCAAATGTTTTTTGTGTTGACTCTTTTTGAGAAATAAAATCTCTTTCTCTCTCTCTTAATCATTGCTCGATATTATTTTAGCATTACAGATCTCACACGGCATATCCAGACTTTTTTCATCCAAATACCTCTAAATGGTGGACAGATTTAATTGTTGATTTTTACGGCAGGATTAAATTCGATAGATTATGGATTGTAAGTAAGGCTGGGCATTTCAAATCGAGTATCCCAAACGAATCGAATAGTAAAGTATTTTAACGGTTTATTTGGTCCGAATCATCATCATCTTTTTTGTCCACTAAAGGTGGAAGTGTATCCGTCAAATTTTTTTTCTTTAAAAATTCCTACATATGACTCCTTTCTTGCTAGTGAGTTATAGATGAAACTGCCTGAGTGATGAATTCAATATTTTCAGTAATATGTTTCCCTAGCTAGAGGATCCATTACAATGTAAACGTCACATATCTTCTAAGCATTCGAGATTCCATTTGATTCGGGAAAAAATATCCAATTCGATTCTGAAATCTTGAAATATTCGAAAATACCCAGCTATAATTGTAAGCATATCATTTGCTTTTACGAGGGCGTACATCTCCAAATGTGATAAACAACATTTTAACGACATAACAAAATTTCAATTTTGAAACCACGCTACTAACATTAAATTGATTTAATTAATTTAGAATTGGATATTTGTCTCAAAATATTCTATTTACCTTATTGTTGTGACAGTTTATTTAATATAACCAAAATTAATGCTTTTTAAGAAACTGAAAACGCATTTAAACCAAACACAAAAACATGCAACATAATTACATTGAATCACTAAATATAGACAAACTCAATCGAACCACCGTCTGATACTCGTAACAGGTGGTAACTAATGCAGTATAAGGCGGATGCAGTCCGTTGTCGCTTGACGATAATCAGGGATCACAACACAAAGAACAATAAAGTAATAATGACAGAGCATAAACAAAGGATCACAAAGTGTAGCACAGTGCAATGGGGATAACTGAAGTTAATTCTCATACTACTTATTAGAGCTCGATCTGTAGAAATTAATAGGAATAGAAGAAAAATTTTACTTCCTTGGTTGATTACGAAATTAGACTTTTTTCAGTTGCTAATTTTACGATCTATGTTTTAAATTTTTTTAAATGAATTACAGGACATGAACGAGCCGGCATCTTTTACGGACGGATCGCCAAATGGATGTCCAGAAACGAGTAAATTTGATAACCCGCCATATTCACCAAGTATGTGTTATTTTAATTTCATCGGTCTCGGCTTCAATTGCACAATAGTTGAGCAATTTTCACTTTTCAGAACTTGTGAGCGACAAATTGTACGAAAAAACAATATGTATGAATAACATGCAATATCATCATATAACAAATGTACCAACTGAACATTACAATCTACATAGTTTGTACGGACACAGCGAATGTCAACCGACTCTAGAAGCATGCAGGTAGATTGGTTATGTTTCAAAAGTTTTTGAAATTTTATGTTGAACTCATGAAATAGTGGTTATTCTAAATTATAGTCAGTCAGTGGTTCATTTTTTCACCATATACTGAAAATAGACTTTGTACCAACTCCAAATATAAGAAAACGTAATTCCAGGGTTAAGTGAGAATCGAAGAACCGATGCTCGTTACCGAGCAGAGACACCAGTGATTAAGTTTAACGATATCATTCAACATTTGTGAGGTTTCATCCAAAAACTCTCCTGTTATAATTTATTATGAGAATTATTTTATTGATTCCAGGAAATCTACAGGAGAACGGTGCCTAGTTTTAACAAGATCTACATATCCTGGGAGTGGAAAATATGCTGGACATTGGTTAGGTGACAATACAAGCAAATGGAGTCATTTGGGTGCTTCCATTATAGGCAAGCTGTAATTACTTATAGTCTTTTTAGTTTGATTTATTGACATTGCACATCGTGGAGACAGCACTTAGATACAATATTGGATTCCTACATTTTAGAGCATTTATAAGTAAAAATAATATTTCAACTTGTATTTGTTGTATTGTAGAGGAAAAGTTTTCCTCTGTCGTTACATGACGAATACCACGGTATAGTGTCTTTACTGCACAAATCCTCAAATCTTATTCAGACACTCAACACAGTTTGTGAAACATATGCCACTTATTTACTAACAGCTGATTGTCTCTTCAATTCGTGAAAACTCAAATCATGAAAATGTCCTAATCAAGTGTGAAACCGGGATAAAGTATTATTAAAACTGGCTAGTCATGGTGTAATAGTTTGGAGCTTGGTTATGTTCACCGTAAAGCCTGTTTTGGCAGTTTCTAATTTAAAAAAGTCTAAATTACCACGTTGATTCGTTTTCTATTATTACTTCAATAAACATTAACAATGGTACTACGATTTAGTAAATTCCTAACAAAATATCCCTGAACATTCTCATTTTATTTATCATGTTCTATGTTTTTTTGAATATTGCTTTTATGAATTGTATTGCAGGAATGCAAGAATATAGTTTATTTGGAGTCCCGTACGTTGGTGCGGATGTTTGTGGATTTTTTGAAGACACAGAATACGAACTCTGCATTCGATGGATGCAACTTGGTGCTTTTTATCCATTTTATAGAAATCATAACGTAGAGAAAACAAAGGACCAAGATCCGGCTGTCTTTGGACCAGAGTATGATTTCTTTCATATTGTAAATACCCTTAAAATTTCAATGACGTAGGCATGTGCATATAAGTTGTAAGTCATAATTGACATAATAGGTATCTTTGGATTTTGTTTGTCCGTTCGTTTTTTTTGTTTTGTTTTATGCCAAAGCGACAAAAATAATACTGATTGATTGATTATCCAATACGACTGAATACTATGTTTGTAAGTACATCTATGTGTACATGTGCATATAGATTACAAGCGATAATACATCATTCAATTGGTCTGAATACATAAATTTCATGTATCACTTTAATATGAATTACTTTTTGGGCGCTGCAGAAGTGTGTGTACCAATATTGAGGTAACTAATTTTGTTAGCCTACTTTACATCAGGTGGTGTAAAGGCCAAAGGGACGAAAGCCTACGGGTAGGGGGTGTATTCACTTAGCTAACACAGACAGTCCCCGAACTCGTAACAGAATGCCTAAATCTAACCCGGTACATACACTACGGGAGTACTAATTTTTGAGCAGTGTGGTGCAACTTGCGGGCAATTTTGTTTAATGGAATATTGGATTTATTTTATTCCATATGGAAAAAGTGTTATCATTGGAAAAAGGTATATCTGAAGTGACCGAATTTATATTTCAGTTTCGTTTCCGCTGTTAAACCAGCCATGTTGACACGACAACGACTTTTGCCGTATTTATACACTTTGTTTTACGATGCTCACGTGACTGGAAGTACAGTTGTGCGACCTTTAATGAATGTGTAAGCAATGGTTATTCAGTATTTCCTTCGTCTTTTCTAATTTTTCTTCATATTGTTTATTTTTTCGAATTCATGATTTTGTTCAGATTCCCTGATGATCCTAACACATACACAACACCATACATTACCACCCAATTTATGTGGGGAAGTGGACTCATGATAATGCCAGTTTTGGAAGAGAATTGGCGGCATGTGAACGCTTATATGCCAGCAAATGCGCGATGGTATGACTTTTATAGGTAAGATACTTATTGATAGCACAAAAAAGATTATATATAAAATTCAATATAAAATTTGATGAAAAAAATTAAAACATATCATCCCCCTTCCTACAATATGTGCGAGATATTGTCTACAATCTGTAAAAATGAGGAATGAGTATATTTCTAGTACAATATATGTGGAACGGTGTCTCAAACATAACTCATACACAAAATATTAAGGTCAATGGTCTGAAAGCTATTGCTGATATTGCAGACGTAGTGGCCTTGCGTAAGTTAGAAACTGCTCTTTCTCTAATTTCACATTTGTCTAGTATGTAGTAGATACTATTTGTATCGTGTTATATGATGTCCTCACCTTACTAGGTCTGATCGTTTCGAATAGAACCGAATTGTAAATTTGACAAAAATGTTCTTGCTGCCAAAGTTTGCAGTGAATTCCTCAAGTTTTTTTAATTGAATCCATATTTTCAAAATGCAATTATGACATAAGACTCTTTACTTACAAATGAGTTTATTGATGAAACATATTTCTTATTGTGTGTTAACACTCAGCGTACTTACTGAGTGAGTGGTGAATTCTATGTTTTCAGTAATTTATGTGCGTGGAGGACTCTTTACTTACATACAATTGAATAACAAGTAATAAGTATTCGAGATTCGATTCAATTCGAAAAAAAAAATATTCGATTCTATCCTGAAATCATGAGGTATTCAAAAAGGCCCATCTTTAACCATCACCCCCACGGTAATGAGTTCTCTCGATAAAATATAATTTTATATCCGTAGTGGAAAAGAACTTGGAGCTACGGGAGCTGTTGGCACTTTTGGAGCGCCACTTAACCATATAGTTGTTTACGTTAACGGTGGAAACATAATTCCTACTCAAGAACCATCAACTACGACGTATCACAGGTGGGCCGCAATAAAAATGCAATTGATAGGAAAAATCAGTAATCGGTGGGTTATTATCAATTTTGAATCCTGAGTACCACCGATTAATTGAATAAACGTGATATACTTAATCGAATTACGCTGAGCTACGTATGGTATTAAATAAAAATAGGTGCTCCCGAAGTATGCGAACCAAGATGGCGGACACCGGAACGTAGTGTGTGTACCAGGTTAATCTTAGGCAATATTTTCAGGTACAAATACTACAGGATTCACTTGGCTGGTCACCGAACTCGTAATAGAACTAAAATATTTTGGAAATTATGACCTAACCCCAACCTGGTACATATACCACGTTCCGGTGTTCGCCATCTTGGTTCCCATACTTCAGGAGCACCTAAAAAATAAAATAAAAACATATTATCCTGACCAAACTATCACGTGCTAAACCAACTTATATTTTTGTCTATGAACCGAAAGGCCTTATAAAATTCTGACGAGCTAGACGATAAGCGATCCTTAATATTAATTTATAATTGTACATACTTTTATATTACATATTTTTGTCGTGCTTTTAAATAGTACTTTCGTAATATCAATTATTTCACTATTACAGTCGCCAAAACGCGTTCGGGCTGATTGTTGCACCTGATAACAATGGAAAAGCGGAAGGAAAATTATTTTGGGATGATGGTGTATCAATCGACACCATTACAAACATGGAATACACGGAGATAAGCTTTTCATTGGAAATGGTGAAATAATTCAAATCAGCTTACAAAACCACAACAATAATTCTTCAATATTTTAATAATTCTTATCGACAGGCCCAAAATTTCTATTATATAGTTGTAAGTTTACACGAATTACTAATTTTTCCTAGAATACTTTAATCAGCAAAGTAACACATTCTTACAATCATGCTGAGAACTTAACGTTGGGGATTATAAACATTTTTGGTGTCAACGATATTGTAACAACAGTTAAACTTGACGGAATTGATATAGATTTCACCTATGATAATGACACAAATCAGGTAATTCAACTTCTGAATTTTGCTAAATTGTGTTTTATTGGACACGAAATGGAGCTATGGATCGTTTCCCCTAATCGTTGTTGTTAGATTCTTCTTTTACTTGTATTATTATTGTGAAAAAACTGCCTTTCCCTGTAACTACTGAACCAATTGCTTTGATATTTTTAGAGGTTAAAGATTGTTGTTGTCGCTAGAAGGCAAGTTTCTTGTATGAGAAAGCTTACCGGTTCTGTAAAAGATTTGATACTTCTGATTGATGCTATTTGTTATTTCATTTATATTCCTTTTCATATATATATATACCCCAATGATTATTTAAATATGCTCATTGGGCATAATAACCCCACTTTTATTCTCCATATCTAAAAATTATTAACTTTCTAAACCCTTAGTAATTTTCGTGAATGTACATGGATCAAACCTGATAACTAACTTTAATCATTGGTTTCTTGTATCTGTGCTTTTTGTTAAACTATTACACGTGTATAATACTCTAATAATAATTAGCCGTTACACACATAGTCATCCAATAACTGTGAATCCTATGCATAGCAGTGAATTTGGGGAGAGCTGTCCTGACTGACCGTTTATATATATTCGTATCGCCCCTCCAGTCTTTACCAAAAAACAGTGTGCATTTATTTGCATGTATGCTTTCAATATTTATATTTATTTTGGTTGAGAAATCAATCCCTTCGTTGGCATTCGTGTTCATATATTTGAGCGTTTCTCTCTTGTTCCAGTGTGAACTTCTCAGGTTTAAGTTTGTAACTTAGCGTAACTTAAGAAATCCTCTCATCTTTTCAGATTGTGTTGGCGAGTGAGTTCTTGACCTTAAACACAGTTTGAATCCGCTGGGAACTTAAACAATGAATGGAGAAGAATTGATTGTATGCCAAGTCAAATCGAAAGTTAGTAGCAGAAAAACAGATGTAGATATTTAGTCATCATTCAGTTTAACTCAGACTCTTACATGGAAAGAAACTAACTCTTGCAATTGATTGGCGAAATAAGATTGACGCATCTGAATATAATTTGAACTGCAATTTGAAATATCAGAAATTGACTTATTGGAACTACTGGAACATCTTACAATGAAATATATTATATTCGGAAACATAAAACATCGTATGGTTGTTAATGAATTTAATTCCTACTCCTGTACCCTATTTAAAATTAGAACCTGAGAAGAAATTAAAGCCGCTGTTAAATACCAAGTCTAACTAAATTTGATTAAATTTTTCAAGGGCCTAATAGTCTGACGTGCAATAGGAGAGGTTGCATTTGGGACCCTTCAGTCACATCTCCTGATGTAGTTCCAAGCTGTTTTTATGCGTTGAATGATAAAGAAGAATTGCCGTCTTACAAGTCAACATCGCTGCAAACAGGAGATGGAATAACGAAGTACGTGAAATTGTAATCATGGCAACTATTTTTCGTATTATTGCGTCCAATGTACTTAATTCCAAATCTGTTTATTTAATTTCCATCGTCGATTTGTTTTGCTTTTTGTGAAACTGAAAGGGCACACAATTTATACGTGTTTATATCATAATTTAGTTATACCTTAACAAGGAATAACAAAGCTCAACAAATATACGGGGAACCATCAGAGGAACTCAAGTTGAGCATTGAATATCAGACTTCAAATAGACTTCATTTTAAGGTATCCCATATTGCTTTGAAAACGTATTTTTGGTCTTTTTTGGTGGATGCATATTGTAACACGAAGAAACAGTCTAACCCTGTTGCCTTTAAAACGTGCAATAGATCTAAGCAACTGTCTGTTAACAGTCATACAGCAAAGCTCAATAATATCCTATATTTTATAGATTTCAGATTCATCGGAGGAATTATTTGAAATTCCAAGCGAAATCTTTCACATGGCAAACGCAATATCGTCAAATGAAACCGAAGCTTTATATCAAGTTCTCGTCACAGAAGAACCTTTCAGTTTAAAAATATTGCGAAAATCAACTGGGAAAATTATGTAAGCTAAAAAAGAACAATTACATGAATGTTAATTATATGCCCAATTGGATACTAATATTACCTAGAGCGCGAATCACGTGTGCATGTATTATCTCCATATTTATGCCCACAAAAATTAAGATGCGTTCATGTTAGTCATTAGTTGCCCCCAAAATAAAAAGACAGTAAATGCATTGTATAGGCCTATGTGATTAAATGTTTGGTATTACACTCAATCAAAACACCTACAGCAAGAAATTTGAAATACCCACGCATAATTTACAATCCAAATTTGAAGCAAACAGGGACTGGGCTTGCACGTAATTTACGAATTTACGGAATTACGGAATTATATCGAGTTACAGAAGCGAAGTTACGAATTACGTAAAGTCGTAGTTATTGGTCGAGCGCTTTCGCGATTAAAACGAGGTCTCTTCAGAGCAGTCAATTCCGTCGATTGTAAAAAATTAAAGTTTAAGTTAAAGAAGTTAGAGTTCCGGTATTCGCAGCCGTTTCTCTCTCTCTTGTTAGGCAGATGGGGAAGGCATAACGCGTCATTTACTTACCTATTATCAACTTATCTAGGATGGTTCCATTACATTTGAACCCATGACAATTGCACCTGATTGCTATTGCACCTATGGAATTTTTTTTGTTTCACGGATAGTTAAACCCATACTAACCCTAACCAATGGGTTTTAGCACCCGCATATAGATTGAACCCGTGGATATACGCATGGGTTCAAATGTACGTGGGTTCAAATGTACGGTCACCATCTAGGATGGCCAATGTACATATTAACCGTAGATAAGGAATAGAATTGTGTTGAGACCGATGAACGTCAACACACCTGGTTTCAACTTCTTCGGGTGAAATGACTAAAGAATGTAAGAGATCAACTTATAAAACATGGTCTATTTGTAAATGCCGTAATAATTAATGTCGCGCTTTTCAAACAACAATATAAAGACGGAAGAGAAATTGCGTAATGAACCAACGCAACTAAGTCTTTTCGGCATCGGTAAAGCGATTGAGACGACAGAGAAACAACAACACGACATGATTTCCTGTGTTCATTCTGCGCGAGATCCATTTTCTATTGCAAAATCTTGATGTTCTGTTACCGATTTTATCGTTATGTATCTGTCCGGACTTGGCATTGCTCAATATGTTTTTCACAATCCCTCGCAATATGTCGGCCAAATATGATTACCTGTCTTTACCAAATGCGGCAACTTATTTTGTTTATCGTCGACTCGAATACCACCGGCACTCGACCAAACTTGTGTCAATCTTGGCAAATAGGATTGTCGACTTGAGTTAGAAAAATAAGTTAATATTTTCATGAGTGCAAAATAAATGTCACAAAATGCATTGTTTTGCGATGTAACTTTGTATTTTCGGAGAAGGCATGTCATATAAGTACGGTATTTTAAATAATTCGCAAATAATTAATATTTGATCTAAATTTATCGCAAATAATGTTATAACTTTTAGGCCGCGAAATGATTTAATGTAAAATGAAGCATGGAATTCGGAATATCGTCAATAAGTCGGCATCAATAATTATTATAAAATGCTAACTAAGTAGTAAAGTCGGATATTGTAAAAAACGGTGAAATAACAAGTCTTCGTCGCGAGGCAAGCGAAAGTATAATCAAACGAGAGAATACGCTTGTAGTTGATTAATAAATTAGCAACCCAGAATTTTTATTTAATACGAAAGTCGTATTAATACGTTAATACGATTTTAAAAAAGTGAACTGTCGTTTCTTAAATATATTACTAGTGTTGGTAATGATAAAATTGATCGCATAAAATTTGGTGATAAAGTGGATAAAAAAATCAAAGCTATAATACAAAAGATAAAAATCAGAATAAAATTATTTTGAATTCACTCCTTGATATTTGTCTTTAACATCTGTCGCCGGCGTGTAGTACTGCCGGGAATATGAAAACCAAACTTCGATGTCCCATTCGGAATAGAAGTGGATTAAATTTGTTGTTATGATAGGTTTAAATGTGTGAAAAAAATATCGCAATTACGTGGTCATTACGTAATCGATTTGGCCGTAATTACGGAATTGATTTTTGTCAATTACGTGCAAGCCTAACAGGGACTATCTGCGATCCTAATTAATTTACAATCTAACTTTAAAGCAAACAGTGATTATCTGTAATCTTGCAATTTTAGATTCGACACATCTGTTGGACCTCTTGTCTTTGAAAATAAATATTTAGAAATATCAACAACTTTATCTTCCGACAACGTATTCGGATTTGGAGAACATAATCACAAACGTTACAGGTAAATAAAATTGCTAGAATCGAACAACAACAGGTTCTCTCATTTCAGATAAAATATGTATGTCACTACCTAAGCTACAGTAACACGACACGCGTAAATCTTATAACTTTTGAAACGAAGACATATAGCGCTAGTCACCTGCTTCGGTGCGCCATAACTATTTGCACGGTCGTCTAGCGCCTGAAACAAATAACAAGCAGGGTTTCGCTGATCATCGCGACATTCCTAACGGGTTCGTGCAAACCCTCTGAATGCCACAACTAGATATAAACCTATACCTTTATTTGAAACTGTT